TCTGATAACGCACCAACTTGTGCTCTTTGTGCTAGTCTACTAGGAAATGTGAAGGGTAATTCCGGTGTTACAGTCGCAAACCAGGCAGAGGATAACCACAGCTCTCAATTCTGCTACGGATGTATGCGGTCTCGACCTGAGGAGCTTTGCTGAAGAGAAACATTCTTGATTCATGACAAAATCAAATGAATTAAAGACGAACCTGCTTTACCTGAAATCATCAACGACCATGGGGTATCTGAAATTACGATCTCAATGTCTTCATGAACCACAGGCTACCTGGCCCCACCTCGCTCCAAATCCTCTTCTGGATGACTTGCTCCGCCAAACCATCTGCCGAATGACTTCCGGGATTGTTTGGCCGGCTGGGGCCTGGATGGAGGCCGAGGGGTATCATTGTTCCTTTCTCCATGACCTGATGGTCGCGTATCATCATAGGCCGGGGGATGGTCACCAAAAACTTCATCTTCTTGTCTGTCAAATGCATCGGGAAGACTGTTGTCGACTTCGACTATTCGATCCTGTCGTCTGCTGCTCTGTTGTGAGGACACCTTGGCGCCCTTTTGGCGCAGATGAGTTTCGAGAAGGATGGCATTTCGGGTATTCGCTTTGTACACTGCATCGGCAAGATCGCCAATGAAAGGGACGAGGCCAATGAAGAAATCCATTATCACGTTGAGCAACATCTTCATGCGCAGAGCTTGAGGAAGTCCACCGTCAATGCCTTCACAAGATTTCACAACCATCATTGCGAGCGCAGCATCGCTAGCATCGCCGATGCTGTAGTTCATTTGTTAGCATTGGTCTCTTGGTGCTAGTGCAATAGATCCTGGTGAAACCTACAATGGAATAATTCCAACCACACTTCCCCAGCCAAAGCGGATGCCGCACAAGCCGAAAAGAGCATAGTCCAGTTGGTAGGCCCTGCGTTTGACCTTGGTCAGGACCTTACTGTCATTGTCAGAGAGGCCCGGCGGGATGGCCTTGCGGCGCTTTTTCGTCTTTTTTCCAAATGTACGGCCGAGGCGTGAAGCAGGAACTTCTTCGAAGTAAGGGTCCTAGATAGATAGAAACAATTGCGTCAGCCTGATCTCTCTTCGCAATACCAAATGAATACCAGTTATTCAAGGAAACCCACCTCAGTACCAAAATGATTCTTGGCAGTTTCACCTAGCACCTTCTTGCTAACCAGAGACAGCAGAAGTTTTGACATCTTTGGATCACAGTACTTCACTGGAGGGAAGGGAAGAAAACTGGTATCTTCCCGGGAGAAGCGCTGAAGAAATAGATGAATGCCGAGCAAGGATAACAAAAATAGACTATGTATAGGCCTTAAACCCTTCCTGGTTAGGTAGACAGGGTTTGGGTAGGCGCTCGTTTCACTTGCGTATGGCGAGGACAAAGGCCGAGTAAGGGTAATTGAAGAAGATGCTTGAATTTGACACCAGGTGGATTAATATAGTAATCCCTAAGAATAATAGGGGATCTAGGGAGATCAACGGTTTTGCGCAAGACGTCATCACCGCGAGGATCCTGGAACCCGCAGCACAGCCACGATTATATGTGGCGCATTAATTTGGATCATCACCGCCACATATTACCTTAGTCACCCGATCACCACTTTGGGCAGCTCCGATGATTGCTCTGCTTCCCAACGCTTCATTCACCTATTTTCTCTGCCCTGATTGGAACCCTGACTACCTCCATACCCTGCACAGCACATCCTCTTGAGACTAGTTTCTGTTCCATTCTATCCATAATATCTACACAGCCCTGGGTTGGTCTACCCTCCCTGGAAGCTGCTCCCTCCACCGTGTTGCTTGCTTATTTCGACCGTTTGCGCTGTCGGATTGAGTGAGCGGTTATTTCTCAGTCACCAACATTTTGAAATGCCAGAGCCTATCTTCCGATATGATCGAAACAAGTATGCGGTTAGAAGATTGTGAGTGCCTGGTTGTTGATCGATCGGTATGACGACAGCGTGCTAACCGAGGCCGGTGGGTCGTTGCTAACAGGGCTGGATGATTTGTGTGTCCGTTTCATTATCAACCTTCCGCGCGAGGAGCTTGAATCGGTCGAACGGATATGCTTCCAAGTCGAAGAAGCGCAATGGTTCTACGAAGACTTCATTCGTCCGCTTGACCCGGCGCTGCCGTCAATGAACTTGAAGACGTTTGCTATGCGCATTTTCCAGCATTGCCCACTTATGTCATCATGGTCTCATTATCACCATTTGGCTGCCTTTCAAGAGTTCCTCGATTACAAGACACGCGTACCGGTCCGTGGTGCGATCATGTTGAACCAAGACATGGACGAGGTCGTTTTGGTTAAAGGTTGGAAGAAGGGTGCCAACTGGAGTTTTCCCCGTGGTAAAATCAACAAGGGCGAAAAGGATCTTGATTGTGCTATTCGTGAAGTCTATGAAGAGACTGGGTTCGATATTCGGGACGCCAACTTGGTTAAGAACGAAGATGATGTCAAATACATCGAGATTACTATGCGAGAGCAGCATATGCGACTGTATGTCTTTCGAGGCTTGCCCCGTGATGCTCACTTTGAGCCACGCACCCGGAAGGAAATCAGCAAGATTGAGTGGTACAAACTTTCAGAGCTGCCAACGTTAAAGAAAAATAAACAGCATGATGAAGGACTCGCAGTCGCAAATGCGAACAAGTTCTACATGGTTGCCCCGTTCCTCAGCCCACTGAAAAAGTGGATTGCGCAACAGAAGAAGCTTGATGCGAGAGCCCAGCCTGGTACAACTCAGGCTTCACAGGCCGAGGAATATCTTTCTATGGATGAAAATGGCCATGCCAATGGCACTCCTGGGATGCCTTTTACGGAAATGGCTATTCCAAGTGATCTTCCTGAGGTAACCTCAGCGCAAGATGCTTCTGATCATCTCAAGCGCCTTTTGAAGATCGGCGCCGCACCGGGTCAAGTTCATACAACAGGTCTCGAGCCAGTTCGTGCTTCTTCCGTTGACCCGTCTAAGGCAAGCGGGCTTCTTGCCCTGTTGCAACGTGGCCGTCAAGAGTCAGTCCCTCAGGATTCTCTCGGTAATTCTATGGTGCCACCCGACGTATCTCAGTCCAACGTCCAATCTGCGGAACAACGGCCTCATTTGGGCCCGAATTTCTTCCCCGGCTTTCCTCAGCAGCAACAGAACATGGGTCCGTCTCCTTTCATGCGACAAAACTCGACACCATTCCACACTGTCCCGTCTCAACCTCATATCCAGCACTCTCCACATGGCCCCCAGGTTCTTGCGGGCACTGCATTCCCGACTACTGCGCCTAATTGGTATCCCAAACCACACGCGATACCCCAATTTCCTCAAACCACCACTTCGTCTCAATATCAGCACCATAATCAGCCTGCTATGGCCCATAGTCTTCTGCCACCAAGCCATATGCCTGCGCCATTTCAACGGACGGGAGACCCTGAGTTCTCTGAATCCGCTCAGTTATCTCAAACCCGGGGCCCAGTCGTCCCACCGGCGAGCAAGTTGCCTCCACCAAAGCTCACAAGCCATTCCCTATCACTCCTGGAAGTCTTTAAGGTCAAGACCCCCAAGGGTCCGGGTCCACCGAGGTTGGCGGCTCCCATTCAGGGCTCTTCCCAGGTGCCTGCGACGTCTCAGCATCAGGATAGTCTTTTGGGTTTGCTCAAGGGTCCCCAAACCGCCCGTGTTTCTGAACCAGTAGAATTGTTAGGCAAGCCTGTTGTGCCCCCTGCGGCGTCTTTAGAGAAACAGATTCTTCGGCGTCCTCGCGATCACCACAATCAGCCCACGCACCAGCCTGGTGCAGCGAAGAGGCTTCCGGGAGCAGGCCAGACATCGGCTACCGTGTCTGGACCATTGAACACGCCACAGTTTGAGTCATTTGCCAAACCCCGTAGGTCAAACAGTGGAACAAACCGCAAGAACCATGTGAACAGGCGAGAGCAACCCCAGCCGCAGCAGCTATCCTCGCCCATCACCATCCTACCGCGTCCTCATTCTACCAAACGGGAGGTATCCTCGCCGAGGCCCGTTGCACAAGCAACCCAGGTTCTGCCTGCGAAGATGCCCGCAGCGCCTGAGCCTATCAAGAATTTCCAACCGCAGATTCTACGTCGATCCGAAAAATCCGGATATGAAGCATTGATGGCCGCAGCTCCTCAAGCAGAAGCCACTGAACGCAAATTGAGTTTGCCAGGTGTTGACGCCAACACTCCGGGCCTGGCCCCACAGGGGAACTTTGACCGTCGACCGAGTCAAACTGCTGAGCAAAAAGCTTCGCTTTTGTCTCTATTCAGCAAGGCACCTGTCTCTCCGTCGCCCGTTCTTGCGACCCCGTTCGACGTCCGAGCCGTCAACCAGCAGCCGGCAGCATTCTCAGGCTTTGTTAGCCCAATGTCTTCCCGCAATCGTCCGAGCAGCGGGGATATTTCTCGTCGCGGTACCCCATCTGATGCTGGTGCGAACACCAATGGTCAACAGGTCTCCTCTCCCAGCAACAAAGCGTTCTTACTTGGGTTCCTGGAGGGAGTGGCCAAGGGCAATAAGTAGCTCTGCAGTAATTCTAGCTAGGCAGAAGTGACATACATAGCAATAGTGTAATATTGAAACCAACTATTCTTACATTCCATGTCTATCGTAAGGAAAGCCATTCAGTGGCATCTGTTGTACAAATAGTCTCTGCCACTTGGCGATGTATTGACGTCTATAGCACCACCGCTGGTGTTAAGGCTAGGATTAATTCCACCCTTATCCTCGACAAACTTGCAAGAAACGAATCATTGTATAGCGAGTACAATAGGCTAATGTAAACCACCTTAAAATCCGGTGGTACATTAATTTACATGGCATGAAAAGCTTCATTTTACCTAACGCTTTCAGGGCTAATTATTCCGTGCCGGACTATATATACAATACAATAGGGAAGTGTAAAAAGCGGTCAAAATCAAGCTATATTTCAGGGATTCACGGTTATTACCACTTTGCCACGATAGATTTAGTTTTTCTCAAGGGTTGTCCACTTCGCCAGCAACCCTTCCAGATTTCCCGGTAGCAAGCGACCACCATGTTCAACCATCTCACTCTCCTGAGGCTCAAACTCGAGCACCTCATTTCTGTTTGAACCAACTAATTGGGTAATATGAGTGTTCGTCTTTTGCAATTTGTTCTCTTCATTTTGGGTAGATGTGGCTTACTCCAACCCCCCATGTGGTTTACAGCCATCCAGAAGTCTGACATAGCCGGTTCGTCGTCGGTATTTGCGGCATTCGAGGGATAAGCTCCCATTGGCGAAGAAGTTGACACATCTGGCTTAGAAACATTTTTTTTTTGGTTTTTGCTCGCTATCAACGTCAGTAAAGTCCAAAACAAAGACCAAAATAAAAGGTGTACGTACGCAAAGAGCAAGTGATCGATGTGAACTGATGAACCGTGTTCCAATTGAAATCGCACGATTTCCCCGGAGTGGATATTTAAGACGCCTTTTTTTATTCGTAAATGGCGGGTTTCTTCAAGCTTGACTTTGCACGAGTCGACCTCACGAAGTATCTTTTCTATAAGCATGTTGTATTCCTTGAGCTCGGCGGAATCAGTATCAACCGGGGCTTCATGAGATCCGATTTGAGCATCACTGCTATTCGCGGATATTGTAGTCGATTCTGAATATTGTTCTTTCAAAGCTGGCTGGTATAAGTTTGGATCGCTTTTTGGATTGGGGATTCCATCAGTCCCGATATTGGCCGTTTTGCTGCTTGCGGTCTGTGTAGAAGAAGCTTGAGAAGCTATCACGGCCGTATCTGGAAGGTATGGCTTTTGGTTGTGATTTCGTCTGTCTTCCAACAGATTTTCTATTAAGCAAGGCTGCTCTTCGAGTAAGGCTGGAACATTGTTGCTGTTTTAAATTATGGGCAAGCCATTGTATAAACGAGGAAAAGACACACATACCTTCGAATCTGGCCTCCATACATAGTCACATTGAGCAGAAGCACCATCGTTGACTTCAGCCTTTCCAGGCTCATCTTTAGCTGATCCAAACTCGGTTCAACTAGTACTAGCCGAAACTTCCCAGTGACTTGCTGAAAGCGAGACTTATCAGTCCTGTCATTACTATCAATCACTCTCTGGATCTGTGCGAGCACATGCTGACACTGATCTAAGACACGGTTTAAAGTCCGAAGTGCCTCATCTGAACAGAGCTTGGACGACTCCTCTTCTTTCAAGCTGTCACCTAGCTCACGCAAAATGGCACTGACAAGTGTGATCTCGTTTGATAAGAGTTGTATGGACTCGTTGGAATTTTTGACTTGTCGGTAGAAGGAGAATAGTTTGACAGACAATTTGGTGCCTAAGTAAGTCTGCGACCTGTATAATACTGGCCGCGACAGCAAGGGCCTCGAGGCCAGACATGACGACAATACAACCACAGCTATCTGCTATCACGTAGTATAGTGACGATAATGTAGGCTCGAAACGAATAGTTGTTAAAGGGACTCGGTAGATGAAGCTCTCATTGCGCAGTCTGAGCGCTTACATGCAGATCCCCACCTGAGGGCATGTTCAATCATTAGATCTATTCTGCGCTTTCTCTCATGCTTCAAAGGGTTAATTTGCCAGATAATGAGTCTGTATAATCAATTTACAGCAGCAACAGGCCCGAGGCAGTGTTGATGCTCTGTAACAAAATACAAGGAGATGACCAGGGCCATATAGGACTCGTCGTCTATGTTGTTCTTCTGCCATAATTCACCGCCCCCAACGTCATCGCCCGATTTGTAAAGAAATAGATCAACTCACATTGGCTCTATTACACCAACTCAACCATGATGCGCCCACGCCCCTCGGTCTGTGGCCGCTGTCTGGACCGCAGTAGGCTATTTTCTACAACATCACAACGCACCGAACAGAGCCAAAACGCCTCCCTCCCGCCGGCCGCAGGTTACAGCCGACTCACAAACCGCGGACTGATCTCCGTCACCGGCACCGACAGCACAACCTTCCTCCAGGGCCTGATGACCCAGAACATGCTAGTAGCCAATGACCCAAACCGAAGCATTCGACGCACAGGCGCATACACCGCATTCCTCAATTCCCAAGGCCGAGTTCTGAACGATGCCTTCATTTACCCGCTCCCCGGCTCAGAGGCCCAGGGTCCCGAGTCAGGCTGGCTAGTGGAGGTAGACAAGAACCAGGTACCCGTCTTACTGAAGCACCTCAAGAAACACAAGCTGCGCTCGAAGCTCAAGCTCCGGGCTCTGGACGAGGGCGAGCGCACAGTCTGGTCTTCCTGGAAGAACCACGCCGAGCCCCAACGATGGACTACATACAGTCTGGAGTCGGAATCGCCATCGCCCTTCTCATCCACCTCTGAAATTGCCGGATGCATTGACACGCGTGCTCCGGGCTTCGGTTCCCGCATTATCACGCCCGGCTCCGATGGTTTGCGCACTTACTTCCCTGATGAGGTGCAGGTCGCTGGGCCCGAGGTCCAGCTGGACTCGTACACTGTCCGTCGATTTTTGCACGGCGTTGCAGAGGGCCAGGCGGAGGTTATTAGTGGATCGGCTTTGCCTTTGCAGTGCAATATGGATATGGCTCATGGTATCGATTTCCGCAAGGGCTGTTATGTCGGCCAGGAATTGACGATACGTACCCACCACCGTGGTGTTACGCGGAAGCGTCTTTTGCCCGTTCAGCTTTATGATTTGGGTCAGGATGGGCAAAGTGCCCCGGATACCCTCACATATGATCCTTCTTTCCAATTGACTTTGCCTTCTAGTGAAGCGGATATTGTTAAGGCCGGTGTCACTACTCGCCGAAACCGCAGTGCGGGAACGTTCCTTAATGGTATTGGCAATATTGGACTTGCGCTGTGCCGTCTTGAAGTTATGACCGATGTTGCGCTCATGGGTGAGGCTCCTGCTCGTCCTCATGAACATCATTTCAAACTATCCTGGGCTCCGGAAGTCGAACATCCTACCGAAGTCGGAGTACGTGCTTTCGTTCCGCCTTGGTTGAGAGATTTCATCTCCGGTGGAAAAGAGAAGCCCGCGCCCCGTGATCCTGAAGCAGAGGGTGAACGGGCACGGGAATTTGTCGAGCAATTGGAGGAAGAGGAATCCGAAGCCGAAGCGCGCCGAGACTAAGACACCCAAGTGTCAAATCACTACTCATGTATAATATAACACAACACAAACTGATATGATGTAAATAGCTCTTGTATCTCTATTCAACTCAACATTGCAAATACAACGTTCTCTGGGGTATCTCTTGAATCTAAATACAATGGTGGAATTAGGCTAGACCTTTTCAAAATGCAGAAATAAAGTGCGAGAGCTAGGTAGCTTTCGCTGCCGCTGCTTCTGCTGCGTCTGCGGCCTCGTCTTCTCGCGTGAGCTCTTCTTCGAGAGCTTTGCGCTCCTTCTCACGCTGTGCGCTCTTCAGCCGCATCATCATCACTTCCTGTAGACTAGGCGTGGCTGACGCCTTATTGGATTGATTGAATGACGTTGCACTCGGGGCAGCTGCCGCGGCAGATGCAGATGCAAATGAGCCAAACGAGGGCGCTTTATCGGATTGGGGAGCTGTTTTCAAGCCCTGGAAGTTGAATGATGGTTTAGCAGGCCGGCTGGAAGTGTCGACAGAGGGCTCTGGTGGTGCAGGTGCGGGATCAGCCTGATCAGGCTTGAATGATGTATCAGAACCTAGATCAGGCTGGTTGCCGGTGGCCCAGAAGACAGACTCGATAAGGCCCCATTCGTCATCTTGACCAGCATGTTGACGAATTTTCTTCTCGCTATCAAGAACAGCAGTGTGAGCGCTCACAATAGACGTGAAAACCACCACGCCCGTGGCAACAGTCTTCTTCCCCTTGTTCTCCCCGATCCGTTGGCGTTTATCTTTTAGCGCAATGGTATTTTCAATCTTCCCAAATGGCTTGAACAGCACCGCAAGCTTCTCAATATCAAGTTCCAGCCCACGACCCTCCCGCACCCAGCGCACTTTCACCGCACGCTCGAGCTCAGGGACCTGCGCGCCACCCTCCTTCGAGCGATCCACGCGCTGGCTACTCCGATCCGCCGCCTTGCGAGCCTCCTCTTCTTCCTGCTGGATCTTCTTATTCAGATCATCAAGCTCCTTTTGAGCCTTCTCCCCAGCCTCGCGTCGCCTCCGCCGCCCGTCCTCCGCAATTCTATCAATCTCCCGCTGCAGCTTCTCTTCCGCATCCTCGTCCCCACCCGCCGCCCATGATCTCTTGACACCCTGCGTGACACCTGCGCCACCCATTTCGGCGGCGCCTGCCCGCTCCCGAGCTTCCAGGTCTTCGCGCATCTTTCGTTTTGCCGCTCCCATCATGTCCCGTTCGCGCTGTTTGCGCATCCGCGCTTCCCGCGCATTGTCGTATAGCTGACGCACTGATTGGTCGGAGAGTACATCGTAGGCAATTTGGAGGAAATGGAATTTGTCGATGTCTGCTGCGGTGGGGTTTTTGATCTTGTCCGGGTGGTACTTTAGTGCGGTGCGGCGGTATGCGCGGCGGATTTCGGTTTCAGTGGCTGCTGGTTGGATGTCTAGCAGAGCGTAAAAGTCTTGGTTTGAGGCGGCGTGCGCCTTGAGGTCGTCGTTTGGCATCTTGGTCGTTTATGCGACTGGGGTCGCCTAGGAGATTTGCGGAGATGAGATGGGGAGGTTGATATTGCGATTTTCCACTCTGCGGCTTGGTTAGGGTGTAGTGTGTATAGAGCACAGTGATGTCCCCGAGATAACCCTAAATCAGAGCTCTTAAAAGTGAGGTGGTGTTGTTGGGATGGAAATTTGTAGGTTCAAGTTCGGAGCTTGGGCGGTGGATCTGTTGCGCCTCAGGCCGCCAACTGGTATACTAGGATATCTCAATTGCAAAATAACCAGGGAATCCATCATTTACTAGATGAATTGGTTATATAAATTATTCAGCTCTTAAAATTTGTTTCTGGCTCGTTGTTGGATATAAGAAAAACTGATTGTTATTGTGACTAAGATTGTAGGATCGACGTAGATCCATGAAGATATATAATTTCTGGGCACGTGTGCATCTTGGAGTTTCTGTTCTCTATCAGTAGGTGACAACCCCTTTACTCCAAGCCATGACCCATTCGAGTCCATTGACAAGATGACAACTATGTCACCGTCTAAATCTGATATTACACCTCCAACCAAGCTTCAACTAGCCCTAGCATTGGCTGTTGTCAAGGGAAAACCACCAGGCCAAGGCGTTAAAGGTTGGCGAATATCCGGTCTCTACAGAGTCAGACCATTCGATTATTAACTCTCCATTCTAGAATATATTTTGCAGGTTCGACAGTTCATTAGAGAGACCAAAGATTTGGGCCAGGTTGGTGCGACGGACAAGTTCTTCGACAGCGTCTCCTTCTGGCAACAAGCGTACGAACGGTCTGAGGCAGGACAGAGCAAGTTACAAGATCAAGTCCACGAGCTTAACCAGCGTATCGAGGGTCTTCTTGCCAACCTGCGTGTCAAAGTCACTGCAAATGAGAATGAGACCTTGCCGGCAAACAAACGCAAAGCGCCTGCTGGTGGCAAGAATGCGAAGAGTTCGCACATGGCTAGGAAACGCACAAAGCTACCAAAAAGTATGCAGAAAAGTATTCCATTATTGGATGATGATGATGATGATTCAGGAAAAGAAGATGGTACTTAGTTCTCTTTTCTTGGACTAGTCATGACGGTGACTGATGTGATTGCAGATCTTAACAGGCAGCTGTATATCGTCCAAAAGGCCTTGCAAAAAAGGATAAACAGTAGTTCTGAGGCCAATTCTCTGGCTGTGGATGCAGTCATCCTTTGCAAGTCTGCCGAGCAGAGACTGATCCAAACTATTCAGAACGAGAGCAGCATGACGGAGCAGAAAACTTTCCAAGCCGAGCAGGCCAATATGCCAGACACAGAAGCTGTTATGAATGGGGTGACAGTTGCTTTCCATCTCATGCACAAAGCGTTGCATAAAATGATTGGGGCCGAGAATAGCACGCAGCACCAAGCTCAGATCATCTACTATCTGGTAGGTCTGTTCGAATCAAGCATGACATCACTCACTCTGCATTGCACTGCGATATCCAAGCAAAAGTCAGCCACCAAAAACGTCAAATCAAGCAGAGGCCCAAAGTCTGCTACGCAACCAAATGAGGAAAACAAACGTACAAAAGAGAAGAGCACACCTACCAAGAATGAGACGGCCACTCGCCTCGGAGATCTGCTCTGTACGATGGCACTATCCCTTAACCTAACTCGTACCGAAGACCAAGAAGTAATGGAAGGGTTTCTTTTCCTTGTTCTCAACCGCATGGGAAAAATGCTAGCCCTCCATGTTTTCCATGACCTGCGACTTCCAATGGGGATTTGTCCTGGGATGACATTCCCAAATGGACTGGAAGCAATGACTGACGAGGGTCTTATGCCAAACGAGGCACAACTCGAAGCCAAGTCTCTCGTTCGGCTTTTGGACAGAATACTTAATGCGGAATCCCTCCAATCACCCTTCAAGACATCGGTTGCTCGTCAATTTCTCATAAATGCCAAAGAACGTTTGCAAAAGTCTCTTCTCCAGGCTGTATTTGGACCTGATGATCATCTGTTTCGGGAGGGTCTGCAGCGTCCGCACACTCCGCCTCCTCAGGTACTTGATGGCCAACAGATGGGCCAGGACAAGTTTTCGGATTGGCTTACACAGGAGTTGTGGCGGCTTGTTGGTTGGAATGTGTTGAAGACTGTGATTGCTTCAACCTAAAGCCCCCGATTATGGAATTTGTGCTCCTGGTACTATGTTTGTTTTACGTCTGTTTCCCTATATTGCCTTATACCCCAGTTGTTATGGAGATGATTGTATCTGCAGACCAGTATAATGATATTTATGCTAGATAGTATATATATACTTATTCGAGTTTCAAGACGCGAGCAGCATTGCCACCCAAAACAGCAGCCACGGCCTCCTGTTCTCCCTCAAAAGTGGCATCAATAGCCTTATAGTTGGTCGTCACACTGATCCATTCCTTCTCACCCTCATTAAGAGGGGGGAAGAAAGGATGATCGGTACCTGCGAAGTATGTTAGCTCGATGCATCCAGATAATACTAACAAGACTAGAAAACTTACCAAACATCAGACGATCGGTACCTTCCCCAGCAGCAACAGCAGCCTTGAGGCCGGCAGTTCCGTAAACGACGGCATCAAGGAAGATATTGGTCTTCAGAACCTCCCAAATACTCCTCTGCGGGCCAGGAACATCCCCACCATTCTCCACAAACTTCCGTTCATGCATAATACAGCTCTCGATGCGCCCCGCCAAAAATGGCAAGGTGCCACCCGAATGCGCCAGCAAGATCTGCAGCTGCGGGAACTTATCAAAGACACGCGACAACAGCATGCGGGTGACCGCAATAGTCGTCTCGAGCGGGAACCCAAGAGCCAAGGGGAGGACATGGCCATAGAGCTTTGTCACTTCGGGACCACCAAACGCCTCATCAGGGAGACCGTAATGAGGATGCAAGAAGAGAAGGAATTGTGTTTCCTCCAGCGCAGCCCAAACAGGACCGAGCTTTTCATCATCGAGACCATTTCCCAGCCCGGAAGTCCCCATAATCACGCCACGGATATGAGGCAGGGTCTTGAGTCGCTTGATCTCGTTAACGATGATATCGGGACTAGGTGCGCTCAGCGGCAAAGTCGCAAAGGCGAACAAAGTCGATCGTCCCTTCAGAGGGAGGTTGTTGTCCGGATCAGTGGACTTATTGTTCTGGGCACAGGTTTCCTCTAGATCGTCGTTGATGCGCTCGGCCCATTGCTGGGCTTCGGCGGGGTCGAGGAAGTCTAGCCAGGGATTTGCGAGAGAGATCACGCTGCTGTCAATGCCGTGCTGTTTCATGAAGCTTAGCTTGACATTGATGTCGGAATAGGATGTATCGACGGGGCGACCGCGCTCGTCAATTGGAATGGATGGATCATCGTCTGACGAGAGAATTATCAGGCGCGGTTCTCCGCTTGCTGGGTCGTGGATGTAGGGGACTGTCTTGCGAGCGCGAAGCATCGCCATGTACGATGGAGGGTACACATGGGTGTGGACATCGACTACTAGAGGACGAGACATGTTTGGGATAAAGATAGAAAGGGGAAAGGAAAGAGAGGAAGATGGAGGAGCAGGGAGATCCAAATGAGGGGAGAGTAGATAAGAGCGGGGATGCCCCGAAGGATTCCCGCGACGTTACGGACTTTATCTTCGATAATGGCCCTTTGATGTTACGTATTCAGTTGCAATTTAAACGAGAAACAGGCTATCGAGATATACAGCTTCTCATTAGAAATGCCAAGACTCATAATCCAATCTACTTCATTGATTCATTGGTAACATTGACTGTACATGAACTTTAGCAAGATTCAAACACTCATCAACATGAATTCCACATACACTCTCGACCATCACTTTTGCAGGTCAGCACCGGCCAAAGTGATAGGCTTCGCGTTGGTGAAGTTGGGGATATCGCCAAACACCCCCGCAGCGACAGGGGCCTGCAGAGCAGCCTTCAAGGCATCCTCACTCTCCCACTCGAGGGTAGCCATGATCAGATACTCAGATCGCGAGCCATCGAGGGCATTGGGAAACTTGGTGACACGCCAGTTGAGCAGACCGAAGGGCTTCCAGGAGCGTTCGACGAGTGGCATGTGAGACTTCATGTAGTAGGACTCGTCGAACTGGATGTCCGCATTATTGGGGTACATAACAATTCCAGTGAACGGCATTTTGGCGGAGGAATGGATTTGATTGAAAAACAAAGAGATAGTGTATATTGGAAGTTGATCTGATGAAGGAAGATAAATAGAAAGCTAATGTGTTGAGAGTGTTGAAGCTGTTGAGGCTAATTGGGCGGATTATTAATCGCTCGAGGTACCCGCAGGTGGGAACTCGCCGAGGGTGAGACGAGGACTCCCAACCTTTATGTTATGCACATATTGGGCTGAGGGCATATTATATTCACATCGTATCTAAGGCATACCCAGAGCATATCCAAAGCATCTCACATTCTCATTCATATGGGAGCATCAATGGACTGCGCGAATGGAATCTAGCGCTCACATCTGCGCTAGATAACCTAGCTTATTAGCCCTAGGCGCCCAAGTGTGGATATCAACCTGGAACACCAATTCCTCAATTAGGCAAATCATTATTCCTCCACAATGGCGTCTCAAATTCTCAGCCTGCGAGCGGGGATATGGGCCTTGATTGCGCTCGCCAGCGGCGTTTTGTACAACGCCTATGTGCACAATATCATTTTTCTCACAATTGGCGTCGGCCGAAATATCCAATCAATTGATGAATTCTTATGGACTTGCACACGCCTGCAGCATCCTCTCTTAGAAGGGTATGAGGACATGTGGTTAGACGAACAAGGACGAAAACTGTACGCAGCATGCAGCTCTATAGACACAAGACAGGGATGGAGTCCGGGTGGTAGCAAATTCAACATCTCCGCGAGATCTCGCACGGATCATATCGCAGTGTTGAATATTGATCAACCTGGCCCGGACGGGCTGTATGGCCTCCACAAGCTCAACGTCGGCGGTTACTCTGGCGACCTGGATCTGCATAGCTTCGACGTGCGCAGTATTCAAAGGCAGACTTCGATTCTGGCTGATCAACCATAGACCCCCAGTCGATCCTACCACCGGGGAGTTCCTTAATGCCCGCACCTTTGGAGCGAACTCGACAATCGAGATCTTTGATTTGGAGGATAACTCGGAGACAATTGAGCATGTTAAAACTATAGCCAGCGAGGCGATCATCTCGCCTAACAACTTTGCTGTTGACAATGATGGTCTGGGATTCGTGATTACCAATGATGATTTGCGGAGGAAGTCTCACCTATTGTCGAACTGACACAGGAAAGTGCCGTGTCGCTGCCAACAAGGGGTTTTCCTTTGCCAACGGGATCGTCCAAGAGAACGGGCTTTACTATGTGGCTCATTCAGTGACTGGACTCGTGACGGTCCATAAATTAGTTGACGACCAGCTGATTCAAGTTGACCAAATCTCCACGGGATACCCAATTGATAACCTGTCTCTCAATGCAGATGGGAACCTCCTGGTTGCCGCAATTCCGAACTCCATTGCGTTTGTGAAGTCCATGGAGGACCCATATAGAGTTGTTGCTCCTGCTACTGTTCTCGGGGTCAATGGTATAGCGACTCAGCTGAGAACTCAGAGGGGAAAGGACTGTGAGGTCTCGAAGCTCGTGGAGGACAAGGATGCCCAATGGCTTCCTACTTCGGCTGTTGTGGTGCAAGATGTGGAATTGCACCGCTTGTTCCTCGGGGGAGTCCTGTCGCCATTCATCACCATATGTGAAAACCGTATTTAATTTCTTTTTGCTTGCTCTTTATGCGCTTTGAGATGGCCCGATGATTAAGACATATCCACAATGCCGGGTCAGTGTGGAGGGGTGGGGAGATCGTCAGATCAAGTCCGAATATGGCAACCAATTTGACTGATAGCCAATTCAAGGTCAATTGTCTAATGCAAATGTAATGCAAAATGTAAGATGTCAAACGTTTAAACGCTTATCTTATCTGCCCGTGCTTATCTCCTGGGCTTTTCGATGTATGCACCTGATCATGGATCCTTTTTCCCGACTTTCCCCCTCTTCTTGGGATCTTCCCTTTTCAAAACTCACTTTACCGGCTTTTGTTGCCTCATATTTCCCTTACAACAGTACTCATTCCCAGAAGCAGTATACACAATGGCCTCCAACACCTCTCCAGATATCCATCATGCCTCTGCAGTAGATAAGGACGATTTGAAGATCCCGGTATGCGATGTCTTTGGGTATCTCAAGCTACGACTAATAGAATATGTTCTAGCTGATCGACTTCAGTCCCTTCTTCACAGGGACCCCATCTGACAAACATGCAGTCGCTCTCTCCATTACTGATGCTTTCAAAACATCTGGCTTCGTCTACCTCAAGGCACATGGCATTCCCCCATCCGTGGTGACCGAGGTATTTGCGTCATCGGCCCGTTTCTTCGCCCGTCCCCAGAGCGAGAAGGACTCTTTAGGCTGGACGACCCCACAGTCGAACCGTGGTTACGTCGCCATCGGACGGGAGAAGTTAATGACCGTCGAGGAAACAGATGGAGTCGATACTCTACGTGCATCCGCACCAGACATCAAGGAAACTATGGAGCTTGGTCGCGAGGGCATCGAGGGTCTACCCAATCGCTGGCCCGATCATCTCGATGACGAAGGAAAGAATTTCAAAGAAACCATGCAGTCGTTCTTTGAGATGGGAAAGACCCTACATAAGCATATCATGCAGGCCATTGCATTGGGAATGAATTTGCCGGAGCACTTCTTCGACGACTCTGTCAATGCCGGTGATAATAATCTCCGTCTGCTTCACTATCCTCCCGTCAGCAAAGAGGTCTTCAAACATAACCCTAACCAAGTCCGTGCGGGCGAGCACAGCGATTATGGTTCCATCACCCTGCTTTTCCAGGATAAGCACGGTGGCCTGCAAGTGCGCAGTCCCAAGGGAACGTTTGTGGATGCGACCCCCATCGCTGATACCATTGTTGTTAATGCTGGGGATCTGCTGGCTCGGTGGTCCAATGATACCATCAAGAGTACCCGTCATCGGGTAATTCAGCCGCCCGCGCCCGAGGGCTCTGAGAACGATGATTCGGATTATCCTGCTCGGTACAGCATAGCGTATTTCTGCCAGCCCAACAGCGACAAACTTATCGAGGCACTGCCGGGAACCTACGGCAAGGAAATCCAAGTGGACAAGAAATACTCGGCCATTACTTCAGGCGATTATCTGGTCCAGCGACTGACAGCGACTTACTGAATGGTTAGACCATGATTTTCAGATTGCCCCGATGAATATCTTCGTTTCGTGCGTTTTCTTTGCGTTTCACTCATGAGCGATTAAACATTCCTATCTGGAAATCAAGCACTCTACATATCTCTCTTTTCATTGAAGCTCATCTGTACCGTCTATATATACCCAAACTGCACATAGCCCGAACAATACACTTAATAGACGGCAGGCGAAACCGAAATCCGGCCGCCATCAGTAACTAGGATATTACCATTGATATAACCACCCGAGTTACTCGCCAACCAAACAATCAACCCGGCAAAGTCCTCCTCACTACCACCACGCGTAGCAGGAATCATCTCCCTGGGGAACGATCCATCAGAAATAGCCCGACCCTGAATCCCAGCAGCCTGGAAGACATGATTCGCCATATCGGAGTAGTAAAGACCAGGCGAGATGCCATTGACTCGAATATCGTAATAAGCAAACGAAGTAGAAAGCATCTTCACCAGATGCGTGGTCGCCGCCTTGGAAGCGTTATACGCAAAGCTAAATGGCACTTTGCGAATAAACCCAGCAATCGAGCTGGTGATAATAACCTGCGCAGTCGGCGCAGCAAGCACATCCACCTGCGGCGCTGGACGTCGCTTATTCGCCGCCTCGAGCAGAGGCAGGAATGCCAGAACCGTGTAATAAGACCCAGTAACGTTCACGTTCATCACGGTGTTGAATTCTTCCATGGGGACGTTGAAGAGTTCGTCTCGGACTTGTGAGAGGGGCGGGAGGGACCCGTCTTCTGCGGGTTGTGGGGGTTTCATGAGTGGACCCATTACGCCGCTGTTGGCGATTAGGAGGTCGACATGTGTTGTTTGGGCTGCGACGGCTTTGTAGGCTGCCTCGAGGGATTCTTTTGAGGTGATGTCGCATTGGATTGGGATCACAGTGCCGTTTATGCTTTGTGAGGCGGTCTCTTTGAGCGCATCTTCGCGTCGGCCTAGGATGAAGATCTTGGAGACTTCATTGGCATCTAGGGCTTTGGTCATGATACGCCCGAGGCCTGTGTTTTTTTTTTTTTTTTAGTTTATGTGTACTTGTATTTGTGCGATTTGATCGTTTGGGTCTTACCACTTCCGCCTCCGGTGATCACGACCACCCGGTCCTTGACTGAGAATAGCTTTGATGCTTGGAGATGGGCCATGGCTCTTGGGTGATTCCAGGAGATTTGATAGAGAGAAAGAGAACTGGGGGGTGATGTGCTCTATAGGAATGAGTCACTAACCCGCGGTATCGCCATACTACCGTGCCCCTCGTTAGATCGGCAATGCTGCCGAGAATAAACTTTCTCGCGGAACAACACCGACTTTCAATTTCGAATTATAAAGTTCTATAATGTTTTCACAAATACTTATACTCAATTTTGAGACGATAATATGCCTGCGTTTACCTAGGGAAGATCGGTGGTTTCACTGAGTATTCATGTCTAGGAACAAAGAACTGTGATAGTTCGAAGCTTCGTGGCTAGCGGTGACGTAGACAGTTACCAGGCTCAGGCCACTCCGAATTCTGGCCCGAGTGCCCGATCCTTGAGGCAACTGGCTGTAGGCATACTATGCAGGTTTTTATAGGTCATCTCCAAAGCGTTGGCACCGTAGCAATGCATGGACTTCGTTAGTTCGATATAAGCCTTCCCCTGATCTACTCGGATAGAGTCTACCGAGAAAGGTCACTAGCGGTCTAATCAACTTAGTCGAACCCGCTAGACGACTATATAGATCTATACTAGGCGGCTAGCATGGTAATAATGGCTGCAGCATCTGGCCATGGTTCTATCTATAGGATGTATTGAGTCTTGAGTAGGATCACTTTGAGCACAATGCGCCTAGTAGCTCGATAAGACCTACAAGCCTATTATCAGGGTTGAGTCCGTAAGGATAGAACTGGAATACGAAGTATATGGAGCCAGACCCATTAAAATCCGGAAACGACGGGAGCTTGTCGAAAATCCACTTTCACACATCCGATCGACCGGTCAGATTCCTGTACGCTCACCTAGGTACAGAGTACCGTTTCAATTGTGGTTTTACGCTCGGTTAAAAAGTCTGCACGTTTCAACTTCGGCTACTTTTTGATACCATGTACCATATCCCCCGCATACGAGCTGCATAAAAAAAAAACAAGCGGTCAAGAAGCACAGTCGGAGTCGTGGGACATTCATTGTCCTCCGTAGGGATCAAATTGCAGCATTACAAACAAAGCGGTAGATTATGCATCTACGGCTGGGACACGGCAAATCCTCCCATCTTTACTTCTTCGAGACACATAAATGCTAGCCAAAAGAAGCAAATAATACTCCCCATTTCCCCCTTCTCTCAGTTCTCGTTCCCTAAACGCCAAGTAAGCGCTTTTTCTAAGATTGCAGAGCTTACTTACTGACTATCTAGTCATGCCTCAATGGACCGGATCCCTGACTAGCCAGAATGGAAATTCTCTGGCGGGATTATTCATGATTAATGGCGAGCCGTGGGTATTCGAAAAGAACGCTGAAGGGAAACCGGCGGCTCCATTTCAACGGGCCCCTGCAGTCGTCAATATTCCGTGGAAGGAACTTGAAAATATCCGCCAGTCCCTGCAGAGTCGAGAGCCGTTCACGGCGACTGTTATGGGCTCTACTATGGAGATCATTTGGTCTAATGGGGTGAGAATCACTGCCAATGTGCCCCATTGTGACACCTATGGTTTTTTTTCAGGCGAGGGTGGCTGGCGGACGCAGTGAAGGTGTTGGATACCTTGATGAATCTATGAATCTTCTGTTTTATGGCACGTTTCTTTTTGCGTTGGTGTTGGGTCTGATATTGCAGCGCTGGGTATCTTTATCTATATATGAACGATTGCACACCTATTTCGCCGACAGCGAAATTCCATTTTCATTGTTTATTGACGTTGATTCCCAGTTTCGCCCTTGTTCCCTGAAAAATATCCGGCAGTGTCCGGCCGGATTCAATTTCCACCCCCAGATACAAATGTGTACGTTGGTCTGTTCAGGTCCATGGAATGTTGGGGGTACATTCGACGTCATGTACTGCCGAATAGGCCGTTGTCTAGCAAATGGCAGTATCTTGCAACTACTACACCAAGTATATGAAGAACGGACATGAATTGCCATAAAATCACAAACCTTAACATTACCATGTGGCAATTCCACCATTCGGGATTTATTCCCGTTCAAAGCTACCCATATTTGCGCCCATAAAGATGTCTTGTGCGATTTCCTTACAAAATCAGGGACCCCGTTGGATTGCCTAGGCTGGTGATCATTTATTTGCTGATATTGGCTGAAGTAACACTATATGTGCTCTACGCAAGGTCCGTACCTATCCGATGCCCTTTGAACAATACAACTAACCCAATGCTTCGATGACCAGTGATAACAAAGCTTCGTCTGTCTTGAAATAGAGAAATATTGACCTTGACCAGAGATGATCTGGAAGAGTATCATTCTGTTGAGCCTATTGAGCTCACTGCCGTTCGCGGCTTCTTCTCCAAAGAAGCACCCACAGGATGTGACTACAAGCCTTGACCCGTCACTGCCTTCTCCAATTGAAGCCAATGCGTCGGCTTCAGCGCCGCCACTTCGTGGTCACAATAGCTCCAGGCCACACACACCCTTCACTGGGACTCCGACTACCACAGGTGCGCTGACAGCTTCTTCAATCGGAACGGGCATCCCTCGCGGAGGCGTTGCAGCTGGAGCGACAACCTATCCCGGTGATGGAAAGCTTCACCATGCCGAGCCTGCTCCATACGTCCCGGCAGGTGGTGTCGGGACCAACGGAAGCACGCCCGTGTACAACACGAAGAGCGATTTCGACTACGAGTCTTTGGTATGCATCCGCACTATCTCAAAGCAGGGTTGTGGCCCAGAAGCTAACCTACAACGGACAGGCCCTTGCTCTATATCAAGAATGGATTGAACTTGATCTGTTCCAAGATGGACTCCAGCGTTTCAACGAGTCGGCCTTCCGAGCTGCCGGTTTGACTGCTGCAGACCGCGAGTTGATCGCATTCATGGCACAGCAAGAGATAGGCCACGCCACTATGCTCAGCAACATCCTCGGAGACCGTGCCCCACAGCAGTGCAGCTATATCTACCCCTACACCAACGTCAAGGAGTTTGTCGACTTCTGTCAGAAACTCACTCGCTGGGGGGAATCTGGCGTGTATGGGTTTTTAGCTCATCTTGACTCCCGAGAGGCAGCGACTCTTTTGGTTCAATCCGTTACCACGGAAGCACGACAGCAAATGATCTTCCGCCAGTTCGAAGGTCTCTTCCCGATGGTTGAGTGGTTTGAAGCTGGCATACCGCAGTCCTGGGCTTGGACACTGCTAGCACCTTTCATCAGCTCTTGTCCTGAAAATCAGACTCGATTGATTTGGCAGAATTTCCCATCGTTGATGGTAATCAATGAACCCGATCCGTGGATTTTGGGAACTGTTTCTGGCAACTTGTCCTCGAGCAATAACCGGACTTCTGAGTACAATTTTACTACGAGTGCTGATCGGATTTCAAGGCTCCACCAGACTTCCGGGTTCAATCAGACCTCAGGATTCATGTTCAATCAGACCACTGGAAACAATAATACCGTCGGATCAGGCGTCAGTATCCCCAAGTCGCCAAAAGGCTCCGGAAGATTCAATTCGTCTGTTTCGGGTATCGTTCCCCCAGTTCCTGTCAGCAAAACCCGCCCAGTACCTCTCACGGCGCCGGGTCGCCAGGTGCTGTTGCAGTGGGATCTTCCTGGGAAGAAAATTGGTCCCAACAGCAGCTACATCACTACAACAGAGACGAAAGCTGGTAGCGCAAAGTTTGTCATTTGGGTGTCGCAGATAAACATTACCTACACCCCTCTGCATGTTGTCAATGGTACCAACAACGGTACCAACACTACTAACAGTACTACTGATGGTATTCGAGGATATACCACCCAGCCCGGCTTGGAAACGTACCAGGGTGACCCAGCTTTCAACGGTACCATTTTCATTGCTATCACAGACAGTGATCTGTATGTGAGCCCGTTCAATCTCAGCTTGATTGACCCGCATGTGGTTGCCGGTCCAGCTATGTACCAGGCTGGTTGAATTAGTCGTCAGCTCGTGTATTTACTGGGTGTTTTAAAGGGTGCAGGGAATTAGCAGTATCAATTTATAAAAGTTTGTTTTCTGTTACTCAAAAGCATGAGAAATACAAATGTAAATATAAATGAAATTGTACATCTGGAGCTATGAGCCAACTGGCGATCGCCTTAACCCCGGTGTATGTGTCTTATCGCCGAACCTCAACCTCATCTCTTCACGTCAGTGTTAACTTTTTTTTCCCACGCCACTCATCACTCCTGCACGCCAGCCTTAGCAATATGGAAGCAAGGAATCGCAAACAGCGCCGTGCAGCAGCTGGATCCTCCTCTAAAACCTCCGAACCCGAAATCTCCATGGCCCACCCCCCACGCAACGATCCGACCAAAAACAAACCAACCGTCGAGCGCACACTATATGACATCATCGCAGAGCGACAAAGCGGCCTGCATCAAAAGGGGGGATCGATTCCAGCTCCGGTAGAAGGACAGGGCATACCATCACAGTCAGGGGGAACGCGATTCGTGACAGTCGACGCGTCTGGGAAATTGGTCGACACGGACGGCGACATCAGCAGCCATCTCTCATCAAATGGCTCGCAAAAGAGCAAAAAAGCTCAACGGGGCTCAAATGGAAACGCTGTCAAGCAATCCGACTCCGAATCCGAACCTGACAAACCCCTCCCACCATTCCTCGACACAATTCTCCTGTCCCTGCCTCTTACGACACTCCATCTCACACTGAGCTATCTCGCAGCCCATCAATACGCTGAAAATACCGACCTGCCGAAACTCTTTAAAGATTCTGTAACGACCGCTTTCCCTCTTCTCACTTTATTCGTTCATCTAGCACATGGTCATATCATTTCCTTCAACAAGCGCGGTTCGAAGAATGCACGCGCGGAGCCTGCTCCTTCTTTGTTCCCATTTACAAGTGACAAATTGACGTTTTCATTCCTACGAAAGCTGGTTTTCCCGCCTGCGCTGCGGACCTTGGTGTTTCTTCCTGTTGCTGCGCTGCTAGGTGCGCATCTTATCGCCATCACGAATGGAGAGCCGTATTATGCGGTCATGAAGAAGGCGCCGGCTGTTGGGACTATCTGGATTTGGTGTATTTTAGAGTTGTCATTTGGGGCTGCTGTACTTGGGGCTTTGGGGCCTTTGGTTTGGGGGGTTTGGTGGATGGGGTATGGTATTGTTTAAGGCTGGGGATGGAGAGCTTGGATATATTATAAGGAATGGCTGTTGTAAATAGGAATTGCATTGAGAAGGAATTCTGATTGCTTTGATGAGGATCGGAAATGAAATATCAATATCAGTTTCATCATCTATCCTAATATGTAGAATAACAAAGCATATATAAAATCATTGATCCATCATTGAAACATGAACCATCTCTAACAAAGACACACCGAAACAACCATTATACAGAGACATAACGCAATGGCATCAGAATACACAAAGCCCCTTGTTCAAAACATCATTCGACATCAAATAAGAAGTTGATTCTTCGGCCCATCCGACCAAGAAAACTCCCTACACCTCCAAATCGCAATGTCCGGACGCCACCATGATCCCCCTATTTCCCACTCACCCGTCAATGCGACCGCCCTCAGACAAGAAATCATCGCCACAATTTTTCGTATACGCAGACTCCGTCTAATTGTCATCATTCCTGCACAGCGTCGCTGTTCCGGCAGTCCTCTAGCCTTGGCATTTATCTATATACGACCTTTTCTCACCGACTGGGACAACAATAATATACAGTGGGGTCTGTTGGTGCAAGCAAATCCTGGCCAACGACAGACCTTTATCGAGATAGACATCACCACGTATCCAAGTGGTACCGCCCAGCAGCGAGAGCAGAACTTTGCATTCCCTGTCTATGTGCTCAAGTCTGATTCCGGTGGGAGAAATTGGCAGTTCTATAGACACTCTACTAGAACTACTACTTATCCCCGAGGACTGATTGAGGAGCTTGCAGGGTTATCCTTGATGTGATTATTTTCATTTGTATGTTCTAGATGCATGAACAGCGAAGTGAATTCCCTCGATTTGAATTTTCTTTTTTGAAATTGCTTTTTCCAGTTTGTTCTAGTTTGTTCTAGTTTGTGCTCGATATAGACGCTGTGGATTTGACATGTCGTCAACAACTAGTCCGAGCTTTCCAATGCATATGTCAAGACCCAACAAAATCCCAAAAACCACTCAACGAAATTTATTTTTATTTTTTAATTCAGCCCTCGTGATTCGGAAGATATTGACAACGACCAACTTAATACATTTCTGCATTTCTGTTCCCGACAGTCGGATTCTGAGTCATATGTATCAGTTTTGCCAAAAGTCCCTGTACCTTTTGTTTACGCCACATGCAAGGTATTATTGATATTTCTCCTGTTACCAAAAGGAGGACAACCATAATACCCCCGAGAAAAGCAAGGAGAGCTATACCAAATAGGTCCTGACAAACTTGATAGACTGACGTGCAAAAGTCCCTCGGCCCGATGTAACATCCCGAAGTGAGCCCGTTAAGTGCGGCCCGTGGACCCTCTCGGATGAACCCAGCAACACCGGATCTGGTAGGAGTTGAACAGCTGATATGGACCCGCTATGTGAATATTTAGCTATATAATTTATATGTAGTTCTAAACTCAAATCCAAACCCAAAGAGCTAAAATCCAAAATCCAAAGCGCTTAAGCAACCTAATCGGGATCAATAATTAACCTCCTTAGCTCCACCCATCTCCGCTGGTACCAAGGATGCCCCTTGCATGGAACGGAACGTTCCACTTCTGCAGAATTCTTAGTGTTCCAAGGTTCCATCGGAATCGGATTCGGATTCCGTGTAACTGCTACTCCACTACCCAGGACCCACGCAGGAGTATGTGCATGAACGGGATCGACGAATTAATTGAATTTGTCTATGTTGTATACATCATATTTCTTATGCAAGCCGAGATCCGAAAACCGGGATCCTGGGCTGGGGAGAAGTGGGTTTTTGGAAGGGCGGTGTGGGTTGTTCTAGAGTCTCACTGCATGAGGCTTCGGGAGCTCCCCTGGAAGGGTCTAGGTGCATTAACTCCCCTGGAAGGATCGAGGTGCATTATCATAACTGCTGCCTTTGGTGTTTGTGTTTACGATGATTATGATATCTACGGTGGATTTGGTGTGAGATGTAACTTTCAAAGACAAATTAAAATTGAAACTCGATAATGCTGAAAAATGAACAAAGTCCTGGGAAAAACCATCGTAAGGAGGTTGTCTAGTTCGTTAAAAAAAAAAGATGTGACCACCACCAGAAAAATAGAAAAAGAGAAAACAAAAATGCAAAAAACCAACTGTCCCATAACGCCATATTCCCAAACGCCATTCCCTTTCACCGCACTTCACCGCTGAATGAGGATACAACTCACATGCGCCGTAGATCGTGCAAAGTACGGCCCGCTTTCTTAATTTAGACTGCCACCCGTCCTTCCGGGATGAGACTAATAGGGGAAATCTCAACAGCGGGTAGTCCACGTCGAGTGGCTGCAGCAGAGGCGTCACCTTCGAATCCGGATAGCAACGACGCCACCATCTCCCGGTAGGAGTTCATTTGTGACAGCTTGAACCGCTGGATCTTTCCACTTGCAGTGCGTGGAATCTCTTCCACAAATATGACACCTCCATCGAGAGCTTTGTATTTCGCCAGCTGCTGGCGTGCATAATTGTAAACCTGTTCGGCGGTTAGGCGGCGAACGGATGGGTCGCGAGAGCGAACGATGAAAGCGCGTGGGACCTCGCCCACGCCATCCTTGTGCACGCCAATCACGGCGGCGTCAATGATGCCTGGGTGTTGGAGAAGGACACTTTCGACTTCAGCTGGGGCGACTTGCCATCTATAGAATGATTAGTATTTTGTTGAGTTTATGAACTAGGGGCTTGGTGATAGACTTACCCTCGTACTTTGATAAGCTCCTTCGTCCGTCCAACGATGTAATACTGGCCCTGCTTGACGTACGCCACATCTCCCGTTCGGAACCATCCATGTGGCTCTAATGCGTCTGCGCGGCCTTTGTACGCAGTAAGCAGACCCGGTCCACGGACGTACAATTCACCTGAGCGGCAATCACCCTGCACGATTTTGCCATCATGTTCCACCAACCGGGCCTCGTACCCAGGAATACAGGTGCCAATACTGCCCGGGTCGCCCTGCTGGCCATAGCGAGTCTGGAATGTGACACCGACCTCGGTCATTCCCCAGATCTGACAAGCATATCCCATAGGGTTGATATATCTGCGGAACTGTTGCATAGAATGACCATCAATAGGAGCGCCAGCGACACCAACATAGCGCAGGGACGACAACATATCACCGATGGGCACGGTGGACTGATTGATCGAGTGAATGATAGCTGGGACGAGATAAGTCTCGGAGATCTGGTACTTGTGCACAGCAGCCAGGAAATCATTGACCTCAAAGCGTGGCAGGACGAACAACGGGTGTCCGTATCGGACAGGGAAGAGATGTGTCCAAAGTGCGCCGAACAGATGAAACATGGGCAGCGAGATGAGGCGGCTGACTGGATGCGGCACTTCGTAGTAGATTGTGCGGTGCTGTGAGACAAGTGCATAGTGGGACAAAATTGCTGCTTTGGGTAGTCCACCGGTACCGCTGGTTGGGTACATGGCAGCAGGCGTGGCCTGTGCGATGACGGGATCGGAGAATTTCAGCCAGTCGCTTTCGCCATAGCAAAGTAAATTTGCGAAATTGTTGTGGCGGGCATCGCTGCTCATTGCGAAGAATTGGCCAGCCGCTGAATATCCGAGTTCATGCCAGAGGAATAGTTGTGCGCAGTGGTCGATGGCTCGGTCGTCCACGAGGCAGACTTGTGCTGGGTGGATGCCCCGGCCTGCGGAGGCGTCGAGGACAGTGGGGAGGGCATCGCGGGTTGTGAGGATCAATTTGGGTTCGGCGAGACTGAGGATGTGATCGAGTTCTTTGGGGTGGCTTCGGGGGTTTGAGCCCATGTAGACACCGCCTGCACCAATTATACCGAAGAAGAGTGCGGGATATAGTATCTGTTATGACAGGGTCCGAGTCAGTATTGTTTTTAATTTTCCGAGAATCTTCCGTCCATTGGATTTTTGATTTCAAGGATGCTTCTTTTTTTGCTTTGTTTTTATCACTCACGCTATTTCCCAGGTGTAGCAATACACAATCCCCTGGCTGGACATTGTGGGCTTTCAACCCAGCGATCAGGGTCCGGACCAGTTGCCGGAATTGGGCAGCTGTGAATGATCGGGAAGGATCCTCGGCATCAATAAACAGTGGTTGATTCTGGTTGTAAGGCTTTGGGCCATCGAATGTGAAACTCAGCAAGTCAGAGTAGGCCTCCTGATGAGAGAGCATATTGTTTGAAGACATATTGTTCCAACCCATTGTTGAAGAGATCAAGAAGAGAACGGGGGGGAAGTGTGAGATTGTAATATATAAAAGTGTGAGACTAAGTCAAAGAGTCCATGCTCTCGGGGGATTATATAGGTAAATGTATATTCCATTTTCTTTTCTATTTGATTTTACCTTGACATGGGCTGTTCCACTTGGGATTTGGAATACACACTGATTATGTAACGCGCTAGTGTCCACACCACGACTGTAAGGTGAAATTCAAACTATATGTCCAATAAATTAATCAAAAGACTCAAAATCAAGGAGCTGAACCGAAATCAAACTCTAGAGTAAGGGCAGAAAATAACAGGGAATGCCTAGCGACCTTGGACGTTGTATGGAGTACTCGTAGAGTAGCATTCCCTGGAGTACATCGGGCTCCACACATGTTTGACACTAAATGTCCTTAGCGCGAATCCATTGTGGCGGGTTTTTGACCAATAAATTAAAAATTAAATGAATTGGCCCAATACGCTCACTAATTCACTAGCCCTTTAGAGCTGAGCCACAGATCTCGGGTTTTGGTCCGGGTTCCCGAAGGTTTCTCTACCTTGCGTGAGATATACTTTACAAGTAGAAGATCATAGATCGACGGGATCGTGAGATGTGCTCCAAACTTTAATCACAGATCACATTCCGTTGAAAGTGTCAAATAAATGTCCATGTCAAATGTCATTTTCTTCACGGTCCCCCACGAGCTCAGACAGGGGGTACATCCCGAGGTCCGATATTCCCCCATATTAGCCTAGAACTTTCAGACTACGTGAACAGACCGCATCTCTGACGTTTCAAGGGCACTTGTTTTGGACCCAATATTCCGGTGGATGCCCAAAACATGCAGCTGATGTCTAGTGGAGACTATGCTCTTGTGGAGTCTGAATCTGAGAGTTCCCAGGTTTTCCCCTCCCGGAACCAGATCCCCCAAGATCGACTAACGAAAAGATCAACCCAGACCCCACTTCCCACACCCGAGATATGTACTACACCCGTGCATTGGTAGCCAGTACCTCGGCGGTGGGAGATCAGCGTAGGATAAAAACAAAAGAGGGGCTGGGAATTGGATATACTAGTGCGGATATCCTCAGCTGCAGCCTGATGATCGAATGATCGACCGCGCGTTGATAACAAAAGACGGAAAAAAAAAAAGCAAAAAAAAGATATCCCAACAATCATGAACCGCTCTGTCATCCGGGCGGGTTATTGCATTAACTCATGGAGTCCATCCCGCCACACATAGATCCACATTGTCTCGAGTGCGCATCTAGAATGGGACTTTTGGCTCGACGCCATCCCTCGGCTGCAGATCGTCTGTTTTATTGACGGCTTTCTTGATAGTATGATCAAGTGTACTGGTCCTATCATATCCGGCGCTTGCATTCCCCCTCCCATCTAGACTAGTCAAGCATACCCTGACCATGTACTTGGGCCCATGGTGGTACTTCGGAACTCGCTTTGACTGGTCTTAGGTAGGGGAATTGTGGAGATATCGAAGTTAGTTGAGGTTGCATCACACCTCGATGAGCGCATTCTTAGTTCACCCATTCCAGCTCCCCTCTCCCCCCCAAGGGAAGGTGTTTCCCTTTCGACGATCAGACAAAGTTTGACAGGCTACAGCGTGGATCCGGGGGTTTCGTCAGACACCCGGCGTAAAGAACACGAAGCTGAACGCAAGGGAGTAGGATGGTTCTTTGATTGCTGATTGGCAAGAAAGACATTATGCACTAGTGGTCTGGACCACCAAGTGATAGTGTCATACACCTAGGAAGTAAATGAAGCAAATGAAGTAAATGAAGAAAAAAAATAATAATAAATGGCGAAATAATAGGATCATATGCAATGCAAGCCTGACTTTTGGAGCCAAACTCAAAAGAGACGGGAGAGAAAGGGACCAGGGCAAAAGTACCGAGAAGATGGGAAAAAGGCGTCACCGGGCGTCACCGCGAACGGTGACTCCCAAAAGGGAAAGACGAAACCTCGATTGGGAAGAAGAAGCGAAGGGAGTGCAGAGGGATGTATGTGAGGCTGATCTTGGTGGGTTTGGTGGAGGGAAAAATGTATTGACATGATTTACTTCAAAAATGGAAGACTCGCCCTGGTTGGATTGTCAACTTTTTTCTTTTCAATCTTCCACTTCAAGGAATCCCTGGCCTTAGTTCATTCATACCTTCCGGTCATCTTTTGAACTCTTTATATGAGCTCAGCGTGAGGACTCATCATGGTTATGTCAGAGAAAAGCCCCATCACAATGCCTCCAAAGGTGGTCGTCGCACGCAACACCCCAACTGTGAGCGAGGCCACCCTCACCAATGGAGATAAAATCAATGAGAAATGTTACTCCAAGGAATCCGAATCCTTACATCTCGACCTCGCAAAGGAGATCGATGTGGAGGCACAGACACAACAACCTACCCAACGCAAACCCAAGTTATTTGCATCCACTCGATATGCCATTCTCACACTCTACCGGCGGCTTTTCACGCTAGTCTTCTCCGCCAACGTTGCAATGTTCGTGTATGTCATGAGCACTGAACAAAAACTCTTAGCCCTGGTCAATGCCACAGCGGCCAATTTACTCGCTTGCGGTCTGGCCCGCCAGCCACTGGTGGTCAATGCCATCTTCGTGGTAGTGTGCTCAATGCCGCGCTCAGCGCCCCTTCCCCTTCGTCGCATCGCCGCCAAAGTTTACCACTATGGTGGTGTCCATAGCGGTTGTGGAGTCGCCTCCCTCGTGTGGTACATTGGATTCGTGGGCGTGTTATCTCACCAATATTGGAGAGCATCAGGCGATGTTTCGGATATGGGCATATCAGCAGCGCCAGTTGCGTTAGCTTATGTCATCTTGCTTCTGCTGCTGGCGATTATCGTGGTGGCCCACCCCGCCTTCCGGATGAAACGACACGATTATTTCGAACTCACCCACCGTTTTTCGGGGTGGCTTCTCGTGGCCTTGTTTGTCGCCCTGTTGCTCGTTTTCTCGCGAGGCGCTAGCAAGGCAAAGGGTCAACCACTTGGAACATTCCTCGTGGAACTGCCAGCATTCTGGTTCCTGATTTTCACGGTAGCGGCCATTATCCAACCTTGGCTATTCCTCCGCAAGGTCGCGGTGCGGGCCGAGCCACTTTCCACCCATGCCACTCGCCTGCACTTCGACCATGCTATTACCACCTTTGGAAAGGGAATTCAACTTGCCAAGCACCCCCTTCGCGACTGGCATGGTTTTGCCACTTTCCCAGACCCTGCTCCCGCAGGTGTCCACGGCAACCCAAGTTTCTCTTGCTTGGTGTCCAAGGCTGGTGACTGGACTGCAGAAACGATCCAGAATCCGCCTACCCACCTTTGGAAGCGTGGCGTGCTGATCTATGGATTCGCATATGCCATGCGCGTTTTCAAGAGAGTGATTGTCGTCACTACCGGATCTGGCATTGGACCTTGCCTGTCATTCCTCGGTGATGAAAACCGACCTGCACTGCGTGTGCTCTGGCAAACTCGTGCTCCTCGCCGGACCTACGGTGATGGGGTGATGCACCTAGTCCACAAGATGGACTCGGCACCCATCATCCTTGACACCGACAAGTGTGGGCGTATGGATATGGTTCCCATCATCCTGCAGCAGATCAAGGACTTCAAAGCTGAAGCGGTGTGCGTGATCAGTAACCCTGTTCTGACGACGCGGATCGTCTATGAGCTTGAAGCTCGAGGGACCCCGGCATTTGGTCCGATTTTTGATTCTTGATTTTGCAAGCTTATTATCTTTGTGTCTTTTGTCCGTACATACCTTTGTTTGCTTGTTTTCTTCAGCCTTTGTTTGTTTTTGCTTTTCTTGTTTAGGAGGTCTTATCTTTTGAGCATCTTGCTATATATCCTCTCTGGCTTGAGGCGTTTATTGGCGGCATATTGTTTTTTTTATTATTAATGATGATTTCAAAGGGATGTTGAATCGCAAGACTCCTTCCTCTCAGGGGGGACCTTGTTTGTAAATATGTCAGCACTTCCTAGGGGGATTTGGAATCGCGCGCTATGACCCTGCTGGTATCCGTTAGACAATTACTCCTTTAGCAACTTAATGGATATAATGATGACAAACTTTACACTTGACAAAGACAATATCTCTCAGTGCAATTCCAAATACCAACCAACTTTCTCCACACGGTAGTTTAGGGGCCAATTAAAGTGTGTGATCTACGTGATATATACTGTAACTTACATCAAGCAGATTGTTTTAGATTTGCTTCTGTGTAACTCTATCGTCGCGTCTCGTGTGCGATTTGATATACTCGAATTTGAGTTGGATTTCATGCATATCTTTGCATATACCTATCTTTCACTATATCTTATTACTGTATAGTTCGGGCTGGGACATTTAAGCCTCCGACCCCTGCGGCGAGGCGATATTTCCCCAATTCGGTAAGTACCTGCGAAGCACGAGGTCAAATATATATCTCTTCAAATATCATCCAAGAATAGATTAAAAAATCAAACACTTGATATATAGATCCCTTCCAGTTCCAACCATCCAATCATCCAAAAAACAAGAAACAAAACATCCCAAGCCACGAACGTTACACCTAAGCCCACCGCAATATCCGAACCATGCAATGTAAGCACAGCTCAAACGGGCACCCACATCTTAGGCATGTCAAGATCCCAACTTCCATAGAAACCCCACCTACTCACATTAGCGTATGCATACACCGAGGTTTAATAGATAAGACACTTAACCGCATTAGCTACATCGTAAGATGGCCGGAAACTCCAAAAAGCAAACCCCGCTAACACCCACTGGACAGGCACAACGGAGTAATAAAATCAGCACTAGACTAGCGCTAGGCCAGCCGGTCTCGCAACGGCGCGGTGTCCGCACATGCATAATAATCTCACTAGCATGTATGAGCCGCGAACCGAGCACCGGCGTGGTTCGCATCTTGTCTCACTATTCTCCGGCGGGTTGGCCCGAGCGGGTATGTATGACGGAGACTGTGCGTATGGTAGGACCGTGCTGATGCTGCACCTCAAAAGTATGGACCATTCAACATTCAACTTAGGCATTTTATTAAACATAACACTACCTGTATTGCGGGTAGACTGTCACTCAAGGGGTATTGCCGCTTCCCCACAAATCTGATCAGTGCACCGACTTGCCGCGGCGTAGGTGGGTACTCGCCTCCACACCCTTTGAGCTTATATGAAATACACGAGAGCGCTTGTTGAGGAACAAAACAAAATGGCCACTAGGAAAGGAATCATTGCCAGTCAATCAATTCATCCTTTGACTTTGAATTGGTCATTGGAGGATGTGGATGTCCATTGACCAGGCGAAGATGAGATCCTCGTCGAAATGCGCGCTTCGGGAATTATGTCATACTGATATTGTCCTGACTTCAGTACCTAGTGGCGCAATTGGTATCGCATATCCAAGGGTGGCAGGACATGAAGGTAAAACATTACCCCTTTGACATACTTTCCTCTAGACCTGAATCGGAGTCATTGCAATAATTTCTGGCTCATTTTCTTTGTCACAATGGCTTGTTAACATCGTCACAAGTGCTGGGATTGTACGCGGTATCGGAAAAAACTTCCATATCGTCGAAATCGGCGACCCAGTTCTTCTGTCTTTTTATTCTTGCTCATCGTGTCACCAATGCGAGTCCTCCAGTCCTGCGTATTGGAACGACTTCGCGCAGGAAAACTATTGTTGCCAGAAGCGGATGTCAGTACATGGAAGTGGTGAAGAACTGCGAGGCTTTTCGGCCAGTCCAGATTCGCTCGGTACAGCGTCTTCATCGAAGCAAGTGTTATCAATGCCAAGGACCTTCTGGAGCATGATGACGAGCTTCTAGTTTTTCTTTTCAAATATAGAGGTGTAGGAGTGTGTATTGTCAATATCTATCTGCTACTTGTATCCGTACATAATAAAACTGCTCAATAAGGAATGGACAGGATCAATACAAGTAGACGGCGAGGTCCCCCAGGTAGGAAGGAGCAAACAATGTAAACCTAGAACTTCTTACCTTTGCACTTTTTCTTCTCTCACCCTTCTCATTCCGCTTGTAAGTGCTCCCATCCCTTCCTCTCTTTTCATCATGTATCAAGCTTCATCAAAGATGATGATTTCATCAAAAATGAAGTTATTTTTAACCGTCCTGCGTCCCTTCGTGGAGCCTACCCTGCAGATCAGGTCAAGTGGTGTATTTCTCATTGGCTGGCTTGTACTGCACCTGGGCACTCACTTCAGTGGCGTTTGGGTTCTCTGCTTGTCGCATTGTTCACTGGTTTCTTTGTTGCCAAACAATGAAATGCATGTCTTCACCTTGTTCACCTCTTTCTGATTTTCAAAGTTTCTTCCAACTAGGTCTCGATAGTTACGTGATCTACAAAGATGTGGTAGTTATCCTTTTTGAAGTCCCGTGAACCAACGTTGTTGCGTTTGAAGAAAGATCAGTAGCAAAAATGGAGCGAGTTCACCGTTACGGTCCAATCAACCAGAACGACAAAACGATCCTTGTTCTGAACGCATTTGAAGCACATCTTCCTGCTGACGGAAAGGCGAATTTTATCAATCACCTATAAACTTTCGTTACAAGTTCATGACCATGCTGAATCATTGATCAATGGATTCTTGGCCCCGATGAGGACTCTGAGATCGACTTCGACAGTTTTACCGAGGGCTGGTATGGAGGATTCCATAGACAATATTGCACCACTGTCAACCTGCCGGTTAACGAGAGAAGCAAACTTGAAATCAAATTGCTTGTCCTGTGATGGACAGAGATGTGTTGTCACCAAGCTCTTGGATGCGCAATCTGTTCCCCACAACGATACGACGAGCCTCGTTGCATACACCGAATGTGCCACAATAGTAGGATCGAGTATTAGCAATAAAATTCATCGCTTTCTTTCCTTTTTTGACGTGACCTGATCAACCCGCTTATTCCTAGTAGAAGGTAGATCACGGCCTAGAGTAGTTAGTGTCCGCGAATCATAGTATGAATTGGTCATCTACCTAACCGAATGACATCTAAAAATCCTTGGAATAATTCATTATGACTGGACGAGGGTTACAATCACATTGTCAGAGATTATCGCACGGTAATGATCGACACATAGTGCATACCTAGCGCCTTCGGTTCTGGCTAGATTTGAGGGGTCCCCGGCTAGAATAACTCCATTAACCTTAGGGCTTTTCCCTAGCCTGATTCTCACGGCCTTGAGCCGGTTATGTGGACTTTTACGTACTTTTGAATCTTTGATGTTAAATTTATATATAGCTGTACGAAGATATTACACTCCTTTAACAAGGCAATAATTCTTTCTCCCGAGGTCCTTTCGAACTTCTATATCGTCGCATACGATGGCTTCATACATCTTAGCGACGAATTCTCCTGGTGCGATTCTACCACTCGCGGGCTTCAGCGGTTTGACCGCACATGTTCTTTTCTATCGTCATGGAGAATGGGATCTCAAGGCCCCACGTATTGTGGTCTCATACATATTTCTGTTCTTAGGCGCTACATTCCTGGAGCGGTACCAGAAAGGTGAGCTCCCAATTGGTGCACCAAGCCATTTGGCCGCCAAACTCGTAGGGTGCCATATCTTGGGTATCTACACGAGTATGCTCTTCTACCGAGCATTTCTACATCGGTTGTCACAGTTCCCGGGCCCATTCTTTGCAAAACTATCAAACTTTCATGTGACTCTTCTGTCTGCCCGGAAGCTTCAGCTTTATGCGGAGACTGAGAAGCTACACGCACAGTACGGAGATTACGTGCGTTTAGGTAAGGAACAAGATCAATCTTTTTCATCTATTCTTCTCTTCGTGACATTGGACTAATCGAGGGTACATTTGAATTATCAGGGCCTACTGAGTTGTCTATTACGGATCCACGCGCAGTCAAGGAAATCTACAGTTCCTCTGCCAAGGTCACCAAAGGGCCTTGGTATACGGTCTTGGAACCACGAGTTTCCTTACAGATGGTCAGAAATAAGCAGGTGCACGCACAGCGAAGGAAGGCTTGGGACCAAGGCTTTAGTACCCGAGGTATGAAATTTCCATTGCCTGTATGGTAACACACAGCAGATTCTAAGGTCCCCCAGCACTCCGTGATTACGAGCCTCGCGTCTCCCATTACACAGAACAGCTCATCCAGGTCATCGAACGGGAGGTGGGCAATCAAATCAACATGGCTCAGTGGTTCAATTACTATAGCTTTGATGTTATGGGTGATTTGTCGTTTGGAAAATCCTTCAACATGCTAATAGATGGCAAAGACGCTTATATCTTGAAGCAATTGCATGCTGATTTAAGAATGATTGCAATTTTTGCCCATCTCACCTGGCTATTTCCATTCTTCAAGAAAATTCCTTTGATCAATGCGGACTATCTCAAGTTTTGGAAATGGGTGGATGCGCGTGTTGATGAGAGGATTCAGGTTAGAGAACCCCCATCAGTGATCCAATTCGAGGCAAAGTCCAAAAACTAATACGACTGTATAGAGTAACCCATATGCCCCAGATGTGTTCTCATGGATCCTCAAAGCATACGAGCAGGGTCCAAAGACGAAGCAGGATAAGGATGACCTCAGTGGTGATGCATACCTAGTTATCGTAGCTGGAAGGTACTATATTATCCTCCACGCCCCGAATTCTATCTCCTAATCCACTAACTGACCTGTGCTAACTTAATCCATTCAAAGTGACACTACAGCTGCAACACTTACCAGCCTTTTCTTCCATCTTGCCATGGACCGCACTCTGTATAAAGCAATCCAGAAAGAGCTGGACGCTCTACCTAGTCTATCCTACGACAATCTGAGAGGTGTAAAACTACTCGACGGAGTAATTAATGAAACGCTCCGACTTCATCCTGCTGTGCCTTCAGGAATGCAGCGTACGACTCCACCAGAGGGCATCACTATCGGCGACAGGTACATTCCCGGGAACGTCAGGGTTTGCATTCCCCTATATACCATGTTCAGAGGTGAGAAATCGGTCACCCGCCCTTGATCAGTCGAGAATAAGATCAAAATAAAGGCTAACACAGTGGTTAGATGAGCGCAACTTTGCTCGCCCACAAGAGTTTTTGCCCGAGAGGTGGGATACACAACCAGAACTCGTCAAAGATGCTGCTGCATTTGTTCCATTCAGTGCTGGTATGTTTTGTCACAATGATTGATTTCTCTACTTTGCACGGCTTGCATAGGGACAAGCAAGACCTATGGCTCAGGATGCTAACATTCAATTATTCATTTAGGTCCATATTCGTGCGTTGGAAAACAGCTAGGACTGATGGAGCTCCGCTGTGTGACTGCTGAGATACTTACCCGATTTGATGTCTCGTTCGCCCCAGACCAAACGGTGGCTGCTTTCATCGATGGAAAGCAGGATGCTTTCGCAGTAGCTACGGCACCATTAAAGGTAGTATTCCAAAGAAGGGAAAACAAGGAAAAATGATGTGCCCAAGAAAATTGTTGGTTTAGCTGCACTTTTTACAATACTGTGTTGGTTATGTCTGAGCTTTCATGAACATTGAATAGCATCATGACTCTGTGTAGGCGTTCTTCCTTCTCTGTCTCTAAACCAAGTCTTTTCCTTCTCATTTATGGTCAAGCAGGCTAGATCAAACACACTATTATATCCACGAATTCTTTTTTTACAAGTGTGCTTCTATGGTAGGGCCCAGTTACTGTATCTGTTTAGGCTGATTATTATCTGAAGTAATGATGCATAGGGCATTATCCGTCATATCCTTGGTTGGACTGTGAAGACACCCTTACCATTGAAGAAATGCAACTTGTGTTGGTTTGATTGGCTGAATGTGATGGCTTCAATGAAAAGGTAGGAGGGAAAGAGCCGCAAAGAATGACGGGTGGGTATGAATTGTGGATCAAGGAGCAGTTACGGTTTATACAAGTGTTTCTGGGGTTTGGTCCTGGATGAATGGGGAATTGGGACAGCGGCATTTGGTCTATAACATTAATGAGGTAGAACTATGTACGTGAATGTATATTTCGTTAGTTAACGATAAGGGTTATAGAGCTGTCCGTTTTCTTGCTCTTGAGCAATATGCTGTAGTATCACGACAAGGATGACGCTGACGGTGTGAACTTTCGAACAGCCTGCCAAAAATGAGCGGGTGATTGCTTTATCCACCAGAACTGGTAACCGATTAGAGTATGGGTTCTATAAGCGTCTTCAGCTTACGGAGGGAGAGGGGTTTGACTAAATAGTCGTCGACACCTGCGGTCACGGCCGCCTGTTGCATGGTATCCGAAGCGACGCCTGTAACAGCCATGATGCGGGAGGGTTGGAGACCGTGGTCCTTCTCGTATTGTCTAATCTTGCTGGTTGAAACCAGCCCGTCCATTACAGGCATTGATAGATCTAGAATTAACGACGCAGTTAGTACCTTTTGGATGAGGGATATTCAGCTTGTAGACTAACCCATCAGTATCAAGTCATATGCTCGACTTGTAGATTCAACCTGTTCCAATGCAATCAGTCCATTAGAAGCTGTGTCGTAACTGCAGCCAAGTTTTCGCATGAACGTAGCCAGGATCTGTTGCATGATTGTAAGTCTGATCACAAGGGATGAGTAGAGGGAACTGATATACGAGAAAGTGATGGCAACTTTTATGTAAATGAGTTTGCAGGGAGCTAACTTACCTTGAGATTGATGTCATTGTCATCCACGATGAGAACATGCATATCGTTCATTTGACCATTCGATAGAATCGGCGAGCCCCGGACAGGGGGACTCGGACAGACCAGTTCAACTGGAGGTTGTTGTGAAGCATCTTTCGATATTTCTGGTAGGGTGGGAGTAGTAGGTTCCGGCGGAAGAATCTCATGGCTTGTTGGTGGAGCCTCAACTGGAGCTTCAAGGACGCCGATTTGAGCTTGTGAATTTTGTAGATCCATGATCCTTCGAGCGGTTTCACGGATCTTCTGAGGTCCATATCTGCATCGAAAGTCAGCTTGAGTATTCATAAAAGGGGATATCTGGACGTACGGCTGTGTCATTAGGATGGCATTGAAAGGAAGAGACGGGCCTAGCGAGGACGTCGTGCTGCCCAGGACGATGAAGAATTTGAAATGATGGCCGGTATTCATGGTAGAAGGTGATTGCTCATTCAACATAGCCTGGAATTTTGCCTCCTCAATGACTGCGATGTCACCCTGTCCCTTCTCAAGTGAGTCTGCCAATGCGATATTCCATCCGAGTTGTACCCGGAACACATTGGCGAGCGTGCTTTGAATAGAAAGCATTCGTTTCGCATCGGAGCTCAGGATACCAGTGGGTGTCTCCTTCAAATCAGGACAGCCGTTAAACCCAACGAGGCATGCGTTCAGAGGGTACTTGTGTCTTTGAATTCCTATTGAGGAAGCATCGTCGAACAACTTGGGGACATGGTCCATGGCGTGCTGTGCGGTGATGTAAACATCAACCTGGGTACCAACACCGTGTTCGCTCTTAATTTTCAAATGACCACCCAAATAAGTCACCAGCTTATGCACGACACTCAGTCCAAGTCCAACACCATCTGACAGGGCGTCTTCCTGGGCGAATGGCGAGAATGCCGAGTTTCTAAGAAAGTCTTCTTTAATTCCTCGGCCGGTGTCTGTAACTCGGAGATGGATAAGGCGAGGTTCTGCTTCGGTTTGGGCTGCGGCTTGTGACAACGATACCTCGATGAGGCCTATCTGCGTCCATTTTATTGCGTTGCCGAGCAGATTCATCACTATTCTCCTCCAGGCGCCAGCAACTGATCGGATATCCCAGGAGCCGGACTGCTCGATGTTTACTACCACCGACAATTCATCCCCATTTCGAGTGACATGAGAGATGGGTTGAGACAACGGAGTCGCAGTAGCTGTATCACTTGCAAGAGAGGAGACCGGCACGGGCGCCTTTCGGCCGGTATGGAGTATCACAGCGACTTCCTCGACCAAGGAATCGAGACTGAAGTCAGAGACTAGGGTTGTTGAAGAATCTTCACCGTTGGTCACGCTGAGGCTTTTCGTAGTCGCCAAGTTGTTGATCTTACAGTAATCCAGCCTTGTGTTTGTCAGTAAAAGCTCTTTCTGGATGGACTGCGAGTAAAACTTACAGGTGATTTATTGTGTCCAGCAAGGTGAGACCTGACGTTGAGATCATATTAACCACATCACGGTGTGCGGTCTGAAGTGGGATATCATGTAGCAGCTCTGCGCTGGCGAGAATCCCATGTAATGGGGAGCGAAGTTCATGACTGATGGAAGTTACAAAGTCGAATTTCGAGTTCTCACTGGTGGTCCAGTGTATCCGGGATACTTCGGAGATCATAGAATCCCCGAAAGCTTTAAAGTAGTGCAAATCTTCTGTGCCCAAGGGACGATGGCTTCCATTTACCCATACCAGTGTACCTGCAAGCCATCGCGATTTGTTCCAATCCCACAAAGGATAGAAAAGCACACACTTAGCTTCGGGGAACTCATGAGCAAGACGACGAGAGATATGGCGAATGGTTTCGAAATCGGGAGTGCGAATCCTCGCATTGCCACTTGCAGAGTCCGGGGGGCTATCCGGGTTACTCTTGTTCCCTATGTTGAAGATGTGGCCATCTGGAAAGTGTGTGATCAACAAATGCAGCAACTCCTCGGTCAACTTGACCTGATATTTTGAGTCAGTATTGCTATTAGCTGGCCTGCAGCTTATAGCCTGACCCAAGGAGCCACAGTAGCTTTCTGCATCTTTGGGCGCACTTGCATTAGGAATACCCCAAGGGGAAGAGCCTGCAGCAATTGTGGCACTGGTCTCGAGATTTGGCAAGGCGTCCCAATCATCATGCCGTCCAGAAGAGTCGCTAGAATGGAGTTAGAGACTGTCAATTACATAAAGAAAGAGCGACCAACAATTGCGGGTCATTCCGGTGGGCATCAAGAAAGACCACGCCGTCCAGATCTAGAGATTCTCTCAGCAGGAGACTGGCACGGGCAAATATCGCAGCTATGCGTTCAGCGATAGACACCTTTTCTGGCACTAGTGATTCCGGGGTTCCTTCCACGGAGGAGGGAAGCGGTTCCACTCGGTCCGAGGTTCGAGAAAGCGACGATGGTAGTGTATAGTTTGACTTGCAAGCAACGTTTCGAGAAAATATCGACACTTCCTTTCCATCGAAACTTGTGGACGACCTTTCATCAAGAGATGAATAGACACCAATATCCTTTTCTGTGGGCAAAGAATCGAGCTTTTCACCCACATCGGCTGGGATGGCTATTAGTCCCAAATCCTCGGAATTGAGTTTTTTCGCAGATGCCTCAATCTGGCCTTGAGTAGAGAAGCCAGTAGGATCGAATTTCGAACGACTTTTGACAAAGTTTGTCAACCCTTTGACCAAGTTCTCCGAACGACGATGGTACTGGACGATCCGCGAGTTTTCAAGGTGGTTTGAAATCGAGTCGGCAATCTCCCGAAGAGAAGCCACATCTTCTTCTCCAAATATCGTTCGTGGCTTGTTGTCCACCACACAATATGAACCTAGTACGAACCCGGAGGGACTGTACAATGGCACCTCGGCGTAGAATCGAAAGAAAGGCCAGTTGACCACATACGGGCGATCTTTGTAGAAATCCTCCTTGGTAAAATCACGAATGATGTTGCGCGTCTGGTTGGCCGTTATGTTCTCCGTGTCTAGTATCTGGGAAGGGTCCTGTCCCGTGAAAAGTCGAATGGCGTGGGGACACACCCCCCATTCCAAGTCAAGTGTGTTGACACCCAGGAAAATGCCATCGTCCGGGCGATGAAAGTCTTTGTTTCGAAGAGAGATCGAGGCAGTTGCCTCTGCAATGACATGTTGGCTTTCTCCATCGATGATTGACACAAAGGATCGATTGCATCCAAAGCGATAGACACCCAGTTGGGTCAGGGCGGTCAATGTGGTATCATTTGAAAGACGAGGGAAGGGTGTTTCCTGGACCCCATCCACCGAATCCGAGGTTGTCGAGGGTTCGAAAATACAATAATATCTGAGATGTGTTAGTGGCGATCGCAACCGGGCGGGGAAACAAACTTGGATAACTCGCGGATTCTCTCTTGCTCAACATTCTGACCCATATTAGATGGGCCAGCTGATCTATAGCTGGTCACTTCATATAAAGTTAAGTGTATAGATGTTGAAATAAAGAAGAAATAAAGACGCAAAAAATCGGGTTAAACCTGTTTTGGGGAAACCCTGACGCTACGTGGTGGGGGCTAGTGCCTCGGCAAGATGTGGACATTTGTAGGGTCAAGTCTAGACTTTGTGGACTATTCTAGACTTGGAATGTTTATGCAGTTTGCGCGTTTTCACATAAAGCCGAGAAACACGACAAAAATATCCTAAAAGGCATATCAAAAGAATATCGTCAAAGACAGAAGGCACAGCTATCCTGTACATGTTTGTGACCCTGGATACTGCCAAGACCCTGACATTTCAGAGTGACCGTGATACGTTTAGTTTAAACTTCAAAATAATACATAAAAGGGAAAAAACTGCCGCATATCTTGGTGCTTGAGGACTTTTTACGGACATGCCATAGTGAAGCTTTTCTTGGGACGGGGGTTTCGTCCAAACCGAGATGAATGGTGGTTTCCGAAAGTGGATGACTGCGACAAGATTGTATTAGACGTTAGGGCTATCTACGATCATTGAAACCTCACTGACAAGACAGATGTCTATACTAGCATCAGAAATACACGGAATACGCACTGGCGCGAATAGACTGTCTTACACTGTACCTACGTATACCCTAGGTCACTCAATGTGAAATCCACAATGTATAACTATAAGACCGATGTTTCGATTGTGCCATACTGAATCTACTTGAGACATTCTGACGTCAAGGTAATTTGCAGACTGGTGTTCGATTGAAACCTGTGTACGGTGTATTCCCCATATTAAAGGACAAACAGGAATAAGATCAGGACTGAAATGACTAGCATTTCCGCACATCTGTGTCCTCAACGTCAAACTCCTCCCACGAAGCTCGGTCAAATCCGTTCGGACGACTAGATCGCACAAACTGATTATCCACTCCGCCAATAACCGCGACCGGTTTCACAATCTCGATATCCGCACCATATGCGCGTGACGACCATAGCTCTGTCAATGGCTTGCGGCCTTCCGACTTACAACCAGCAGGCTTGTACAAGTGCGGGAACCGTTCCTGCATGCCCTTCAGCACAGTCGACGAGATGCGGTCAACGCTGTCGCAGTGACGCAACCTAAAGAACTCGGGCGGCTGCACCTTACGAAGCTCCTCCTGTACCTCAGCTGGGTATTGGCCTATTGCAAAAAGAAGAAGATCGTAGTGCATCAGCGAGGCTTTGCCATGATACGAGCCGCCGGTCTTGGCGCGGTGGTAGAGACCAGTCAACGCGGCGATGGCACCCATGCAGCCTGTGCCGTAGTCGGAGATGGGGAAGGGGGGTACAACGGGAGTTGAGAGGCCCATGAACTGGCCTTGAGCCCAGGCGATTCCGGTAACCTGTAGTTGAGGTCAGTGTTGATTTCAGTCGCATGAATGTTGGATCTGTTAACTTACGCAGTCTGCAATCTGCTGCCATCCAGCGCGGCCGGCCCACTCGCCTTCGTATCCGAAGCAGTTCTCATTCACGTAAACGATGCCTTTTCCACGCTTCTTGGCCATTGCTGCCATGGCCTCTGCTCCGTATCCCAGCTTATCCAATGCCCCGGGACGATAACCATCCACGATAATATCCACATCGTCCAGGAGTTTCTCAAACTCCTTCCGCCCAGCCTCGCTCTTCAAATCGAGATCTGCTGCAAGCTTGCCCATGTTACCATCGACTTGGAAAAACGGGACATCGGAAAGACTTGGGCTGGTGATCTTCAAAACATCGGCACCATACTCGGCTAGAATACGGGTGACAGTCGGGCCTGCGATGATACGACACATCTCCAGTACCTTGACGCCCTCGAGGATCCTCCTGCTGCCGTTGCGTTGAGCTGGGAAAGGGGTTGGAGGAAGATCACCGGGCAATTTGCTGACTTTCCATGCAGGCTCTTGGGCGTTGAGTTTTCCCTGGCAAATCATTAGCTTGGTTGATGCGGTCGAATACAGCATTGTATAGGACTTACATGGGGAGTCTTGATAAAGTCTTCATGTTTGTAAGCAGTCACACCAGCCTGGCGTCTCTCCTTGTTCATCTCTTCAAGCTCCGCGGCTGTGTATTGCTGTACCTTGCTCTCAATAACCTTGATGATTTCTTCATAGTCCGTCAGGTCTGGCCGCTGGCCCTCCAGTCCAATCATGTTCAAGGTCGTCGTAGCCTCCAGCGATCCATGAATATGGAAGTATTCATCTGGGTTCTTAGTCTTGTAAAGATTCGCCGACATACGTCGGTAGCCGTTGGATTGAGCAGCCAGCAAATCCGTGTCTGTTACAGTCAATATTGCCTTGTCCATAGACCAGTCCATAGGGAATTACATACTTTTCAACTTCGATTTCACAGCTGGGTCCAATTTGGACAGACCATCCACCTTTGCCATGTACGCTTGACATCCGAAGGCAGTAGCAGCCTCGAGATTGACTTGAATGCCCCGAGGTTCCCCACCAGAACCGAAGCGCAGGTCAGCAATGGCAGCTGCCACGGAACCTTCGATTCCCTTCAGGGCAGCAAGAGTCTCGGTCTCTTTAAACGGAATGGGGAAATAGATTTCATTGTGACTGGTAGAGAACGAGACGCGGTCTTTGTTTGCGAGGACTTCGGGTGGCAAATCGAAACGCTCCGACTGTTCGCATAGCTCAGAGAAGATGCGACTGGTCTCAAGGACCGGAGAGTACATGCTGACTGTCATGTTGCTTCTTTCGTGGAGTTGAACGTTGGTCGAAATGCGGTGATTTCTTTGGATAAACACGGGATGCTACGTGAAAGGCCGCGAATGGAAAGTGGATGTGAAGAAAGTTCGAGGGGAAACCTGAAGTAGGAGAAGGCCGGATATTATATCCATAACTACCCCAGATCGGGTCCCGAGAATTTGGGTATCGGGTGGCCACACCCGCCCCGTTAGCCGTCGGCTCACATCTATTATTGGGCCTTACTACTTGGCAAGAATTATATAAAAGAAGGGTTACTATGCTACCTTTGTTAGTACTGTCCACTATATGCAGCTTCCATCACAGTATACGGATATGAAGCACCTCCTATCAAGCATCCCCGCATGCAGATCCGAAAGAGTTATCCGGGATCGGATGCGATGAGATCGGAACAGTCACGTGAGAACATATATTCGAGAGATTATATATGCTTAGACGATGATATCATATTCTGACTATCTTGCCTTAGTTGTTGACTGCTTCAACAGGTGGAATGAGGCAAAAAAATTGGGGATCAGGTACAACACCCCTGCATAGAATCGCCCACTCACGTGACCTGTAAAATGTTTACCCCGAATCTCCAATCTCCGAACATTTGCGACTTTTCCAGGCGACAATGCTACTCCGACTCAGATTGCGGCCCAGGGTATTGGGGCTTGCATCTTATCGCTCGACCCGTTTCAAGTCTGACATCCCATTCATTCGCATTCAAGATGGAACCTTCTACAAGAATTACCCAACCGCCGAAGACTCGTCCAATCCACCTCTCTTCCCGAACCTGAACTTCACTTTACCCGCTCTTCCAACTAACAGCCCGGCCGAGACATCTCCTTTGCAACACTGGGCTATAATTGGCCCATCTGAACGAACCGACCTTCTCCATATCCTCCGCGGCCAACACATCTGTATCCCGCCCACCGCACGTTCATACCCATACCTCCTCACAGACGAGATCGCGGAAAAGGACCCACGGTTACGCCTGGTTGAAAATGCAATCCAATATGTTGGATTCAGCGGCGAGGGCTCGGGAGCTATTGGGGGAATCCGTGGCGCATATCTCAGTGCCCGCTATGAGAGTCTTCGGGAGGAAACTGACTGGACCCTGGGGCAATACTTGCGGGGCCAGACCTCTTTGAATCCGATGGAAGGCGAGGAGGATGGCACGCTACACGATGAAGATTTCCTCCGGCATACCGCGGGCAGTCTTGACCTAGAAAATCTGTTCAACTTGCCAGTCGCGAATCTAAGCAATGGTCAAACCCGCCGAGCGCGCATTGCAAAGGCGATTTTAAGCAGAGCAGAGCTATTACTTCTTGACGAGCCATTCAGTGAGTATTCTGAACTCACATTAGATGACTTTGACGTTCTAACCTCTACTTAGTGGGATTGGACCCGGTGGCAGTGAGAAGGATCTCTGAACTTCTCAAGAAGCTAGCGGAGAAACGCAGCCCGCGGCTTATCCTGGCTCTGCGCCCCCAGGACAAGGTGCCGGACTGGATCACGCACATTATGGTTCTGGGCAATTCCCACCAGGTTCTGCTGCAAGGGCCAAGGCGAACTATCGAAGACACGCTTAATGTCTGGAACCACGCTGTGAAAAAGACTAAGGCGGACTCTCTATCCAAAGATCAAACGAGAATATTGAATAAGTGTAAAGCAGACTTGAAGGCTGGGATCTTGGACAAAGAACTGCTTGGTGATTTGGTGGCGCACACGAATGATATAAAGTGCTCAGAAGTCCAGGCGCCATTGGGCGGAGAGCCAGTCATCGATATGGAAGGAGTTCGTGTCCAGTATGGGAACAAGACGGTACTCGGTGATTGGAAGCAAACTATTTACGGCGAAGTAAAGGATGGGTTACACTGGCGAGTTCGTCGGGGGCAACGCTGGGCGATTCTTGGTCCGAATGGATCAGGCAAGACAACATTGCTATCAATGATCACATCCGACCATCCGCAGGCGTATGCGCAGCCTGTTAAGCTCTTCGGACGATCTAGACTTCCGGAGCCTGGCAAACCGGGAATTTCAATCTTTGAACTGCAGTCCCGCATCGGACACTCATCACCGGAGATCCATGCGTTCTTCCCGCGTCAATTATCAATCCGTGAGGCAATTGAGACCGCCTTCGCCGAGACCTTCCTGTCGAAGCCGAAGCTGAATATCGAACGAGATCACGACATATCTGTACTCCTAAAATTTTTTAAACCCCTGCTGGATCCGAATTACCTCACGAGCGAGATTCCAACAATATCGACTGACCATCTCCCAACCATCAAGAGACAGTCTTACCACAAGGCATACTTCCCAATGGATCACGTCGTTGGATACGCGGATGACATTCTCTTCGGTGAGCTCACCCCCGCACAACAACGCATTGTGCTTTTCCTCCGAGCCATCGTCACTAGGCCCGACATTGTTATCCTCGACGAAGCTTTCTCCGGTATGTCCGCAGCACAGCGTGACATGTGCTTGCAATTCTTGGAAAATGGCGAGAGACCTAAACGCCGTGCTCTTAATGTCAAACCTCGTAGTCCAGTTGAGGCAGCTTTCCGGTTCACTGGTCTTACGCCAGACCAAGCCTTGATCATGGTCAGCCATGTGGCCGAGGAGATTCCTGACAGTGTCCGCTACTACATGCGACTCCCGTCTCCTGCGGGAACTCATGATCCCCTTGATTTCCGCTTTGGTATTCTCCAGTCTAAAACTACGCTAAGACGACCTGCGACCTGGGAGGCAGCTTGGTCTCCCGAAGAGCAGTTCGTCAAGCATGCCCGCAGGACGTGGCGCCGCCAACAACATACTTTGCCGGTACAGGATATGACCGAATTTGAATGGTGGTCGATATAAAGGTATAGATATCTAGATCTGATCCGGCATTCTTGGCACTTACATTATAAATTTTCTTGTACATTTAATTACAATCCCAATTCATCTGTGAGAAATCAACCCGTCTTCTCCATGGCCCTCAGTCAATCCCAATAGTAAAAGAAATAGGAACTATCCACTCGTGTATAACCAGACTCGCTAAACTGCAAAAATGCAAAAAAGAAAATCACCTCCGTATCACCGTCTCTATACCTCACAAAAATCCGCTGTCATCTACTACCCTCTAGGGAGCTTCCCCAATAAGACTCGACTCGGCATCAGCCAATTCCCCGCGAGAACTTCTATCACTCCGAGGCTCATCCTCCCTTCCGTCTTGCCATGTTGAGCAATGGCGACAGCGAAGCGCCTTTGAACAATCAGCCGGGGTAAAATACACATTGGATCAAACTCCTTACCGATTCACCGATATACTGCTTGCAGTACGGACACCGAACAGTAGGCTTAATGATTTTGTCATGAGTGAGAAGCATGTACAAATGTCCGACTGCGTACAGAGTAAGGCTAACACCCAAGAAGTTGATAACAGTCTCGATAAACAATCTGCGTAACTGTGTGTTAAATTGACTGGTAGGACACCTTCCATGAGTAGCTTAGATAGGTCCACATACCCATAAGCCAGAACCAGTGCTCCATCTTCTCTCGCTTGGTAGAGGGTGTTATACCCATCCTGCTGGTCATAATTCGGACCCTTTGAGAGAACAGCAAATTTCTCATCCATATTCCGGTTCAGGAATGGCAGTAGGGAAACAATTGGCAGAATCAAGTCTGATACGAAAGATGTGACGACTTTTGTGAACGAATTAGCTATACTTTATGTAGGATATAGATGTTAGCAGGTTCTCAGGCATATTGATTGTTAGGCAATGCAAGAGGGAAAACTAACATCAAACCCAATGCAACCTCGAGAACATTATCTCGCGCGGCAAAATTCATAAACCCATCCCAAGCATGTCGCACTTGTTCCTGGGCCTTCTGGCCAGTGCGTAAAAGGACCTCGGTGCTTTCGTCGAGACCGCGCATGTTGGGCTTACGGTGCAAGTGATAAGTATGGCAAAGTTAAAGAGAGCATACTCGGACAAAAAAAAAAGGAGAAAACGCCTCTTGAAGGACGCCTTTATCGGAGCTGCGTTAGGGCGCGGGGATGCTATCTTGGCGGCGCCTTACCGCATGTAGTACTCCGTACATAGTGTACTCAGAGCTCAGCGCCTGTAATAAACATTCCTGGGCGTGAGGGTATTGCTTGGCTCTCAAAATGGCTGAGTTTATGCTCGGGATATATATAAGTACCTGGTACCTACCCGCACCTGGGGATGGTCGCCTTATGATCGTCTTCTACCTTGACGGGACAACCCCATGAACTGGTGGGACCGCCCTATAGCATTTCCACTGGTTTCCTCCGAAGAAAGTAGCGGAATGAGATGGATTCACGGTTTGGGAGTAAACCTTGGAGTAAACCTCGACTCCGTATAGAAGACAATTTTGGGTATGCATTGACAGCCGAAGTACGTGCCATGATTGTACTGCTAATTTGGTGTGATCTTAAAAGGCTATGCATAGTGTAATACATAAAGAGCCGAAACCAATATTTCTATAGTGATGTATTATGAAGGCTTGACTTACATAACCTTGTCGGATTTTCCTACGGAGTAGCGAAAACACTATTATACATCTAAAAATATATCTCCAAATGGATTTTACTATCATTCAAATCATGTTGTCAAGCATAGAGGTCACATAAGTCGCCGACCCTTCTTGCTCGCCGTATGTTTACATCCCGGGCATACAATAACAGCCGGTCCATAAACCTAATCACGAATCAAAAAACTTTTCAGTTCCGTTAACACATCACTATCTATACATGAAACGTCTCCTGGATATACAAAACCGTTGACTCGATGACTCCAGCAACCCAAAGATTCTCCAACTCCCGCCGTTCAACCTTCAGTACCAGTCCATCTAGACGAGCCTCCATTTCATCGCACTCGTCTTCAAATTCCGTCTGATCTGCCAGAGCCCGAATGAACCAATAGCTGCGATCCTTGAGAACGAGAGAACATCTCGGCGATTCTGCAACCATATCTAGTCCTGTGTCTTTCACTCGTGCCATTTGAGAACATAGACTTATGAGCCCTCCACAAATATTGTCGCTATGTTCATATGTATAATCGTTTGAGTATTGCCTGGCATAATCAGCTAAGGCTTCTGCCTCTTTTACAAAGGCGCGGCACTCCGTTTGGAAGCCCTTCTGCCATGGCGAGCAAGCTAGCTTGGGGTTAGACATCCTTTGCTGGGAGGATGAGAAGAGCCGACTTACCTAGATCTTCTTGTTAATGACTTGGAGTCGATTGAACTAAAAGGAAATAAGAGTGTGGATCTTGTTTCTCTGATGTTTGAATGTGGATTGCTTGGTTGATTTATTTAGGAAATTGCCGGGATAGGAGCTATTTATGATTTCCGATTCCTTTCTATCTAAGCTATGAATTGAAGACATTTAGGACAGAAAGAAATGTACCAAAGGCTTTTATTTGCACCGAGTCAATGATTTGGTCTATTAGTTGAGAATCACTCAGTTGAGACAAAACATAATGGCACTATTTGAATTCTTTGTGTTAATATGGAAGATGCCAACAAAGTGATCCTTGTTTCCTTGTGGTGGATACAAAATAAAGAAGACAAAGGAATACTCTAGTTCCTATAGGTGTGTATATTTTAACCCCTACCATACACAGTAGACTAGTTATGAGTCGGCGACTGATTCAAATCACCACTAGGACTGGAATAATTACCCCACTCACCAGTGGAAATCCATGCAGCCACCTTCGAGCATGGGGTGCCACAGCTTCTCGGCTAAGATGCAAGTGAAGCAGCTGGCGATAATACCGCAGGCAGTCCATAGGGTCACAATCAGAGATACAGTATTGATGGCGTATTTCATGGCCTTAACAGAAAAGAGTCTGCGGTAGAGCATCGGGATGGATAGGTTAATGCTTGTAATGCAGCCGGCGTAGAGAATCCAGCCAGTAAACAGTGTCTATGTATCTAACAGTGTATGGTCTAACCTTGCAATGGACAACCATACAAATGCAACATCATACCTTCAGGTAGACAACGATCTACTCGGGAGCGAGCTCGACGATATGTGTTCCAAGCCCATTATAGAGTATTGACGCCCGTTAGCTCGTAGTTGATTCAGGTGTGAATAGTCTCAGCGTACGCATTACTCCTATCGATATACCATATTCGAAGGCTTGTTTCCAAATGCTAGTTAACATATAAATATTCGGAGCGTGCTTCTCCCCAACGCAATGATAATGAGCTAGTCATCCAGAAAAAGATCGCTTCCATTGATCATTCGAGCAATAACCTGGAATCTGACTGCGGCAGTAGACAAGATAAAAGGCAAAACAAGTCGAAGTGATAACCACATGACGCAAGTTATCATGGTCATAGCCATGGACGGCCTGCGCCACTGAATCGGCCATATCGCACTTAGCAACAAAATATATACAATGACTTCTCAAATGAGTGGAAGCGCCAAGAGCAGCACGATGCGGGAATCCAAAAGTGAATATATACATAGAAACGTTTATATAGAAGCGAACCAAATCATCTCCCAAGAAGGCATTGAACAAGTGTCGCATTGTTTAACTCTAATAGTTCGAATATAACCTTAGATGAATGACTGCTCTTCCGCAGCAGTAGCTGGGTTGGTATATCACATCCTTGCATATTAGCCGATTAACATCTGTGATCTCCAACTAGTCAACCCGACCCCGAACAAGGGTGACACTATCAGCTTTTTCCGGGAAATATTTCCACGCCGGCGCCAACCTCTAGGAACAGTCCCGACGTTGGCAACCTCTCGACGAGTCGGTGCCTCAACTATCGTAGACTTGCAGCCTGAAAATCTATAGTCCGTATGTTGTGCGCCCCTTCTATGCAAGGCGATGCATTCACCGTGGGTACTTTGTAAATGGACAGCCGGGGCTGAGGTTTCAGTAATTTGTACTCCATATAAAGTACGGAGTCTTCCGTAGACTCATTAGAGAATTGATGAGCCAATTGGAGGATCGTGGCGTATCGACCCGTCTCCCCGGCGAGATCGGGGCTGATCGGTACCAACCCGCCAGTTGGTTCGTCCGATCGTGTAAGTTTTCTCGCCTTTTCATACATCCCGGTGGCGATCATTACTACTTTTTTCTCTGTCCTGAATTGCTGCCTTACATCCTTGAAAACCTAAAAAATTCAGTTAGGTGGCTGGCTGTCATCACTTAGAGTCTCCAGTATACCCACGAACCTGGATATTCTGATGGCTAGGTTTAGTGATTTCCCTTAGGAACCTAGCATGTACGGAGTAGTCGCCCTCGACAGGGTTCGATAATTGGCTATGAAACTTTCGAGCTTGGGTGGGTTTGGTGATGGGGTTACATGTCGCGGTAATATAGGCGCTTGGAGATGAGCAGTGGATTCTCTCGTTGGTTTCACTGGAATTAATCAATTCTTACTTCTGCTTTAATCTCTGTGGCTTCTCTAAGTTACTTCACCTCATCATTCTCATTGTTGAAGTTTAGAACGTGGTAATATGATATATCACATTTCACCGCATACAATTATCTGTAACGCTAAAGAGGAGTGGATTTTATGTAACAGCTGTTACGTGCCAGTTCGATCAATGAAGAAAGAGTGCATTCCACCTAGAATATTAAAGATAGAGAGGGAAGAAGAAGAAAGAAGCAAGTGGTAAATCCCGGGGGATCTTATAGCAGAGCTATCCCACGAAAGCAAACAACCTCTTCCCAATTAGGCTTAGTAGCAATTTAGAAACAAAGGAAGCAAACAATAAACAATCTGGGAGGAGTATGTGACAGCATGTGACAGGAGAAGTATACGATAGATCGTAACAACAGCCAGCCTTGATCTTCAAACTTAGCTGCATTCACACCTGGAGATTGGCAAAGCTGACAGGCTACGGAGTACTCCGTAGCCCCTACCGTCCCAAACGAAAAATGTCGAGACATATCAAATGAGGAATAATATCACCCCACAATGCATAAACTATGTACATTTACACAAGACTTTATGCCATTGACTCCCTACTCCCTCGCTAGATAGGCACATCATCTCGGCGGCGGGCTATACGACATCGGCCCGGGAGTGGTATACGGCGATAGCAGACTCACCCCCGTTCCCTGGCCGCGCGGGAGCAATACTCCTCACGCTTCTGTATCTCCTTCTCATCCTGAATCAATGTGCAACATGTACAGCAGGTAGCTCGGACACAGTCCGACATTATGCTACCCTGAATGCCATATGCCTTTCTCGTTCTGGTGTGTTGAATGGTGGCCAGTAACCCTGTTGTGCTGGTTAGAATGTTGCTTTCCTTTCACGGTTGCTCGGCCGGGTTGCAGATTTCACCCAAACTCGGAACCAGACTGAAGTTGGACTTGGGCTTACATTGACATCCGCATAGCAATCCCATACCCGTGCACGACGCATTGCATGTCTCATAACCGAGCATATTTGTAGGGTCCTCCTTTTTCGATTTCATCGACAGTCGGTGCTGAGTTTTCCCATACAGAATGCATGGACATAGCATTCCCAGACAGCAGATTCCGAAATTCGAACATTCGCACAATCCATTGCTCCATCCTCCTCCCTTCATCTCCTGATTTGGATGCATTGATTGGCCGGGATGGTGGTACGCACTTAGGTCGTCTGGTGGGGGAGTGCGCGATGCCGCCGCTGTAGTGGGTGGAGGGAAATATGGTGACTTGGGTGACTGGAGGGGATTTTCGTCTGGAACGATGGACATGGTTTCGCTTCGTGCTGGCGCTTCAGGGTTTACCTTCAGTGGCAGTGGCCCTGGCGAGATCGGGGGTGAGCTGGGGGTTTCGGGATACGAGACACATTGCCGGGTGGATGGTTCGGTGTCGCGCTGTTGGTCCTGGACGTGGGTGTATGACTGCGCCGCATATGGATGAGTTGTATATGAATGGGGAGATATTGTGGTGCTGTGTTGTTGAGGTACGTTCGCATACCGAGGAGATATGGTCATGCCAACTTGTTGGTTCCACCGGTGCTGTTGCTCGGGTATGTTTGTATGCGACTGATTTGCATATGCTTGAGTGATGGTGCGACTTTGTTCGGCTATGTTTGTAGACGATTGGGTATACGACTGGGTATAAAGTTGGGTGGTATGCTGCTTGGGCGCAATCGCGTAGGTCTGAGGAGACATTGAAGTGTTATGTTGTGGTGGTTGTTGCTGCTGGTTCCGAGCTATGGGCGCATAGTTGGCTGGGTGCTGCTCGATGGGCGGACGGTTGGCATGGTCTGGGATTATTCCCCGATTTTGAAATTGTGGCTCTTTCTCACTCGGTGCATATGTCCATGCTCGCCGTTGCTCCGGGGGTTCTTCCACGGGATGCGGGGGCGCACTTAGTTCCGGGGGAGTCGATAGATTCCGTTGATAGGATGGGTGCATTTCGACTGGTGTTTCCATAAAGGAATACCTCTGGTTTCCAACTGTGGTATCCAGGTGCAAGCGACTCATTTTGACTCCAAGACCGTAGGGTTTCTCATGAAACTAGTATCAAGTAAACGGGTGTAATCGAGATTTCTACAATACTAGAGTAAAATAGTAGATTGGGTCAGGTAGTTGAAGTGAGAACATGCGACTCAACGGCTTTCCGGGGATTAGCATGGAAATCAGAAAGGCGATCGGCAGTGTGCCCAGAGCCACATCTGTGTGAAAGAAGGCGCATAGTGGAAGGAAGCCGACATAAAAGGGAGTGGAAGACCATAGGAGTGTCAGTGGGGAGTACAAAAATCAGCGGGGATCTCCTATAATCTCCTCACTTCTGTCTCTTTTGCAGGGAAGATGGTTCGTGGACATCCTGATTTTCCTAGCTAATGCATCTCCTTCACCTCGCTGGGGCCTCTGGTTGGGTCTCACGTTTATCCCATCACATCACATTTTAGGCGCTGTGTTGGTTTTATCTTAATAAGCTTTGGAAACTAAGTGTTCTAGACAATATACCTTTGGGCTTATCTATAAATTTATAGGAACGGGTTGATATTTAATAGGCAGCTTCGAGGACTTTTAATTCTATACCGCTCGGTCTTGGCTACATCTGATTTTCCTCGAGATAAGGCCATTTTCGTGGCTTTTCAAAGTGGGGACAATTAATCTCTGCTGTTAGTGTCTTAAGGCGGATATTAAGCCTTGATTTTAGCTTGAGAGCTTAACCCCAGACTCCGGGGAAGTGCAAATATGACTGGGAAATGTTTTGAGACATAAGCGATCGCCATGGCTGCACACTATGCATTGGGAGACATGATTGGCAGATTGTACGATAGGAATGAAAATAAAGATGACAAAAGCCAATGAAAACTGGCTTGAAAGGTGTTCCTGAACATCCTATTCAGTATTTATGAAATCACAAATGATTTCATATTATGATACTGAATACTCTACAAACCCTAGAGATTCTAAATGGAATCTGTAAGACGTTGTACGAAGACCAAGGACTCCGTTGTGCTTGTATTTTTTCGCATAAACCTGAAAAGCGAGAGAGGCAAAACCGATCGGTTTTCTCAATTTTTTTCATCTTCTCTTTCTTCTATTCTCTTCTCTTCCTCCCTTTCTCTATCTCTCTCATTTTCCTATATCTCTTTTATCTTTTTCCCTAATCTGCAAATCGGATCCACTCAAGGGCGGTGACGATCCGGCCTCAAACTTCCATTTCCATTTGACTCTTCTCATTCCCCATCACCCATTCTGCGGCTTTTCCCCAGCCTGTAAGATCTCTCTTTTCCACAACGTGCTCTCCCCTTGAATAGAATTATTCTGATGCCTATCATTCTCATAGTGTGCTCTTAGTTTAAATCCTTGCTTTTTTTTTTTCTTACGCCTAACCACTCCGGTTTCCGCTCGATACCATCCAAACCTGTACTTGACCAATGTCCTCCCCATGTCAAACTCGCCGTCCGTTCCCGAAGATACCTTGCCTAACCCCTTGGTGACACCTGCAACACCTGCCCAACATGATTGCTCGGATATCAATACCCCACGTCACTTGCGGCAGGGCCAGCTGTCTCAGGGACCTAGGGAGGTATTATCACCGTCGCGCGCAGAATCTCCCACCGCCCATTCCTGGTCTCTACCCGTTTCTCGACTCTCTCCTGTAAAAAGGACCGCGACCACCCCCCGGAGAATACCGCACAACCGGATATCGCCTACAGGCCTCAGCTGTCAGAACGTGACAGCATCTTTGCTACTCATTACCTTCCTTCAGATAGCGCCGCAACTACCCCACAATTACCCCCCAAAAAGGCCTTGGGCAATGAACGCCAGGTCAACCTGATCCCTGCCCTCGACGATGCATCCGTGTCTCCAAGTGCATTCTCCAAGGTCTCTCCCCACCGTTTGAACGTCGACCCTTCCCACATGGAAGTTGACGTCCACAGAAACTCTCCACTGCGTTCCTCTGCTCTCTTTCCCTCCACCGACATCCCTCGTTTGTCTCTCCTGCGCGCATCGACATCGCCGACTGATTACAAGAAAGCGGAGATTGAGACGGGCGTGCAGCCTCATTTAGGCGGTACTCAGCGGCACAAGGTGCCATTGGACAACACAGGTACGAATACCAATCGGTTTCAAGGCACTTTACCTGAACGGAATCTCTTCCCGTCCACACTAGATGATGTCCCTCGTACCTCCCACTCTTTGACCATCCTATCCTCTGGCCAGAGCCCTCAGGTCAGCCAGGATCTCTTATCCTACAGCCCTACAGACGAAACCCAGACCCCTGTTGCGCCTGAGCGAAGCCCTAGCAGAGGTCGTCGTGGCCGAGTTGACAGCTCGATTGAAGCCAATTTACCCCACTCGGAGCCGGCTTCTAATGTGCGCAGCCGTAAGTCCAGTCACTACCTGGGTCTTTTCAAGGAAAACACAGCCGCTTCGTCGCCGGATCGCAAACGACGGGAGGATCGCGGCCGACCACAAGATGAGACGGAGTCGAAGGATAGCATCATGGATTACGAACCAGAGCCACATGGGTCAGAGCAGGAAACTTCGCTTCGTAAAAGCATCTCACTCTCCGCACTTGGCGATGCTCCGTCTTTCCAACCTCCTCCGACCGAGTCCTCTCAGACCATACCAGACGATGTGCCCTCTAAGCGTCGCCCAACAGCGTTGCCTCGCAGCTTGCTAGAGGAGATCCGAAATTTCCATCTCACGCCCGGTGGTAGCCATGGATCTTCTTTCTCCAAAAGCATTCCAACTCAATATTCAGAGCGCACTCGTGACTACTTCCAGCCAGATTCTGACGTTGAGGTATCCCCGACTAGCTCTTTCGAGGAAGAGGAGCGTCGTAAACCAAGGGAATTTGGGATTGAGGAGGAGGAAAATGAGCAGATCTCTTCTGCGGTTTACTTCCCGCACGAGCGTACAGTGCCTGATGGGGCTGATGCATTACAGCAATTTCCCGATAGCTCTAATGATGTACAGCCGGGTCAGATGTCGGCTGCGGAGAAAGGCCGTGAGCTGATCTTAGTACCAGAGCGTAGCGATTCTCCCGAAAAGGAAATCAGCCATGTGGATATATCCTTTCGATCTAAGAATGAAAGTAAGATCCTTTATGGCGATATCCATTCTCCACGAGAGAATCTGCCAGACAACCCCTTGGGTACCATCTCTGAATGCAGCTATGATTCAACATACGATTCCGAAGCTGAACCTCAGTCAGCGGATGAAAGTATACAATCTGCGACTGAGCTGACTGATGAGGCGGGAACTCCGACTGCCACACCGACCCAGAAATCCCGGCTTCTCGCTCGCCCCAACGCTCCGCCCCCGGGGCCTCTTGGTGCTGTGGAATTGAAGCCCTATCGACATCAGGTTGGCGGGCACACGACCGTTTTCCGATTTTCAAGACGCGCTGTATGCAAGCAGTTGAACAACCGAGAGAATGAGTTCTACGAACGGATTGAACTGAGGCACCCAGATATGCTTGTGTTTCTCCCAAAGTGAGTAAAATCCAATCCATAAAACGAAGAGGGTTATCGAATACTAACATTCCGGTCAGATACATCGGAGTTCTGAATGTGACCTTCTCGAAGACATCTAAACGAAAGGATCAGGTCGATCCTGCCGATGAGACAACTCAAGCGGCGACACCTGCCAACGGAACTTCAACGCTTAGCTCTCAGCTTCTCGAGGCAGCTGAGTCACAAGAGCCACAGCGAGTTGTTAGCCAGTCCCAAGTCACAGGGGTCATTCCTAAGGTCATTCTTGAGAATAATCGACACATCATTCCTGCCGATCTTTTCACCCGGCAGCAGCGACCGCGGACAGCAGATGCTTCAATCAACCGCGCACGATCCGTTGATGGCCTCGAGGGCATGTCAGTGGAGTCTGATCCATCGGCGCTGAGCAAGCGGGCCAAGATCTGGGGCGCCACAACCGTCAATCTCAAGCTTCAGGAGCAGGTTCTCCGCGAGGTATTCAGCCCTCCTGCCATTCATCATCATCGACGGCATGCTCGTGGTCATGTCCATCTGCCAAGAGCTAATTCCGACATGCCCGTAACCACACACCGCCGAGAGAACCTATCAGAAGACCACACCGCCTCCAGTCGACAACCAGTCTCTGGGCCAATCGAAGCTCTGAAGACAGAAGCGATTGACATCAAGGTGGCCCCAAATGAAGGCCCTGCTCTATCATCGTCGGCTTCGACTGCCCTAGATGCAAATCAAAGCCGCCTTGAGAAAATCCGGACCGAAGAGGGGCCCAATCGAGCAAGCTCGCTCTCTCGAGCTTATCACACTAGACGGCGCCATTCCGGGAGTGGCCTCCGGAGACGTGGCAGCATGGACTCTCGCAACAATGGAGAGCTTCTGTTCTTTGATGACGATGATTATGTCGGTGACAAGGAGGATGAGATTTTCTCGATGGAAGCTGATGCTTCGATGTCGACTTCTTCCACCGCGAAACTGTCGGTTTCACCAGCGTCAGAAAATAACTCGACTAATGGTCGCCCTGCAACCGAGCATTTTGCTTCTAGTATAACTTCTGATCCAACTCGTTTCAAACCAAAAGAGCCCCTCAATGCGGCTCTACCCAGCAACCCTAAAGAGGCACAGCTGAGAAAAGACGAAAGAGTGCAGTTCTTTCTCCTCCTTGAAGATCTGACCGCTGGTATGAATAAACCATGCGTACTGGATTTGAAGATGGGCACCCGACAGTATGGCATTGAAGCGAATGAGAAGAAGAAGAAGTCCCAGCGACGAAAGTGTCAGTCTACTACTTCGCAGCAGCTGGGCGTGCGGCTCTGTGGCATGCAGACTTGGAATGTTAAGAAGCAGGAGTACATATTTGAAGACAAGTATTTCGGACGGGATTTGAAATCTGGTCGTGAGTTCCAGGATGCGCTCACCCGGTTCCTATACGACGGCGTCAACTATGCCAGTGTTGCCAAAAAGATCCCTGTCATTCTGGAAAAACTTGCTTTGTTAGAGCACATGATTCGACAGCTGGGTAGCTATCGGCTGTATGCTAGCAGTCTCTTGATTCTTTATGACGGAGAACCGCAAGCTCCACCTGAGCAAGGACCGCCTCGGTCTGGCGGTAAACATGGAAAGTCCAATGACGGCCAGAGCAGACAGAACGTTCAACTGAAGATCGTCGATTTCGCTAACTGCGTCACTGGCGAGGACAAACTTCCTCTAGATACGCCATGTCCACCTCACACCCCGCACGACATTGATCGTGGATATCTGCGTGGCCTCCGTACACTCCGGATGTATTTCCAGCGGATCATGAAGGAGGTGACTCTGGACGAATTCGTTGAACGTGGTGAAGGTGAAGCCATCGCGCTGGGTTCTCAACCTGCGGCTCGTGAGAGACCGTCTGCTCAGTATTGGGATGAAACCATGATAGAAACCGACGCGGGCGAAGTCAGTTTCTAGTTCTTTTTTTTTCAGTTTTTGCTTTTTTTGTTTTTAATCATCTTTCGGCCCACTGCCGATACGTGGCGTTCGGAGGATAGACTCTTCCATATTGAAACGCCAGCATTCATATGCACCAGTGCCTGATCTCGCCTGATCGACACTACGAAATAACGACCCTGCCCTTCAATGGGTGCTTCTATGATCCCCGTCAACGCTTGGATGCATTTAGAGTCGTTTCAGTTTCTTTACCCTTTTGCTTTTTTTCACAGAAGCCTTTTTTGTCTTTCTTCTCGGGCGTGTATCAGTTTCTTTCAGTTGTTTTGATATTGATAATACCCCCAATGTCTCCAAATTCTTTTTTTTTTTCGGTCTTGTACATAAGTATCGTTTTTTTTATCTCTAGATGGCCAATTTCCCTTGATTTTCATTATTTCACAATCTATCCTTTTAACATGACGTGATCGGATATAGACTGTAATGAGTCACGTGGAATGACTCCAACTCTCTCCCCTCTTGGGGTTATTCCCCCTCAGCTTGACTACGCCTTTTAACTAACGTATACATTACCTTGGACCTCAATAATGCTGCAGTGAACATAACTCCTGATCAAAAGCTGAATTCCAATGACGTAGCATTGAAACAACACAACCTCAGGATCCACCCAGCTGACACCGCTCCCCGCCCTTGAAGCTCCCCGAGGACGATAGTCCTCAGCATCTCAGGATCGCCAAATCGTGAAGGTCATATATTTCGATCCGAAAGGCTTTCTTGTCTCCCAAACTTATCTACACCAACCTATCTTACACTTCCCCTCGGCAGAGAGCGGATACAGCCTAGCGCAGCCGGTGCGGAGAAAGCAAGCACTATGACGATCGATAAGCGCGATTTCGACGCGAATCGCCCGCTCCTCCAGGATATCGACACAGAACAAGGCACAGGAGACCGAGGTGCAGAGCCATCACGGTTAAGTCCAAGGTCACGAAATTCATGGGGCTCCGGTAACGCCGGATTTCCACGAAGTGATGACGGGCTATTGAACGATGTCGTTGAGGAGATTGTCGAGCGTGACAGACGGAAAATGCAAAAGGAGGTTATTCGAGTGCTTAGCTTTGGCTGGGGTGTTGTTACTTGGTATGGAAACCCTTCTCCTTGCTGTTATACTTATGATCAATTGGAGCCCTGGAAGCTGACTTGTGTTCGTGTTTTGCAGCTTGGGGGCTGGCAGTATCACTGCTTTCTCTTTGTACGGCCATCTGCTCCTCACCCGACTCCATTATTCGCAGCTCCAGGTCAATGCCGTCTCGATCGCCGCGGAACTCGCAATGTACCTTCCTGTCCCCTTGTTCGGGTACCTGTGTGATCGATACAGCCCGTCACCACTGGCTATGTTCTCGGGACTGGTCTTTGGTATCGGATATCTCCTCGCTGCCTTCACATATAAGAGCGGCCCGTCGGCTGATGCAGGGGGTGCTGGATGGCCGTTCTGGGTTATGATCGTGGCATTTATTGCCATTGGTATGGGGACGAGCTGCATGTATCTAGCAGCGGTTGCGACATGTGCCAAGAACTTTGGCAGGGGAAAGCACAAGGGGATTATGCTTGCTGTTCCTATTGCGGCGTTTGGTCTCAGTGGTATGTGGCAGAGCCAGCTTGGGATGTATATGTTCTGTGAACGGCTCGAGGATGGGAGTCACGGTGATCTCGACGTTTTTAGATACTTCGTCTTCCTCGCGGTGCTGTTGCTGGGAATTGGGATCATCGGTACCTTTGCATTGCGCATTGTCGAGGATGATGACAAGTATATTGATGACACGGTTGAAGAACTAGAGCGCAGTGGACTGCTGGAAGAGAGTGATTTCTTCCGGCCGCGGAATGAAATCAGGCAAGCGATTGAGTACGGCACGTTCTCTGATGCATTGGACGAGGAGGAATCAACTCTGTCCGAGGAAGAGCGCGAGCAGCAAAGACTAGAGAAGGAACGCGAGGAAGAAGAGCGCCGGAAAAAGAACTGGCTGCTCAACTATGAAACTCGTGTGTTCCTACAAGACAACACCATGTGGTGGCTAGCCGCAGGCTTCTTCTTGGTTACCGGCCCTGGCGAATCGTACATCAACAACGTGAGTTTTGTCTGAACCATTACCTTCACACCAAAAGCTAACATATTCCCCAAAGCTGGGCACAATCATTCCAACCCTCACACCTCAATCCTATCCCACAGGCGCATCACCCCCAGCTGGATCCCCCTCAACACACGTTACAACCATAGCCCTAACCTCAACTATCGCTCGCCTCCTAACAGGCTCTCTTTCCGACTTCTTCGCGCCCCCAGCAACACATCTCTTCCCTCCACTTCCCGAAGGATCCCGACACACACCCCCTCCATCCTCACGCCTCACTCTATCCCGCATGATCTTCCTCATCCCCTCAGCCTTCCTCCTTTCACTAGGCTACCTCCTCCTCGCCTCGCCCCTCCCGCTAGCACACCCAGGAATCTTCAACTTAACAACTGCCCTAATCGGCTTCGGGTACGGCAGCGCCTTCTCCCTCGCCCCCATCATCATCTCCGTCGTATGGGGCGTCGAGAACTTCGCCACGAACTGGGGTATCGTTGCCATGATGCCCGCGGCTGGTGCGGCGTTGTGGGGCATTGTCTACTCGGCCGCTTATCAGAATGCCATGGATCACGATGATGGGTTGTCTGATGGTCAGTGCCATGGATGGCGGTGCTATGGGTTCTGGGCTGTTGGATGCACGGTCAGTGTTTGGGTTGCTGTTTTAGCTTGGGTGGCAGCTTGGAGGGGATGGAAGAGGAGAGGAGTTGTTGTTTAGTGTTTAGTAGGGTTTTATTTGGTGGCTTGGGATGTCTAATCTGTTTGATATCTGCGTTTTATACAGGCGTTCATGATGGTTCTATACATGTCTAGGTGGACATGGGTTGGCATTTGCATATACTTAGGCGGTTATTATTATTTCGGTTTTTCCAATCATCTTACATTGATATTGATATTGATATTCAAATACTACATTTGCGTGAAGAAAAAAGGCAATCGCTGCATTTTAGGTGGCATACTCCTTGGACTACCGTATACCAACTGGCATTCGGTCGATATTAATATCCCCGGAAATCAATAGGAGATCTATCTCATTTGGAGGGCAATATCCAATTTCCCAGCCAAAAAAAAAAGAGACGAGGCAGGGTATTAGAAGTCCAAATACTCCAGCAATTAACCAAATAATTCAACACGCCATCCGGATGCCACATCCAGAATGCAAAGGTACCTCTCAGAGGCAGTTGGTCAGGTTAAAAATGGCAATAACCAAAATTAACCAAGACAAAAACAAACCTAAATGTCCGTTGAACTCGGATCAAATCCAGTGAACACTTTGTATAGCCGCTTACTAGCAGCAGGTCCAATACGAGCATTCGTCAAGGAGCCGTTTTTGTTCGCGGATTTCTATAGCAGTCAGTATGTGAGATTCTGATAAAAAAAAAGCAACATCAAAGCCAAAGCAGCTATAGAAACGAAACAAATCCAATAGAAAGATGGAAAATAGAAAGAAAAACCTACCTTAATATCCTCCAGCATCATAGGGCCATGCATCCGCATTGCACGAGTCAAATGCGCAACACAGGGATACTGTCCGGCAATTCCATATGCCATCGGAGCTGTCACGCGATTGACCTCCTGAATCATCTTGATGAAAGTATCCTGTTTATCGACACCGGTTTTCACCTGTCCGGTATCCATACAGAACGCGGCATTATGTGCTTCCTGTCGTTCACGCCGGTACGGGACTGTCGAGATGTGCTCGGTGAAATTCTTAATCCACTCTGCGGAATCGGCTGGTGTCGTCGTGTGGTGGATGAGACACGAGTGTGTGACTTGCAGTTCGAGCAGAGCGTCTTCAACAATCTCGTCGTCGACGAGGGGCGTCGTGTCGGGTGTTTTCTTTGGTTTTCGAGCTCTGCGAGCCGTTGTTTGTTCCTCTCGTGCTGGCGCGGTTGTTTCGGCGAGTTGACGCAGGACTTCGGCTTGGAAAGCTCTATTTCGTGCGTTTGTGTTTTTGCGCATTAGAGCGGTCAGGCCTTCGATTAGGTAGATGGGTTTGCAGTCTGGGTACGCGCTTTTTATTCGGAGGACGTGGTTTTCTAGGGTTTCTCTTTCTGAGTTGGGGTCGTGTGGTGGTGTGGTTACCATGTTGATGAACTGTTGCGCGGGTAATAGACATAGCACGTGGTCTTCCTTTTGGATGAAGGATGGACAGGGTTCCCAGTGGCGTAGAGTTCTGTTGTACGTGGCGTTCATTTTGCGGCGCCATTTGACTACGTTTGGAATTGGGCTTGTGAAGTATGTATGTTCGACGCCCAGTCGTTTCATGAACTCAACGGTTTGGGTGCCGACGCTGCTGTCTTCGAGAGATGTGGCCATGTCGATGATCATCTCTGGGGTGGAATCCTTTTTGTTCACTTTCAGCTTGTTGACACTTGCGATATCGGCAGCCCGTTGTTTCTCTTTTGCTTTCTCTTCTTTGAGCTTCAGCTTGCGATCTTTCTCGAGTTGGCGTTCTCGTTCTCGCTGTAACTTTGTCTCTTCACGTGCTTTGGCCTTTGCTTCCTTTTCAGCGGGAGTAACTTTGCTTGTCTTCTTTGCTGTCTTGCGGGGTGCTACTGGTTCATCGATGTCGTCGTTATCGGAGAGGACCTCCGCAACCGTCGATTGCAAGCTGGTCCCTGTCTTTTTTCGAGTAGCAGATTTTGCTTTAGGGCCTGAAGTGTGTTCCTCACCAAGGCGACATAGTAGGCGAGCAGTCGACTCAGAAAAGATAGGAGTCGAGGAAGTCGGTTTTTTCAGTAGGTCAGCAAACTCCGGCAGAGCAAACGGGTCGCTGAATTCATCAATATCACTACGCCCTCGGAAGCTTGAGGGCGGAGGCATGAGGTCCGTCAATGTGTCATCGTCATCAAGCGCAATAATATCCCGGGTTGAAAGGTGCGATTTGCGCGATGGGGGCTTTGGCAAAGGAGCTGGGGCCGAAGAGGTGAAGACAATTGGGTCTGATTCTTCCATACGCGACTGGGATGGTTTGTTCTGTGCCGCGGCGTTTACTGGCGGTAGGTCAAAATCATCATCGGAGATCGAAAACCAAGGCTCCGCCGTAGAAGCTGGAGCTCGAGGTTCGTTCAGGGTGGTGCTTTCTCGTAGAGAAGAAGTGTCTTCATCGCTCACTCGCCGTTTTTTGGCCGGTTTGTCGAAAATGTCTTCATAGTCGAACAGGGATGTATCGAACGGGTCTGACGAAATCGGATTGAGCTGGTGGGGTGGACCTCGCGACGGAAGTTGGGCTGGCTGTCGCAGTTTTGGCGGCTGGGGCTTTGGTGCGGTAGGAGGATCGGAGGATAAAAGATCTATTATTTCGGGCATGTTGAGGGACCCCAATGCCACTAGGGCCGGCAACCAAGGATAAAGATGAATTGATAGAGGAGGGACGCGACGTCACCGCGAACAAAACACGAGGTCATGTGACTAGCATGTGAGGGTGTTTTGTGGTGTTGAATGAACAATGTGCAGTGGAGGTGTAACTTGAGAAAAGTAGATTAATGTAAAGTATACCGATTTAATGCATGGACTATGAATTATAGCGCTTGAAATAAAATTGCAGCCATCACAGCAAGAACGGCCCCAATTAGACTGAGAATGACAAAGACTTGCTGCCACCCATTGAACGGCCTTCTTTCGGCTTTGAGCATGGTCGAGATCTCTTCTTCCAGCCTATCACCCATAGCAGTGAGCGAGAATTCCTGCTGCGCCCTGTTCTTGCCAGCAAGAGCCATGCGTTCAAGATCCTCTTGACCCAGTCCGTAAAGTGCCTTGTCCATCACAGCAGTCCACTCTTCATCTGCGTGGGCGTCCCGGAGCCAGCCCGTTTCGCCCTCGATAATCGTCTCAAGTGGGCCGCCAGTATTGGATGCTAGAACTGGGAGACCAACACGCATTGCTTCAACGGGAACAATGCCAAAGTGTTCGTTGATTGGTGTGTAGAGAAGGAGCTTTGATTGCGCCAACAGGGTATCTTTGAATGCAGTGGGAACAGAGAGAAGGAAGAGGACATCAATATTGTCAGGGATTGAAAGCGCAGATAGCACTGTCTTGGAGGTTGCGGTCCTCAACCCGAGACTGGTCGCAAGATCATCCAGCTCTTGGTGGTATTGAACATTCTCGTGGACACGAATATCGTACCCGCCTGCAAAATACCATGTTAAAATTTATCCAAATCGCAAAGGAATACACAAGTTCTTACCAGCAATCACCAGCCGCGTCCCTTTCCTCTTCTCCGTTCCTAGTCCATTATAAGCGCGAATCGCCAATCCCATATCCTTCTTGCGCTCGAAGCGATTGATGCTGAGCAAGATCTTCTTCCCGCCCCATAGGGGATCTTCTTCCACTTTCTCGGGCACAGGTACCCCGGGATCCATATCAACACACGGGTACACCACCTCCACATCACCCAACCGGTCCGAGCCAAAAACGTCACGCACGACCCCGCGGGAGAACCTAGAGTTCGCAACAACCTGATCCGACGCGCTCATCGCCCATCCTTCAAACCAATCAAACGGAAACCGGTACAACACCTTCGCCAAGCGAAGAAGTGAGCCGCCCTCATCTCGGCGCGCGAGCAATTGATCCGGGAAGTGACAATAGAAGAGGATGCGCTGACGTCGGGACTGGCGCGGGCGGCCGAAAGATTTCAAAAATGGCACACAGGCCGGTAACTGGTCCACAATGAAGATATCATCGCGGTCCTCCTCGTCGTCGGTGGTCGTGGTAGCTATCCCCCTTGTTCCAAGCTCGCCTAGTAGTGAGACGGTGAGATGTAGCTGGCGCAGCGCAGCCATGAGAATGTGGAATCGACCGCAGACATGGGCAGGGAATATGGTGTTTCCACGCACGCGGACGTCCAGCGTGCCATCGCGCGCCTCGTCGAAGCAGTGCGCCTTATCGCAGTGGGAGGTGTAGATCGTTACGCGGTGGCCTCGGTTCTGAAGAGCTAGGGCGACATCAATTATCAGCCGCTCGGCACCTCCAATACCCAGATCTGGGTGGATTATTGTCACATTGGACCGTTGGAGGCCCATGTTGAATTTTGGAGCTTGGAGATTGAAGCTACCGTTACGACAAGCTTGAAGACACGTGGGGTATACGCGTCATGTGATACAGATATCAGTACGGAGATAGCTAGGGTGGATTTTGTCTTGGCACTATGGCTTACGGAGTAAATATTAAGTGTAAAGGTGTACACAGCGACAATGAGCACACCGATTAATACATATGTCGATGTATATTGTTCGTTAACAACATTTCTGAGTGAGTCACTTCAACGGTGATCCAGCTCTATCTCTAGAACGCTGTTTCTTATGACCTCGAGAGAATGGTATTTTCCTGGGTCGCATAGGTCGCACAGATGGGTTGACAAAAATGATCCGGTGCATGTTGTGCTGTGGGACCAAGTGGGAATGGCAGGCTATCCATTGGAATTCCGAGTATACACTTTGCTAGGCTTGCTGGGGATGATGTTGGTGGACGAAGTTTCTGAATTGCTGGCTGACGCTGTTCACGCTGAAAGCTAGGTCGAATGGGTACTATGGCTCTCATGTGCATAGATATGATTTAGCCGGCATAATACTACGTACATCCCATCCATGTAATATTTTGGAGTTCCTCTACTCTCCTTTCCGACTCATTGCTTTAGCCTTTTAATCATGAACGATGCTTCCAGGACAAAGGGATGGGTTGAAGCATCACATCCTTACAAATTAGTTGGGTAGCTTCCTGATTGCTTGTAGAGAATCAGTCCGTTCTTCTCTCAAAACTCTACCATTCTAGACGACGGTGATATATGCTATCATAGTGCTTCAATAGCTCTAAAATCGTAGCTAAATGATTTCTAGGTACCTAATCAAGTATTATCTGTCCCAAAATTCTCATATCCACAATAGTTCTAATCAGTTTAAGTGGAGACCCCGGAAAATGGACTACGTTTTCCTCTAAGCCCTATACGGTAGTTGTCGGGAGACCCGACGCATTAACGGATCGAACCCCGAAATGAGAACAGGAAATAGCCTATGCTTTTATCAGTGTAGACTGGATGAGGGTGTAGGTAGCTGTATTAAGTCCTAATGGCCAGGCACTATATAAGAACATCTATATTCTGATGTCGCATTTCACTTTTCGAAAAACATTATATTTCTATCATTGCTAAGCAACACCATGGCTGATTTTACCACCGGACCGAGCAGCTGTAGCTGTAGTTCTGGAAACAGCCCTTTTAATGCTACCTCTGTGTATCCGCTAGGTAGGAGGCATAATATTGGCTAGCATGTTTGGAACTAAGAAACTAATGCTTCACCTAGATCCTCTGTCAGCTGCTGAAATCTCGCAAACAAGCACAGTCATTCGAGCGTCCAGCAAGTCGGAGGTCAAATTTAACAGCATCACGCTGTTAGAGCCCCCCAAAGCTGAATATGCTGCTTTCCGTGATTCTGGTGGACCGCGCCCAGCTAGACGGTCTCTTTCAATTGTCATTCCTCGCGGTACACAGCAAGTAGTCGAGGTCACTGTGAATTTGGTCTCACAAAAAGTCGAGTTTTGGCGGGAAATCAAGGATGTTATGCCTATCTTGACACTGGAAGATTTGGATGTTGTGGAAAGAATCTCCAGAGTTCACCCACAAGTCATTAAGGCTTGCAATGAACTGGGGATCACTGACATGTCGAAAGTCTTCTTCGATGGTTGGGCAATTGGAGTGGATGAGCGCTGGGGGTTTGAAAGACGACTACAACAAGCACTTGCTTATTATCGCACATCACCATCGGACAACCAATACGCCCATCCCCTCGATTTTACAGTCATTGCAGACACAGAGCGAGAGGAGGTCCTTTCCGTTGACATTCGAACTGTCAACGGAGAGCGAACCCCCATTCCGATGAAAGAGCACAATTATCTCCCTGAGTTTGCGGAAACAAGCCAGTACAAGTTCGACGTTCTCAAACCGATCAACATCACACAGCCTCAAGGAGTCTCGTTCAAGATGAGTGGAAGAGAAATCCACTGGGCCAATATGAAAATGCACATTGGTTTCAACTATCGAGAAGGACTTGTTTTATCCGACATCCGCATCCGAGATCCATACGATAATAGCAACAAGGACCGCAAAATCTTCAATAGATTAAGTGTGGTCGAAATGTTTGTTCCATACGGATCCCCTAAGAGCCCGCATCATAGAAAACACGCATTTGATATTGGCGAATATGGTTCTGGATTCATGGCCAATTCCCTGAAGCTCGGATGCGATTGCAAAGGTGTCATTCAATACTTAGATGCCGTCCTCAACACGTCAAGTGGTGCTCCGCTACTCATTGAGAATGCGATCTGCATACATGAAGAGGACAACGGTCTGCTCTACAAGCATACAGATTTCCGTGATGGACGTGTGATTTCAGCCCGAGACCGAAAGTTGGTGATCTCCCAGATTCTGACTGCCGCAAACTATGAATATGCTTTCTATCACACATTCACGCTGGACGGAACGTATAAGCTGGAAGTCAAATTGACTGGCATGTTGAACACCTATTGTCTTCATGAAAGTGAAGAATCAGCGCCATTCGGCACAGAGGTTGCTGAGCGTCTTGATGCACAAAACCACCAGCACATTTTCTCACTCCGCATTGATTCAGAGATTGATGGTTCCAACAATACTGTCATCCAAAACGATGCAGTCCCGATCGATGTTCCGACCGAGCAGAATCCATATGGCAACGGATTCATGGCAAAGAAAACGATTTTCAAAACCGCTAAAGATGGCTCTGCCAGCTATTGCCATGAAACCTCTCGAACGTGGGACATTGTGAATCCGAACATCGTCAGTAAAGTCTCTAAGAAGCCTGTCGGGTACAAGATTGTGAATAGTCAATGCCCCGCGCTTCTAGCTAAACCAGACAGCGTCATTGCAAAGAGAGGATCGTTTGCGCAGAAAGCTCTTTGGGTACTTCCATACCGAGACTATGAGCTATTCCCAGCAGGGTCTTATGTGTGCCAGTCCACTGGTGACTACCATCCAGAAAATATGACCATCAGCGATTGGGTTGCTCGCGATGAGCCAATCGAGAATACGGACATCGTCTGTTATGTTCAATTTGGGCTTACACACTTCCCGCGTACTGAGGACTTTCCCATTATGCCAGCGGAGCCTGTCAGTGTGATGTTACGTGCATCCAACTTCTTCGAAAAGAACCCTGCGCTTTGGGTGCCGCCATCAGAGTTGGATGTAGATTCATCATCTACGAATGCTAACTCGGATACTGGAAGGGACTGTGTTGGACAGGGCAAGAGTACGCTGATACCCAAGCTTTGAGTCTGGGAATGTCCGCAAATTCTGAGCCTTGATATGAGTGTGAGGTATGAGTGTCTCTTTCGCATGACTGAAGCTCTTATCTGGGAATAATTAAATTAAAATTCGTGTTATATGTGGTCCCTTGTATCCTAGAAAACGCATGGGTTTTCAATGTTTCGTGTAAGGAAATGTAACTGAATAAAAGCCTGTGACTGTGCACTTGATCTATATATTCAACTCCGACTAGACGATGATCCTTGGTTTAAATGTCTGATCCTAGGTAAAAGTGAGTTATCATATCCTAGTCTATTCCGATGTCAGCTGTTCCCAGCCCATCATCGACTGGGAGGAAAATTCTAGGGATTGCTACAGAAAGGAAGATATATGAGAGACACTCTGTGATTTTTATGACACGAAGTGGGCGGAGAGAGAAAGAGGGTATATGACAGAAATCTATGGTTGACGAATGTATACCGTTCTGTACGTAACCAGGATATAACTCTTTAATATATGTGCCTCGCAAAAATTCTAGAATTTAAGAGAGCTTTTTAACTGCAGTGCAATAAGCTTTGGTTTGGAATTTCCATAGACCGAAAATCGACCTGTTCAATCACAAAATCCTGTTAGCGAACTACCTGCGCACAGCTGATATCTTGTTCGGCTGGTCCGCAATCACACTATAAAGGATGATCGGGCCATCCGACACTTTCCGACAAGCCACCAGTTACTCCTAATCTAGGGATAATGTCTATAACGCTCGTGGCTTCGTTCTCTTGTGATAGGTTGCTAGAGCCCGATTATGTAGAATCATCTAGTCACTAGGTTTATTCCTTATCAACCCCATGGAGACTTTGAAGGATTACTTGTTAACCTAGAATTCTAGATGAGTGTCTTAGAAGTCATTATCTTACAACATAAGCCAATAAAAGGTTTAAGTAATCCTTTACCAAGTGACTTGAACTGAGAATATAGTAGATACTACATCAGACAAATCAAAGAGAGATTATGCCGAAGCATCTTAATGACAGATGCGTGTGACCCATTCTATCATGCATGTGGGACAATGGTTACCTCCATATTGATATTCTCCAAGATAGGTACGTCAAACTTGTGTCGTCCATAGAAGAAATAGTATACACCCCCAAATAATAGCCAAACTACCATCACAGCAGGTGAATAGTTAGCTGTCCCCACCGAAACAGGCATAAAGCTTGGGAAGGTGCTGAAGATGACGACAACGATGATCCAGATAATGCTAATGACATTAAGCATGACCCCTAATGTCTTGCCCAGCTTGAAGAAGCCGTAGGTTCTGGGCCGAGACTTGCAACGGCCATAGACCAACATGTAGATGATGGGCAGCAGATACGACAAATACATACCGATGATGGCCATAGAAAGAACAGCGTTAAAAGCCGTTGTGTTACCCAAGTAGAGCAGCCCCAGAAGCATCTGCAGTGTTGTAGTAACAACAATGCATCGGACTGGGACAGCGGCCTTGTCGCTGACCTTGCTCAGGTAGTCGTGGCAGGGTGTGGCCTTATCACGAGCAAAGGCCCAGAGCGTACGTGAGGTCGACGTCGTGCCAGCGATGGCCGCGGTGTAGGCGATGAGGATAGGTGCCAGGGCGAGCATGGCACCCCCAAGGGGCGAGCCAACGGCATCCTCGTAGATCTTAAGGAACGGATAGCCGGTGGGGCTTTCTAGAAGCTCGTCCAGTGAACTGGTTGAAAATAGGATAAGAATCACGTAGACCAGACCGGTCAAGCCGTTGATAAGAATTGATCCAACCATGGCCAGGGGAACGTTGCGCGATGGGTTCGGGATCTCCTCGGCAATATGGCAGGCAGCATCGTATCTAGACGAGTTGTTAATCACCATAATATTCTGGGTTGAACGATGCATTATTGCAAGGGGGGATCACGAACCCTAAGAATGGGTAGACCGTGCTGAGTAGGCCAACGAGCCAGGATACGCCATCGCTCGCCCATCCACTCCGATTGTCAAAGTCCTTGAAGACAAACGAGGCCGTGTTCTTGGGAGCCATGATGGCCAGGGTGATGCAGGTAGCAAAGAAGCCTCCCACATGGATGATACCTTTTGACAACAGTTAGCTTGGCTGGCCTTTTCTTTTGCTGTTGACCAGGGGAGGGTAATGAGCACCTGATGCGTAGTTTACATGGGGCAAGATCCTGGAGCCCACAGTGTTAACAAAGGCGGCGTAAAGCACCACGGCCCAGTAAAACAGCATACCCTGCCATTGCTGCGGAATGTAGGAGTCGTCGTTCATGATTAGAAGCCCCTGAGTTTGCAGCCCACCAGAAAGAGCTGCAGCTGCCGTCAACAGGATTTGGCCACCGACTGAAATCCATCCCGTGAACCACGCGGCAGACTTGCGAGAAGAGACGGGAGAGAGAACAGCCACCCAGTAGTATTGGCCTATCCGGTGGTCAGTAAATCCAGTGGATATATAGTGCGACGGGGCAGCGGTGGTGTTGAGTTACCTCCGGCTGTTGGGTAGATAGATGCGATTTCGGCCAAAGACGACCCAACGGCAATCGTGCACAGAAATGAGAGGACGCTATCACCGCGGCCATGTCAGTAATTTTATACGACAGACAAGACATACGACGTCGTTCTCGATCCTGGTACTGACTAGTTGTACAACAGGCAGGGCGCACCTCCCGACTCCAGGGCGGCCGAGATGACGGCCGAAACAGCTTCCCAGGTTGCGAGGAGACACATGCACAAGGACGCAGCAGACGTCAGAGAGAAGTTTCTCTCGAGGACCTGGTTGTGACCAAGATAAGCAAGCTGCTCAGCATCTGATTTGGTATAATGCTTTTCCGCAGGATCGTTCCGAGTATCGTCCACGCTCCTCCGGTTGTCTATTCTGCTCTGAGATGCAGACTCCATCTTGTCAAATGGGTGTCGAGTGACAAGCCTTGGGGGGAATTGGTGATGTGGTTCAGGAGCGATTCAGAGGATTATGTCAAGTTGTAATCCCAAAAGAGTAGGTTAACACAGGTGGAATTTTATAGTAGCAAGACACGTCGGATATTTATTAGCGATTGCCCAAGGGACCGAGCACGCCGCGTTGTCACACATCATTGGGGCATGGGCTCAAGTTATCAGCATAGTTTAGGCTAGCTCGTTGCGTATGCATATGATTCGCAAGGACCACCCCAGGCTACCCCAGAAAATGACATGCCCCACCGCAGGGAAACTGAGCGATGGCTTATCTCGTTGCGAAGCCAGAAATAGATTTCGGAGAACCCGCCAGCATCCAGTAGCTGCCGATATAGGCTCAATCATTGAGGATTAGATTCTATCGGGAACTCCGATATGTTAAAGGCGAATGGGATACGTAGAATCCCTGTAAGCCTGTCTTTGCTGGAAATTAGTTGTAATGGTGAGATTAAGGGCTCCTAATGAGATGGCGATTAAAAAGGCGAAAGGGCTTAAGATCGTTCATCGACAGAAGGTGGCCTGTCGGCTGGAGTCCGAGTTCCTTGATCCTAGTCCCTCACTTAATAAAGCCACGGCACATGTAGCATAGGGCTGATTTTGGCCGGAGACTTCAATCGCCACCACCCAGCATAGGGGACCATTCACATTTAACCTCGATCCATCGAGAACGCCGGCGAACTGATAAATTTCTTCCATGATCATGGCCTTCAAAGCTGTCTCCCTCCGGGAACCGCGACCATCTGGTCCTTAAGCCACCCAGGGAGAAAGTCTACGATCGGCCAGACGGTGACAAACAGACCAGACCTACTCATTAAATGCCAGCTCTACCACGACGACTATGGTTCGGGTCACAAAGCCACTTATTCAGAACGGTACCTCCAAGTGCGGCGCAACCCCACCACCAAGACGAGAAAGGCGTACGACCGAGCGGACTGGGAGAAGATTAGAAAGGAGGTCCAGGAGCTCTTCGAGCAACCCGGGGAGCTAAACTCAGCCGAGGCACTAGACACAGCCGTGGAGAGTCTTAAAAGCAGGACCGCGAATGCGGTGGACAAGCACACACCCGATCTGAGACCTTCCCCGTATTTTAAACGATAGTTCAATGCCTACCTTAAAGCCTAACAGAAAGATGTGAACTGCCTACGGCACAAGTGGCAAGAGAGCAACGCTAAAGTCGGACGAGCCGACTACCGCACCATGGCTATGTTCGAGGACATGCGCCAGTCACGGCGGGCATGGACTCGGACCATTGAGAAGGCTAAGGAATCCCATTAGAAGCAGTTCCTACACAAAGCAGGTGAAGGGAAATTATGGAAAGCAGCGACGTACATGAAACCAGACTCCTGGGGTTACATTCTGGCCCTTAAGATCGGTGACAGGGAGCTACTTGACAACGCGGAGAAAGCTCAGGCATTTATGGGCTCGTTCTTCCCGTCGATACGCCCACTCCTCACTGCTTGACCTTGCCAGAACAATCCGGGTATGGTTTGAATGATGACCCTTCCTAGATAAATTTATAAATAGGGTCAACCTCTTTTGTTTGCCCTCCGAATATCGACCGTCTCATTCCCAGGGTTTTGCTATGTCGGCAACAAATTTGGCGATCGCTGGTTTGCCTGGTCTGGTTATATTCTCGCGCTTACAGAACAGAATATCCCTGGCTTTTGATCAAATGACAGAAGTCTGACTGTATTGAAATGTAGGGTAACAGTTTATTGGAACTCTCTAGCCAGCAGGAAAAACGAACATAAATAGACAAAAATCACTAGTCAATACTGCACTTTTTGGTCGGGTGGGAACCGACGTCTGAGGAAATTCAGGGTAAATTACCGATCGGGTGGTTTAGTACTGTATCTGACGGGGTATTTGGACTCGGTATTTGACAAACTTTATTTTACCTCAAGATTCCTGTGCCTTTCCGATACACGTCTGTTAGATAACCTATATGCTCATGTCTAGAATTACCTTTGATGAAAAGACATGGTTAGGCTATAGAAATCCCAAATCGGGACTACCTGCGTGATCCGGTTGGCTTTGCAGCCGCAGATCAATACATTAATAGTCTGGAAGATGGGGCTTCAATTCGTCGGATAATGATTGGACCTTGTCGCTGACCTGGCTCTCTGTAGTCTCTGCGGCTGCTACGGCTGCTATGGCATATATTACAGCAGTAGGACCGTCTTTTATAACATTATTAGCCTCATTACTGGCTGTCTTTCCGACGTCGAATGCGTCTGCGCCGGCGATACTGAGGGAGCGACGTAGGTGGTGCATATCAATTACAAATTCAAATCCCGGAAGATGGAGATATAGAAACACGAGAGTATACGACTAGCCTAGGAAAGACTATGAGATGATTGAAGTGTCACCTTAAACCTGGCCTTTTATAGCAATATATTCTGGTAATTACAGTCCCAGGCTCCTATATAACTATCTAGTGGGTCTGCCCGGAGATAAGTGCTACACGAATCAAACAACAGAAATAAAAGCTAGATACTAGAGAATGATAAGTAATAGAAAGGACAGAAATTTACCGGAAACCTACAAACAAATAAAGAGTATCGTGAAGATTTATTGCTCTATGGTGCGACTTGATTAGGATATAAGTGGGAATTTGTTAGCCTCTAAAGTGGACAAAATTTGACTACATGGTGGAGGCCATGAATCTAGGAGAGACAATGGCCCGCTAAGATGGGCATACAAGGACAATTAAATTTAGTGGATAGCTGGATAACCCCTAAAATTGCTAGAGAAACGTAAATTAGCACTAGCCCTAACAGCAGGGTCAGACCGATGATCTCACAATTAGGAAGTTATATCTGAACCTGCAGAACCTGGCCACACCGAAGGACAAAATTGGTAATTAAAGCGATATACTGGCTGTCTTCAGGAGCGAGTGAGTCTAGCACATGAAGATCCCGGTCAAGGAGTTCTCAATTACGGATGTTTCACTAACGGCTCCAAGATGCTCAGGTGTCAATGTACAAGCCTTTCCTTAAGATACAGTAAGTTCACTGCTTCTGGGGGAAGGGTGAAGGAGGGATATCAAGTAAAAGGATGGTGGGTATTTCTTTGAGAGATCAGCCCATTCTGAGCTCATTGGAAAGATCTTTGAAAACAGTCTCTGTTTTCCGAAGCCACGCCGATATCTACATGACCCACCTGAGCCGGCGCTCAGTCGAGCCTTCACCGCAAATTTCAAGGCTTCATACTCAGTACCTTTACTATGTGTAGCCAACAGAGTCATCTCTTCACATCGTTGCTTTCATTATCCTGCAGCCCCAAAGAGTAGTATTGCTGGCCCTTAGACGTTACCAGACTAGCAATGATATATCCTAATGCAGTTCCAAACATTTGAAGTGCTAGCTCGAGCGGTAAGGATTGAAATCGATTCTACTGAAGATACTTTTTGTCGAACTTCATATGCCGCGTGAAGGAGATGTGGTGGAAATGGTGGATACACGCTAGGCGTTGAAAAAGAGGATGAAACGATTTGTTGCAACGGTAAAGCATATTATGAATAACATTGAGTAACATAGAACCCATGCAAAGCAGGTAGAACAAAGATAGTAATGATAGAGTAATATCATGCCTCAAAAGGAGATACTGAACTACCGAGTCGACAATTCTTGTCCCTGCAGATCATTCCTGTGACTATAGTCGAAAAGCTAGACAAATAAGTTGCTGCCTGGATCACAATTTTCCGTAGATTATCTAGCCTGTGAAGGAATAAGCCGCAGCCGATGAATGCCTGATTTTGGTGGCACTCGGTGCTTGTGTTTGCTAGGATCCAGGGCATAAATACCCTGTTCTCCATATACTGAATGAGCAGAGATTTCTTTTTCCTCTCTCCTCCCTCTAACAGCCATAAAAAAAATCCCCCAGGTACCCCAATACTCATAGTAGATTTTCCGCATGTTGTTCAAAATGTGGATCGAATGTTGCTAAAGGACGCCAACGAAATACCTAAGAAACGCCGCAATGGAACAAGCTAGCCTCAACAACGCAGTATCGAAAAATGTTTCGTGGCTGCCTTGATCAACCCTGTCATCTTCCCCTCTTCCCACTGTAGACAATCTTGAAGATAACTCTTCATTCATCTCCAAACAAGTTCAAGACACTTCCAGAGCCTGCCGTGCCAGTCAGGATTTTCACAATGACAGCCTCATTCCCTATTCGCCCACGATGCTTGCCGCTTCTGTGCGTTGTAACCGCGTTTTGCTTTATCGCCATTATTGCTGTTTGGTTTGGCATGAACTCCGACAGGAAATACATCCACCCCATTCTCACGCAGTTAATCCCCGCGGGACACTGCACTTGCGAATCCTCCACCATCTTTCAGTGCTCGACATGCCTCACCTGCTACGAACCCGGTCCACAAGCAGACACCTCCGCCTCTTGGTCCTTTGAATATACTCGCGACGGCCGAAATGAGGCCCTCAGCCAGAACCAATGCAAAGCTGCTTTCCCCGGATTATTTGAGGATGTCGCGCGTGGTAGCAAATTCTGGTCTTCGCATGGCCGCCTATCGTCTGCAGAACTAGACGTTATCACGATACAGCATGGTATGGCGCGCGCATTCATCGCTGATGGCCAACTATACGTTGTTGAGGCGCGGCCTAAGAACGAGGACCACCGACGGAAAATTCTAGGGACGTTAAGCTCAATCCACCGTGCGTTAGCTGCCGACCAGGAACGAGCTTCTAGACGCCACTTTGAGTTTGTTTTCTCCGTGGAAGATAGGGTCGACGATGTGACTAACTCGGAATGGCCTGTTTGGGTCTTTTCGCGGACTCCTACTGAAGAAGGTGTTTGGCTTATGCCGGATTTTAGCTTTTGGGCCTGGGATAACCCCGACAATTATATGGGGCCTTATGATCAGGTGGTACAACGAATCGAGCGAATGGATATTATTCCCTGGCTAGAGAAAACGCCGAAGCTAGTCTGGAGGGGTAAGCCTAGTTTCGCGCCAAAATTGCGGCACGCGTTGATGGAGGCCGCTAGGGATAAGTCATGGGGTGATGTTAAGGAGGTTGATTGGGACACGGGTTTTAACGTCCTCGGGATGGAAGACCATTGCCACTACATGTTTATTGCGCATGTTGAAGGTGGGTTCGATTTTTTCTTCTCTACCGAGACACGGGAACACTACTGATAACACACTGTCTAGGTCGGTCTTATTCGGCTTCACTAAAATACCGGCAAGCCTGTAATTCGGTCATTATCGCACATAAACCCCAGTTCATTCAGCATCACCACTATCTTTTAGTGGCGGACGGTCCCAACCAAAACTACGTCGAGGTTGAGCGCGATTTCAGCGACCTATCTGAAAAGATGGACACCCTGGTTAGCAACACCGAAGTCGCTAAGCGCATCGCCCACAACAGCGTAACGACCTTCCGTGAGCGATATCTGACCCCAGCTGCTGAAGCCTGCTACTGGCGGTCACTGTTCGATGGCTACGCCGGTGTGTGGAACGGAACCGTGGAGCAGTCGTCCGAAACGATGGACCGCGAACGAGGATTACGATATGAATCATTTGTCCTTCTGGAGAGTTTGAAAATGTACGAATTCGAGGCTGCTATGACTGGACAATGGCAGGCTGCACTATAAGGGTACCAACCAGGGTATGACAGACTACATATAACCTACCCAACAACGATGTGTTATAGCTAACATCTTGCGACGAAGCCAGGATAGCTGTGAAAACCCAACATCAAGAGGTCCACCCATCAGGACTAACTTCAAATCGCCAATCCTCCGGGAGGCCGTCGAACCAGGATTCAGTAAATACTGTCAAATACCGAGTCTGCATACACGGTATATACACATGTAATATATGCTACGCTAAGCATACCAGAGGGTTTATGAATCCTCCATTGTTTTGATTAGATAATTAGTTAACGTATTTCACGACCGAGTGGTCCACCTCAATTGTATATATCTCACGTACGTGGTTGTAAAGCCGGCGAAGGGCTTCTTCGTGGAGGGGAGGGAGGTGCTTTATCTGCTTCCACCGGCTCATTCATCAATTGAGAAGCTTCTTAATCTGTTAAGTCTGGTTCGGCGGGTATCTGCCTCCGGGATCTAGTTCTCTTTTACTTCTGCTTCTCGTTAGCGGCGCGTAATTCGCTCACTTCTTCACAAGTGCTGCGGATTGCATAGTGATCTGGCAATGCCTTTGAAACATGGTTTATAGCAGAATTAAGAGGACTTAGAGGGCTCCTTGATCTTATATATAAAAATTAATTAACGAAGCATACTTTCATAATTAGACGTAGTTAAAGGCGTTTTTGGTCCTAATCACTACCCCGGCTCGGAGGGGGGTAGGTGTTCGAAGTCGAATATGGTCAAGTTTATCAATATGATTGATCCGGTTCCGCATCTTGGTTTTAACCATTCGACCGTACGCACGTCTTAACACCGCAAAATAACCGATAGCTAAAGGTTATAAAAGATGAGATGAATGCGCTGGCATATAGATTAGTATCACCTTATTTTACTCGCAGATTTCATTATATTTATGTGTTAAATGACTTCCGTGGCCGTCGAGTTGATACGCCCCCTTCGTACGTAAAGAAGTATGTTGTACTAGGAAAGAGCTTTTAAGCTAACGAAGGCTAATCTCGTCAGGGGTCCAGCCGTTAGGACTAACTTCGAAGCTAAGCCTCCGGGGAGCTAATCTGCGAGAATCCATAGAGTACCCATTTTTGAAGAGATTCCTCTTCACCGCTTAGGCGGCAGCGTAAAGAGGTTTCCTGTGTTTTACAACGACGTGCTGCCTCACGAGGTGAGATTTCTTGATCCTTAATAGCCTTAATAGATAAGATCCTACCCTCTTGCTGTATTGGATTCCTAGAGGACTGAGAACGAATTGGTGGCATAGTGGTTAAACTAGGATCCAGTTTATGGGCGCGTTTAGGATGCGCTCGCATGTGAAACATGTTAAACAATTAACTAATTGGTAGCCTATTCAAGGTCGGCTATTTTAGCTAAGTCCCCCCAGGCAGACTAATTATTCAAGGCAGCAGTGTTGATTCCTTTCGGGCTTGGCATCGGGCCGTCAAACCAATTGCTTAATAACAAAGACCTTATCTTCTGGATCTCCACAAACCTCATATTTGATTCTTACACTGTAAAACCAAGAAAAGAAACATCAGAAAATGTGCCAAAGAATGTGCCAAAGAGTGTGCCAAAGAATACGTTCCGCCAACAAACACCCGCTCGCTAGAGCTCGCAAGACACAGGTCCTTATCTCGGTGGTTTCGTGGCCATGCGCTATCGCCGCCATCTTTACGAGTCGCCAAGGCCCTCAAGCATGCATCCAGCTCATTGCAGTGAGTCTTCCTCGCCTACTACGATAGAAGACCATCTAACAATTCGAAGATCATGGTTTCTAGCACCATGCCTATATTCATGCTCTTCGGGTATCGCAAATCCGGAAGTCAATCTTATTCGCTCCTTGAAATCGCTATTGATGGCTTGGTCGCATTGCTCCTGATCGGGGTATACATCTCCGGAATGATCCTCCTTGCTACTCAACGGATTAGTGAATGGGAATCTCCCTGGGACTACAAGATTGCCTATGGTCTTCCCCAGGTTTACTCTAACCTCTCATGTATCATCCTCGGGTAAGTCGGTCCGGCAATCAAATATCACCTGGTCTTTTAAATATACTAATCCCCCTAGTCTATTATATTTGCGCACCTTTTCTCAAGGCTTCTTCCAAAAATGCATCATGCCTATGCTCGAGGCCCACCCCGTCACCTACACCCTTTGCCCAGCCTGTGACCAATCTGTGGATGTTCTGATGACCAAGAGTCAGGATGTGACCATGAGCGCGGCAGAACAGGAAAACCCTTTTGGCTCGACTGATAGTCTTCGGGGTTTGTACTCTGATGATGTTGGGTCCCAGCTGTTGCTACCCGAGAGCCCCTTAGACATGGAGGGTAAGCAGACTACTGGGATTGTGTCCAATAGCTGAAGCTTTGGGATGCCATGAACTAAGCTCTGATGGATGCAAGGGCCTAATCTTTTGACTTGATGCAGAACAAAGCGGCACCATCAGAACTAAGTCTCCAGGTGACTATACGAAGAAGCAAGTTGATTTCCAATCAACATGCCATGCTATATATATAGCCTCACGTATCCCCTTTGGAATAGCGATTAATTATTATTCTTCTGAACTAGAACAGACCGATCCTCATAGAGCCTACTCAGTAGACAAATGGGAAAAGGTCAATAAATAAAAGCGAAGATCAGAGATTGCGCTACAATTATTTTGAGTTCACGATTTCTTTACTTCAGGGGAACTGCAGGAAGTATGTTCCGATCTGTGGCGCCAAGTGGCTGAATCGGCTTCCAGCGTTGTATGACCAATCAGGTAGTTGTGTGTTCAATCGGCTCGATCGCGACTAGTCAATTAAGCCGGGAGTTCAGCCGATTTTCGAACATTACCTTAACCGCTGTTCCGAGCTGAGTGACTCGAAAAAGGGTAGGGTCCCCAGAAAATTTTTGTGGGGTGAAATCAATAAAAGAACTCGGAAAAGGAGGCACAGTACTTGCATCAGAATCCAGCTATAGTCCTCACTGATATACTAGGGACAAAGCCTATTGGGCAATCAGCTATAGTAAAGCTAGTACCTAGAGAGGTATTTCCAAAGCCGTGTTTTCGACCTGGCAAGGCCATAAGTAGGGCAACAGACATGAAGGAAGATTATAGATTTTGGTCCACGGGTAGGCGTACAACAGTGTGCTCGCGAGAGGTATCTTACTAAGTCTCGGTGTTTGGTTATTAAGTTCTGGCTATGCAAAGGCCGAGATGGGGAAAACACCTCAGCATGCCGCAGATGATTACTGACGCTGATAAACCCTGCAATATAAATTACCCTCACATAATGTGCAGTACTGGCGTAGTCAATTCCTATCCAAGCCAAGTCTTCAAAAGTCGACCCTTCCGAATCCTATCTCAACCATGCATTTTCATACCTACCCCGATTCATTGACAGATGACCAAAAATTCCACGATGACATTCCCGAGAATAACTATTGTTATTCTGCTATTTCAATGAACGTTCTTCCATGTGACGGTGAAAACCCGTTTCTGCCGACGAAACCTCCAATTGAAAGCCGTCTGAACAGTAAGTATATCATTATGAAGGCAACGGTTATGTGCTAAAGTCCTCGAAGATGCTTGCACTGGAATCAAAAAGCATGAAACTACTCCAAAAGGGTTTTTGAGACACATTTCCATAAAAAGTGGTGGAACCTACGTAGTGGGGTCCGGCAAGAGAGGAGGGAGAGAGTTGTATTCGTCAAGAGGAGCGAGCTCCCAAACTATCGTGACTACAGCTGGCGGTGGACCCCCTGGAAGACCTGAGGGTGAACCCATGCCTTAGGCAGCAATGTCGGTTCTTTGTTTACATTACATTACCCTGCCTTAGGCAGCAATGTCAGTTCTTTGTTTACTTTACCATACATATGACGGATTCACGCATTTTCATCTCTTACATTACATCTACCCACATTACATCTACCCGCATCACATACGATCAATATGGTGCGGTACAGTCAACATGTGAGTTTAATTCATGCGCATATGACACGATAAACTAATAAATACAGAGCTCGTATCAGTGGTATATCACCCAGCGGTCTGCTGAAGGCCTGAATCTCCCTGCCCTCCCAGTGCCTGATGTGAGTGAAGTCTTAAGTGTTTTACTAGTATTTTACTAGTAAATTGGGACTGACTTATGGCTTAGACCCGTGGTTACACCCCTCTTTACCTAGGCGAACGTTTTTGCCGTGCTCTTAACTGTGGAAAAGACGTATGTCACATTCTTTCAAGATTCCTTCAACATTCCTTCAGTTCTTTATTAATTTACTAGTATTATACCATATAATACTAGTAAATTAATTATCTAACGCTGTTTTTAGACACCGGCAACGTCCACTAATAACCTGCGGAAACATTACGCTTCGAAGCACCCTGAGTTGATTCTGAATGCTGCGGAAGGTCGACCTACAACTGTGGAAGAAACTGCGGCAATCGGTAAGTGTAAAGTGAAGAGTTTTACTAGTATCTTACTAGTAATTTACTAATAAAATTAGGATTTTATACCGCTTTACGTGATGCCTATGATGCCCGGATTGCTGCCGCAGTAGAGGCCGCCGCCCTGAATAAACCTGCTATTCCCCGTAAGAAGGATGGTTCTGTAAGTGGAGATTCTACTAGTTATTTACTAGTAAAAACTAATCAATATAGATTCACCTTACTGAGATGAGGAAGCAAGTTAAAGCGCTTCACGGTCAGGTTCCATGCGAGCCTTGTAAAGATGCGAATGACCGAGCTGGTAAGAGTGCCCGCATTTATACTAGTATTTTTATATGATTAACTAGTAAATAGGCTGCTGTCGTCTGGAAAATGCGACTCGATGCGATAACTTTGAGTACTTCGATTCCGATGGTCAAAGTGAGGTTAGTGACCCGCCAGAGGAGGAGAATGATGGAGAAGAGTAAATTACTAGTACTTTACTAGTATTTCTTTTGAACATAAGTGGCGGTTCTATGACATTTTTTTAGCTGAACTTGAAATTCAAAAAGGATATCTATCTATACAGAAGTTACTAGTAGATTATTTTATTTTACTAGTATTCTTTTAAGAATAAGTGGTAGTACTAGTAGGAGGTAACTAGTAATTTAATCCCTTAATTTCTATTTAATATTAAGTAGCTTATTTTCTTGCTCTGTAAGCTGTTCTTGAAGCTTTTGAATCATCCTACGTGTCTCTTCGATCTTATCTTGGTGGAGAGAATTTGAAGAGGTTCTAGAAATATAAGTTACTAGTAAATTACTAGTAAAAGGGTTGAACTTACGTGGAACGTGTGGCTGGACGATGTTGGACGCTAGTACTTCTTAAGCGGCCTCGACGTGGTGGGCATGGTGTGCTTAGTATAACGGTCGGTGGTGTGTCAAGATTGATAACTTCTGAGATTATTGGGAGTCGTGAAGCCATTCTATACTAGTTAGTTACTAGTAAAATACTAATAAAGCAGATAAACCTTAGTGATGGAGACACTATAACTTGAGCTTTGTTAAGTGGCTTCGTAGGTGATTTGCGAGGGGACTTCCTTGGTGACTTAGTCCGACTCCTAGCCCTTTGAATTGTATGGCTATACCCTGACGAGTTATACCCATAAAGCTCTTGATCCTCATCTGATATCTCATCATTGTTAGGACGGTAGCGATTCCGTCGTTTTGCCTCTATTTTTATTAGTAATATACTAGTAAGCTACTAGTAGAAAACGTACCTTCACGCCGGAGACTATTACTAAACCTTGTTACCATATCATCAGCATGGTAGGAATGCCTTATACCAAAGGTAGTACGTGCAAAGTGTTGTGAAACGTCAGTTTGATCGAGGACTCGAGACCTAGGGTTAATTAGTACTAGTATTTCACTAGTAAAATAGTAGTAAACGTACTTTAACACTGCACATAGGAGTGAATCTCGAGTACCCATCCGGTAGGCTTTATAGTGGCTTTGCTCCACTGCATTCGTATGGCTTCGTGTTTCTTTATAGAACCTCGGGTCTATTAAAGAAAGACTCCCACATATACCACCTGCGATCACATCAATTTGCTTATGCCGGACCCATCCAGCGAGCTCTGGGGAGTGTTCTTAAGTCTTTATTAGTAGGTTACTAGTAAAGAACTAGTAGATTTACTTACCTGAGATCAAATCGCCTAGGGTATAGTAGTCATCCCTACTCCCACACTCCATTAAAGCGATAAGACGCGCTCGCGCTTCATGATGCGAATTATCTGCACGCTCTGGTATTAATTTATTTACCGTGCGTAAGAAATGGATCTTACAAAACATAAGAATATGCCTTGCATGCCATCTCCAACCAAGAAGTCGACCATCGATTTGACGTTGAGTTTCATTTAGAACTTTGCCAAGACCTTATACTAGTAAGTAACTAGTAAGATACTAGTAAAATAAGGAGGTACGTACCTGTCATTTGCTTTGGGCACATATCAATAACAATAGACTTGATCCCACTACCATGTAAATAATGGAACTTCACTGGAACACCAGTAACACGGGTAATCAAATTAAACGCAGCTGCGAATATAGTAGTATACCCTGAAGTGGTCTCTTCGGTAGTAAATACACGAAGGAGGGTTATAACTAGTAAATTAGATAGTTAGTACTAGTAAAGGCAGAGAGATTACTAGTAAATAAACTTACTTTTCCCGTGGTCAGGTAGAAATGTAGCAAAAATCACCTCGTTAAATATCCCTTGAACGCGTTTATACGACATATCAACCTCCCATGAATCAAGGGAAGCTAATAATTGTAATTGTTCATCAAGTGCACAAAAGATAAAGGTCCCTCTCTCGTTATCAATGATCTCGCGAATATACTCCTTTAAAGATATTAGTAAGATACTAGTAGTTTACTAGTAAAACGTACCTTTGTATGTGGATCCTTCGCTAAAAGATGATAAATTCCCCCCATTTCTCTCCCAAGGGGGTAATAGAGGGCTCGTTGCTTTTGTAAGATCGTAGTGAAAATCTCTCTATTCGCAAAACTATGATGGAGTTGACTGATTGTAAGACTGCCATATTTTGCGCAGAATGCACGGAGCTCAAAGCTTCGAAGGAAAAAACCTAAATAAGAAGTTAGTTACTAGTATTTTAGTAGTAGACTACTAGTAAAATACTTAGTGAAAGATCAGGGCTTCGCATCCTAGCAAGAAGGTTTGAAATTCCTTTAATTAGTTCGAACGGAGGCTTGCTAGGAGGTGGTGGTGGATGGTTATGAACGCCCCGAGAGACCCAAATTGCATAGGGATGCTTTATAGGATCTTTAGGTATAAAAGCCCGGAATTGGACCTGGCACTTCGGCGAGCTCTTGATTAAATCACCACGACCGGATGGGTGGATAGTGCCTTTACTAGTAAGTTACTAGTAATTAACTAGTAAAGGAAACACGTACCACATTTTAGCGCTCGCGATCGATGACTATGAAATGTATCACAGTGCTCTTGGGTATCAGGGAATTTGCGTTTTTCAAGGAGATCTATGAGAAGATCTAAATCAAGATTTGACCGTTGCCATTGTAGGCTTTTATAGAAATGGTCTCCACGTTGATCTTCTGTCCAATTTCGACATTGTATATGCGAGATAGTAGATCCTGTAATATCCTAGAAGAAATATATTAGTAGGTTACTAGTAAGTTACTAGTTAATCACTTACTAGATGACGATGTTTTTGGAGTTGGAAATCACAGGTTTCATCTGACTTTCCACAGGCCGTTTGATTTTGGAAGCCTCTTTGGATAGTGTCGTAAAATCTAGAGTATTATTAGTATAAAATCTACTAGTATAATACTAGTATAAATACTCACGCGACTGCCATCCGTTGTTTATTCGTTAGTACTCTTCCTCCCTGAGTATCCTTTTTTGCTGTAAGGAGTTTATTTATTAACTCTTGATCAACCTTTGTATGGTATAGATTGCGGATTGAATCACTAAGGTAAGCACAATGCTTAATCCCTTGGCAATTTGAGGAAATTTTAGTCACATCGCATTGGAGAAAGGTACACCAGGTATCACGATTCTGGCCATCCCGTTTATGCGAATATTGAACCTAAAAACGTTAGTGACTACTAGTAAGATACTAGTAATTAACTAGTAAAAGCTTACTTACATGCTGCATTGCCTCCTCTTTCTCCTCTATACATAAACCCTGAAGGTTCACAACATAGGCATATCCTTTTGGGTCGGTTTGTGGATACTCTGGAAGCATAGGCACATATTCAATTTCCGAAGCAGAGATCGGATTATAGGTACCGCTTGTTAACGGCGTCTGTGTCCGATTGTCTCCTTCGTAAATCTAGAAAATAATATTAGTAAATTACTAGTAAATTACTAGTAAACCTTTATAATATACCTGAAATTCGTGTAACTCGTTCAATATCCTCTCATCTTCATCTCTGTTTTCCATCATGTCCTGCTCTGTAGTAGGAGGATCGGTAGCGTGAGGTTCAATATCCATAAGCTCTTGAAGCTTAGAATTGCGGAATTTAAACCAAGTTGATTCGTATTCTGTCATCATGAAGATTTAGACAATAGTTTAAAAAAAATAGTGTGTACAGAATTAATATATATATATATATATATACATGAAGTATAGCATTATTTCTAACCCTTGATTATTTACTAGTAATCTACTAGTAAATCCCTCAGAATGCAAACCCTTGATTCCTTACTAGTAATTTACTAGTAAATCCCTCGGAATGTATAACCCTTGATTCCTTACTAGTAATTTACTAGTAAACCCCTCAGAATGTATCCCTGTCTACCTTACCATACGGATGACATAATACTCATAAATACAATGATACTAATATGACAATACAGAACACCATGAAATTAATGCCTAAGGCATAGGTTCACCCTCAGGTCTTCCAGGGGGTCCACCGCTAGCTGTGGTCTGCAAACTATCTATCTAGCAAGGGTTGATGCCTGAGGCACCAAGGCTCCGACCACCACAACACACCCCCCCAGGCTCAACAACCCGAGGGGATCTTCTCTCACAATTTGCTTCCTGCAGTTTAACTTACTTGCTGCATAGCCTCTTTTGCCATCATTACCTTATTCATGCGCTCAAATATCTCTCTTCCGAGTGGTTTTGTAAGCGCATCGGCAACGTTTTCTTCGCTTGCGATTAATATCAACTGTATGATACCATTTCGCACTGCGTCCCTGACAAAGTGATATCTTCTGTTGACCCACTTCGCTCCTTTTGTGTATGTATCGCTCTTCATTATCGCGACTGCATTATCACTGTCTGTGTGTAGCATGATTGGAAGTGGTTATTTCTCTCCTAATTGCTCGAGTATTTTGAGTAGCCAGTAGCACTCCCTGATTGCTGCGTTAAAGGCGATATACTCTGCTGTGGAGCTGCTTCCTGCCACGATATCCTCCTTTCGCGATGACCAACTGATTGGGCCTCCTGCGTAGAAAAAGATAAATCCTTCCGTGCTTTTCCCGTCCTCACAGTCTTGATATGAGGCGTTAACGAAGCCAATAAGGTTTGTGTCATCCTTTCCGAGGAGTATCCCGAGATCAATTGTGCCTTTCACATAGCGATTGAGTTGTTTTAATGCTTCTTGATCCTCTTTTCTTGGTGCAGACGCTCTTCGTTGGAGTTTGTTGACTGCCACTGCAATATCAGGGCGTGACTTGTCGGTTAGCCAGCCTAACTTTCCGATATCCTCCACGTACGCCTTTGTTTCACCAGGCGTAAGAGATGATTTATCGGTCAGTAATTCCTCCGACTCTCGAACGTCTTTTTCGGCGGGATTCCTGGTTATTTCCGGTGATTTGTATGAGGTTTTCATTGGTAGATAGACCTTCGTCGCTTCCTGTAGGCCTGCCTTCACGATTATCTCCTCTGCATATGCCTTCTGGTAAAGGAAAATGCCATTTTTGTTCCGTGATAGACTGCTTCCCAGGAACCTGCTTGGCTTGCCGAGATCTCTGTATTTGAATGGAATAGTCTGTTTAAACCATTGGACTTGCTCCTCTTCTCTTACTGCGATCAGCGTGTCATCGACATAGAGAAGTAGCCATATCTGTCGCTCTTTGTGGATTAGGATACAGGGTTCATCGACCAGTGGTTCGAATCCCATTCTCCTTAGTTGTGTAATGATAGTTTGATACCATAGATGACCTGCCTGGCGTAGCCCGTAAAGTGCTTATAGGACGAGGCATACCATTTCTCCATTTTCGCCAGCGATTTTAAATCCAGTAGGTTGTTTCATGTAGATCGTTCGTCCGTCGATGACTGCATTAAGATATGCGGCTGTGTAGTCCACTTATTCGAGTATCATTCCTTTCTTTGCCATAATGCTTAGGAATAACCTCATCGTTTCTCCACGTGCGACTGGTGCAGTGTTCTCTGTGAAGTTAAAGCCTGGGCGTTAGCGGTTTCTATAGATAACCCATCTCGCTCTGAATTCTAGTACGTTATTGTCTTTGTCGGTCTTAAGGTCGAAGACCCACTTTCTAGGTAATATTGTGCTTCCTGGTGGTGGTCTCTCCACGATCTCGTAGGCATTTGCTGCCTTTAATTTGCCGATTTGGACCTCTGCTGCTCTTTACCATTAATCTTTGAATTCTGACTTCATTGCTTCCCCGTGTGTACGAGGGATTTTGACTCTCCACGACTTCAGTTGATCACTTGCTGGCGTAGATCCTTGATCGGGTCCTCTTTCTGTTAATGAGAGGGCGAAACCCACACCGAACGGCGAATTCCCCTAGTAATCACTTGGTAGAAGTCCTATTTCTTGGTCTCCTCCACTTACCACTGTCTCTTCTACAGCGCATTGTGCTCCTTTATCTCTTCGTCCGTATTTCCCCCACGTGATATCCCCGTATCTCTCTGGAGATTTACCCTTTATGGTTCTCGGCGATCGGCGTGGACTCTAGGGTTCGTTTTGTACGGTGGGATGGACGGTTGGACGGAGAATTTCTGGTGGATCTAGGCGTGCTGGATTTCTTAGTGTCACTTCTTGTGAATCTTCCTGTTCTTAAAGCTCTTGGTTTCCCTGTTGTGCCAGCGGAGAAGGCGTTGGAGAAGGGGTTTCTGCTTAGTCTTCTGGTAGGGTAGGGTATGTGATATGGTATGGGATTTGTCGACTTGCTTGCCCCGTGATTGGGGGCGATGCTTACTGATGAGTGATTTGTGTAGGCGTTTCTGGCGTCCTGCTTCCTCTTAGCAGTTGTAGTCGCTCCTCTAGGGTCCCTTCCTCTGTGTTATAGAATAACTCAGTTTCCTCTGTCTCCGAGAAATGCTCTTCTCCTGGGTTAACATGCTGATTTAGAGTTCTTGTGGCTTCCCTGATTATTTTGAATAGAGGCTCTCTAATGGAGAATTCGACTTTCTTCTTTGGTGGTCTATCGATGACTTCTTCTCCGATTTTAATATCGCTTACTCCATCGTATGTTTATGGACTTCTTCGTTCCCAGAAGACGACATCCCTATGGATTATGATCTTCTTGGTTTCTGGATTATAAATCCTGTAGTAATGACCGTTATCACCCTCGTATCCTACGAGATATCCGATCCATGCTCTTGGGTCCATTTTTGCGCTTTGAACTCGGGTTTCTTTGGGGTTATTCACGTATGCCTTTAAGTACCATACCCGGAGGAATGATAGATTTATCTCCTCACTTCCTCGAAGGTTCATTGCTTTTCTCCATAAGATGATTGGTGCTTCACCCCCTGAGCGAGTGAGTCGATTTATGATATAGGCGGCAGTGTTAATCGCCTCTGTCTATAGTTCCTTTGGAGCGCTCGCGTCGATATGCATAGTCCTCGCGATTTGCATCAAATAATGACCACTGTACTCTGCCACACCATTCTGTTCGTGTGCGTACGGGACTGAGGGACTGATAATCATTGACTGCTCCTTCGCCTAGGTGATAAAGCGTGAGAATTCCTTGCCGTTGTCGAGTCTCTATTCTGTAGGACTGTATCCAGCGTGCTCCTTGAATTACTTTGTCTATTTTTGAAGGTGCTGAGAGGCGTCGCTTTTCTTAGTAATGTATATTGCTATGCGAAATCGTGTTGCGTCGTCTGTGATGACCATCGCATACTCTCTATCGTTTTTGCCTTCTTTGCTTATGCCTTTTGGTTTCACTGGATGGAGATCTACGTGTAGGAGTTGGCCGACTTTTGTTGCTCTCACTTGCTCGGTTCGAGAGACTATTCTCTTCGACTTTCCTTTTCCGCAGGGTTCACAGTCGAAGTGCTCTGATCCGATATCGTATCCCAGTTTCTCTTTATTGATTCTCCCTTTATAACTTCCTGCGTGGCCTAGTCTTCGGTGTGCTAGCTCCGCAGGGATTGTCACATAGGCGAGTCCTTCTGCTTACTGGTTAGTGCTTTCTATAGGGTTTAGTTCATCAGCGAGTTTAATGAATGGCACGTTCTTTGCAATAAACGTGTAGCCGATTACTTACTGTTAACGAACTAACGTTATGTTCTTAATGTTCTAGGTGATTCCTAGGTCTTTCTTTGCTTTTATAAGACTAAGGAGGTTAAACCTATTTCCTGGTTTATACTCGCAGTGAATCCTCAGTTCGAATCTGCCTCCTAACGGCTTCCTGATTAGGAGTATGATGTCTCCGTGTCCTTCTGCTGTTGCTGATTGACCATTGCTGCTATCCTAACCGGTTGCTGTTCCTGGTTTATAAGGGGTATAGGTGACGAAAAGGTCTTTGTTTATGCAGATATGCCATGAAGAACCGGAGTCTAGCACCTAATTAATTCCTGACCGGAGCTGCTGTGTGTTGCTTACTAGTCCAGATAATGCGACTCCTTCTCTAGTAATTGCTGCTCCTGAGAAGTCGTATATGTCATTATCTTTAGCGGTTACTGACGTGGCGACGGCGTCGAAATTCGCTTATTTTGTCCTTTCTGAGGGTTTTCCTGTGAATTGCTGGCTCTTATCCTCCTTAAATTCCTGGTATGTTTTGTAGTACCATAGACCAGGCTTTGGTTTCTAACTTGCAGGGCGATCTTCTCGTACGAGGTGGTAGCAATCCTTGGCATCATGACCATTAGTTCCATAGTAGGAACATGCTCCATTTGTTGACCGTTACACTTTGTGGTTCCTCCACTCCTTTATGTGGTCTTTAATGCTTTTCCCTTTTAGTGGAGCATTCATCAGTCTGTCCTTCTTGTCGGATTTTGCTTATCGATTCCGGTTCGTCCCGCTTACTGCGAGTCCCTCATTAAGGCGGATCTCTTTGATTTTATCGATCATTTCCTGACAGTATTTAAAAAAGTCATTAGTGGTCAGTGTCATTGCTGGATCCACGATCGATTTCAGTTCGTTGTTTTTGATTTTAATGGATCCTCGGAGCTCTGGGATCTCATAGAGTTACGCTACCATAAGCATAATGGCGTGATAGGCACAGAACGATGCTTTGAGGTCATTTGCTGTGACGAATCGTGTCTTCATCGCCTATATGAACTCAGTTATTGTTGAGAACTCTTCTCTTTTTGTGCGTACGAAGCGTATTATTGCTGCGCTTAACGCTCCGTGTCCTTCACCCCGTAGCTGCTTCTTACAAACTTGCATAAAGTCATCTGCCCAGGTGGTTCTTTCGCCAGTTGACGTGATATCCTTTGCAATCTCGGGATCTAATCCAGCGCGGAGCCATGCTCTCACTTGCATACTGATTTTCATCCACTTCTCTGCATTTTCGGAGTCTCTGTCTGGCTTTTCAACCTCTTTGTTAATCAACCGGTGGAGGTTATGACCCTGAAGGATCTTAGTGACCGTGTCTAACCAAGTGTCGAAGTCCTCTTTTTCCTTTAGCGGCGGCTCTATTTTATAGAGCACGAAACTGCCAATTTCTGGTAGTCCCTCTCCTTGATCACCACCCAGAGTGGTCTGATCGGCATCCTCCACGCTTATCCAGTCTTTACCACCCACGGATCCTGGTCCCCAGAGAGGCCTTGCCATTTTGGTTGGTTGGTTGGTTCTTTTGTGAGAAATGCTTGGTAATGAGGTACGCTTTGTTGATGACTCCTTGTTGATGATAAACGGCGACTATCACGATAGATGCTGTACTTCGGACTCGTCGTTTATTGGTTGGTTGGTTGATGAAAGGTGGGGTCTCCCGCTGTGGGTCTCGCCCTATCCAGTCGTTGTGTGCCGCGACTCTCTCTGCGCGGTCGAAATTGATGTTTTTGATAAATGCCTCCTTTTTCTTGATAAAAAATTGATGATAGCGGGTAAGATAAGGTGCTCATAACCTGGTGGAACCTACGTAGTGGGGTCCGGCAAGAGAGGAGGGAGAGAGTTGTATTCGTCAAGAGGAGCGAGCTCCCAAACTATCTATCTAGCAAGGGTGTTGGTATATGCAGCACCAGCATACCGGAATACCGGAGGATTTATTAATCCTCCAGTATGCAGTAATATTTCTTATGTAATCAGGATAGTATAAATTGTCAGAATAGTGGATACAGAAAGACAGAGACTTGAATACCATTGATTGGACCCTTATAATACGGAATACCACCTGTGTGGACAAAGGGTTGATGCCTGAGGCACCAAGGCTCCGACCACCACAACAAAAAGTCCAAAGGTAGATTACTGGCACCACAATAAAAGAGAGGTAAGAACAGATCAAGAATAGGTGTGACAAAGCATGCTAAACAGGTAGCCATCGCTAGCAGTCATAAGGTTCTCTGAGTTGTGTGTGAAGGCAGTGAAGGCATTTTGGAGATCCAACTCACGAATACTGCAAGTACATGAAACATGGTAGTTAAACAGCGGAGTTAGCATTGTGTAATAATTTACTAGTCTGCTGATTTAGTGTTGACATCATTGGAGCGTTTTATTATTGAGATTAGTTCGAACGTAGGTCGATTTGGGCGTCATTGAAGAGGGAGTTGTTGATTCGGCCTGTGTCAGTGATCCATTTGCCTTGCGCCGAGACTACATGACCTGGTGTCAAGAACTGGGAATTTGAATTAAGAGTGAATGGTATAGTCCGAGCAACGGCTCATTTGAGTGGACTCTAGAAAACAGCATCCTCTCGATCATCTCGCCATCAACGTTGAAGCTTCATAGCTCGATAGCGAGAAGGGTAATTCTCCTAAAAAAATGTGAGATTTTCATTGACGAAAATGTGATGTTTATTTTTACCAGGGGTCTTAGTCAATCTCAAAGTCCTGTTGCGCTGCACTTCAGATGAACCCGCGACGCCTTGAAACGACTTCAAATTTTACCGTATCATCAAGTAGTCTGCAACACTCTTCAATACACCGCACTTTTCGATAAAGAATAAAGCACTCTGAGTAGAGAGTGAGCTATTGAGATGGTATTCCCTAGAGTCAGAAAAAGAAAGATCAAATTCAGCCGGGCGGATGTCGCTTTTTGCGTTGCTGTCAATATACTAGAATACCGTGTGTGGTGACTAATTCTTCGTCCCAGTATCTTTAAAGCCTGTATAGTTATAATTTCATCTATAACATAATTACATTGATTGTTACGTAACGTGTAGCACTATCAAGAAAAAGAGGGAGCCCCATGTCATAGACAGGGCCAAACAAAGATTTGAGGACCAGGCAGGTGAGGCAACATTCTAACAAACGTATAATAGACTAACCATGATACAGGGGAAAGGGTAGTTGTTCAGCTTCATCGGTAATTTTGCTTAATCAGTCACGGTTAAAAGGATACTAGCGCTGGCAATTCAGCTACGTATAGAAAGTTAATGTCGTTTGAATCAATTGCCTTTATGCTATAGGATGCTCTAACTGATCTCTGTTGCCGACACTTCCATTTCTAACGGAAGAAAGCATAGCCACGGGCAGTTAATGACAAGAAAGCAAAATGCAGTTCACAGGGATGGTGCATATAACTCGCCTGATCTCATAAGAGTTTGAGAAATTGCGTAATACAAATCAAATTACTCCGTTCTTGTGTACAACGGGATGATATCCAATCTGCAATTGCCAGGAGACTACTTCCGGCCTACTGGCCTCATGGCTGAATCATACCTTCAACCTGGTTCGCCCCAACAATTGGCTCCAAATAAGCCACACGCCTCTCTGCGTAAGCTTCAGCATCAATTTTCCCCCCCTCTAACCTCGCTGCTCCCCCATCCAGGGATCCAGCTTTAATAGACATCATATCCGGCATTGAGTCAGGCTGACCATAGAGAGACGATCCGCAGTCCCCACAGAAAAAAGTATGATACATATAGCCCGAATCCGCCATGTACTCGCCAGATTTAGGGTTACCTGTGAGAAAAGAAAAGTTGATAAGAGAAGTAACTAGCCGCGGATCAGACAAATGTCTTACCGGAAAGCACCTTAAAGGTTTGTCGGGGAATGATGAAGTTGGTGGTGAATGCAGAACCACTAAACTGTGCTGCAGTTAATACTCTATCCAAAAGACCAGACATTTTCGAGTGTTTACCTTCTGGCAGTTCAAACAATGACAGACCGCTTTTGCGATAGGCTCAGCTATAAAAGACAAAGAGATATTAGCAGCTTAATACAATAGGGCTGATATATTGCTTACCATCAGCTTGGTATTTGATTTTACCACACATGCAGCTTCCGGTGAAAAGCATTTTGACGGTACTGATGAGTGTAAGTGATAACTTGTGTTGGCTTGATAATGAATATGTATTTCCGCACTTTGATGGCCCGCGAAGATTGGATTATTACCTCCGAATCCAGGCAGTAGAGACGTATTTATATTCAAATGACTCTCCATAGAAGGAAATGTGCTAATCAACTTGAAAACTTAGATTATTCCGTGGAAGGATGGAACATGATCGCGACTCGGTCAATGATGTTGATTCAAACGCCGAACCCGAATATGCGGTCTTGGCTCATGAACCGGACGAATGCTTGGTTCCAACGGCATAGAAGCAAATTTGCGTATGGGGAGCTGAAGCGATTCAAGAATATAAACGCTTGGATCGGACAGCATGTCTCTTTGTTCTATCTATTTTAGAAATTCTTATGTAACTAACTCTTGCTTAGCCGTGGTCATTAATCTGGAAGGCTTCGGGGTGGATCCAAAATTGCCCTTGCCTTCGCTTTCTGGAGATCAAATTCACGAATTGGATTCCTACAGAGAGACATTAGTCACCGAAGCAGATCGTTCGCTACCCATGACTAATTCGCAGAGAGCTGAAGCGGCTACGGCACAGAGCAGACGATCTAGTTAACGCGCCAATTACCTAGTCCATGGTGAGACTGCAGGTTTGGCATTTGATCGAGACAACTAAGCTAAGTGCAAATGAAATTGTATCCGTAAAATGATGGCTAGTACATATGCCATAATGTCGTCATCGATTCGGTGTTTGAAGCACTGACCGGAACAACGGTGGAGTGTAGACCGAAAATGCCTTGCGCCTGGGTACAAAAGAGCCAAGAGTCGCTTTTCCTGGACCTACGCCCATAACCACCCCATACAGCAATCAGCCTTAGCCAGACAAACCAAGAGATCAGTGAAAATGACTCTTCACGGAAGCTGCATGTGTGGTGCTACCGCTTTTACCTCTTCCTGTTAGTTAACGTATTCGGCAAGCGAGCGGCGCACGCAAGCGAGTGGCGCACCCAACCCAAAACGCGTCCATGAATTAGCACTTAGTCAATTCAACCACCCACCATGCCACCAATTCGCTCCCGATCCTCTAGCAATTCAGCAGAGCAAGAGGGTAGGGTCTTATTAGCTATCCAGGCTTTTAAGGATAAAGAAATCTCTTCAGTTCGTGAAGTGGCGCGCCGTTTTAACGTACCCGAAACTACCCTTCGCCGCCGCCTCAGTGGTACACAAAACCGCGCGAATTCTCGCGCAAATTCGTCTAAATTAACACAAATTGAAGAGGAGTCTCTTCAAAAATGGATTCTCTCTATGGATTCTCGTGGAGCAGCCCCCCGGCCCTCTATGGTACGAGAAATGGCGGATCTTCTTCTTCAAAAGCGTGGAACTACCCCGATTCTTTCGGTCGGCGAAAAATGGGTATATAACTTTGTGAAACGGCGTCCTCTCCTCTCCTCTCGATTCTCAAAACGGTATACCTATGAGCGCGCGAAATGTGAAGACCCTAGAATCATCAATGAGTGGTTTGATCTAGTTCAAAAGATAATCATTCAATTCGGAATCGACCCCGATGACGTTTATAACTTCGACGAGACCGGTTTCGCGATGGGGTTAATCGCTACAGCGAAGGTGATTTCGAGGAGTGATCTCTCTGGCCGGCGCTCCCTTTTACAGCCTGGAAATCGTGAATGGGTGACTATTATCGAATGTATAAATGCATCGGGGTGGGCGCTCCCTCCGTGTGTGATTTTTAAAGGCAAAATCTTCCTCGAATCTTGGTTTAAGGGCCTTCCGGATAACTGGCGATTTGAAGTTAGTCCGAACGGCTGGACCTCTGATGAAATTGGAGTTCGCTGGCTCGAAAAGCTCTTTATTCCGACGACTTCTTCGCGTACGAAGGGGGGTATCGACTTTTGATACTTGACGGACACGGAAGCCATTTAACCCCAAAATTCGACGAGATTTGTGAGCAAAATAAGGTGATACCGATCTGTATGCCACCTCACTCCTCTCACCTTTTACAGCCTCTCGATATTGGCTGTTTTGCGGTGTTAAAACGATCATATGGTCGGCTGGTCGAGACGAAAATGCGGACCGGAATTAACCATATCGATAAACTTGATTTCCTCGAAGCATACCCCCTCGCACGAACTGAGGCCTTTAAATCGGAGACTATTAAAAATAGCTTCGGAGCAGCTGGTTTAGTGCCTTTTTCACCTGATAGAGTGCTTTCGAAGCTTAATATTCAGCTTCGAACCCCGACCCCCCTCCGAGTAGAGGAAGCGATTGGGACCCAAAAACGCCCTCGAACTACGTGCAATTACAAAAGTAACCTTCGTCAATTAAAGCTTTACTTCGTGCTAGATCGAGGAGCCCCCCGAGCCCGCTAAATTACGCGATAAATCAGGTTTTAAAGGCATGCCAGATCACTATGCAATCCGCCGCACTTCTTGAGAAAGAAGTAAGCGAATTACGCGCCGCTAACGAGAAGCAGAAGCAAAAGCGCACTCGATCCCGAAGGCAGATACCTGCCGAAGAAGGCCTCTCAGTTCAAGAAGCTTCTCAATTGATTACTGAGCTGGTGGAAGTAGTTAAAGCACCTCCCTCCCCTCCACGAAGAAGCCTATCGCCGGCTTTACAACCACGTTCGCGGGCCTCCCCAAAGTGTAGTGGTTGTGGAGAAATAGGGCATAAAATCAATAGATGCCTAGCTAGATAAATCAATTTGGTTGAATTAATTTAATGATGTTTTGGTTGAGATAAATATAGTTGAATCCAATGGTTTGGGTTAAGTGCGCCACTCGCTTGCGTGCGCCGCTCGCTTGCCGAATACGTTAGTCGTAAAATACACCGTTTACGTAAGTACCTTTTGTACGGTCCGCCTGGTAAAAGGTACATACATACTGTATATCTATACAAGTTGCTGTTGATACTTCAGACTTGTGAATTTCAAACTTATCAAATTTGTACTCTACAGCATCAGAGAAGAAATAAGCCGACATTGAAAACTGCACTGACAGGAATGTACGAAACAAACAACTCAGTATGAACGAGCGAACATCCATATGAAGTTCAAGCAGAACAAGCGACTGAGCTGACCAGATCCCCTGCGATTGCGACATGAAGATTCGACACAAAACAGCCGAGGAATGTACAATATCGAGGATTTTCAGCGTGAAGATAAGAAATCGATAAAAAAAAAGATCTACAAGTCATGAGGGATTCATGAGAGTAGAGAAAAAAAGGAATATGTGAAGAACGGAGTGGGAAAAGATGGGGGTAGGTTAGGGCTATAGGGCAAGGTATTGACGGAATCGACAGAGGGAAAGTGACAAAAACGTGAAAGCTCATAATACAGGGAAATGGGTAAGTAGATGATTGAAATCGAAGAAAATAAGGGGGTATGAAACATGGGACGAAGTCAATAAAAGAAGAGAAGAGTAACAGAGAAGGTAAAAAAGTGTACAACCAGAGAAAACGATCAAGACAGACGATAATGCGATTGTTTTTGACGCTGGGAAAGCTCAAGCACGCAAGCAAATTCAAAGTCAGAAACGCCTAGAAGCAGTTGAGAGTGCTCTTCTTCTTTTTCTTGTTGAGGGCGAGCATGCGCTCTTCGAGTTGGGCGCGTGCAGCCTCGGCTTCACGGCGGGCACTACGCTCCTCTTCGACGGCCTGGAGGGACAGACGGGCAGAGCTGCGTTCCTTGCGGAGGGAGGTCAGCTCATCCTCGAATGACCAGGCCTTCTTCTTCCAGGCCTCGCAGTCGCTCTTGACCTTAGTGCTCTGGGCTTCAAGATCGCCGAGGGCCTCTTCCAGGGTGGCAGTCAGCTGCTTCTCGGCGTACAGGTGCTTCTCGATTGTTCGGATTCGAGCTTCCTGGTCCTCGACCAGCTGGACGTTGGATATCTCTTTGCTAGTGTGCCGAGAGCTGGGGGGGGACGAAGCGGTGTTGGAGTGAGAGGCGATAGTAGGGAGGGGAGGGAGAGGGATCGCTGGTGGAGGCGAGGGAAGAGAGGCAGCGGAAGCGCTCTTACGGAGATTGGATGTGAGAGAGCTGCTGCGGTCGTGGGAGCCGTCGGCGTTTCCAGTGTTCTTGATTTGAAGCTCAAGCTGCTCGATCCGCACTTGGTAAGTCTCGATGTCACCTTCATAGATAACAATCTTGGCCTTGGCATCTTCCAGGGCCTGATCACGCTCCTGCTGAATGACGGACAGACGGTTGTGATGCTGATCGAAGCTGTTGGTAATTTGTTCCTCCAGCTCCTCCACGAGACGCACACTCTTCTGCTTCTCGATAGTGATCTCCTCAACCAGGGCTTCCTTCTTCTTGACCTGTTCATCCTTCTGGCGAAGAGTATCCTCTAACGTAGCCACCAAGAGAGCCAGCTCATTAACCTTGGCGTCCTGGACGTCGTTTTTCTTGGTCATCTCGTCTAGACGGCTCTCGGAGTCCGCGTTGGCCTCCAGCTGCTTGCGAAGGTCTTCATTGGTGCCCATAAGCTCAGCATACTTGTCCGAGAAGTGCTGCTTCTGGGCCAAAACATCTTGGATTTGATCCGTCAAGTTATCGGCCGAGACCTCGGTGTTGAGGAGAGTTGACACAGCCATGAGCAGCTTGACCAACTCATCACGAGACTCGGTAATATCTTTCTGCAAAGTCGCCATAGATTGCTCATGTTTAGCGTCCTTCTCGACGAGACGAGCATCGTACTCGGCCTGGACAGCAGCCTTGGTCCGTTCCTCCAACTCAACCAGTTCGCGCTTGTGAGATTCCCGGAGGACATTCAGCTCAGTATTATGAGAATCGACAGCCGATTTGTGTGTAGAAATTTCCTGCTCAAG